TATTATTTTTTACCTACGTGATTTTACCGAAAAAACCTAAGAGTATGAATACCGTGAATTGAACTTGGGACGGTGGGGTTCGTGGCGCAAATGCACTAATCACAGCGCCGCCGCTCCATACACGCACACCGAAATAACGTAAAGATGTTGAAGCGATTGTGCCACTGCGAGGCGAGGAGAACTTGCTGTTGATTGTCGTGCACATCGATTTTGTAGCCACACACCTTATGGTACTCGTAGTTTTCAGGGATGTAACCCTCTGGGATCTCGGCCAGCTTCGCCTCACCTGAAGAAGAAAAGAAGCACACAACACAGCCACTTTCTTTACACTTTTGGATTCCATGACAAAATCACACCACAATTTCTGTGAAGTCTGTAGCTGTGTATGTGTGTGTGTAGAGGGTTTAAACAAATCTCCCAATGTTTTACATCTGACCTGTAAAATTATTACGTTCGATATCGTGTGATCTTACCAACAAACACATTGATGTACGTGATGATGATAGCAGCGGGCACACCAGTCAGGGCTAAGTAGAATACCTGATGAGTCAAATTGCACAGCAGAAATATATTAGCAAAAATTACAAAACACAAATAAATGTTTCAATGAAATAAGAAGTTACATCTCAACACCTTTAGCAAGCCTTTATAGAGGTCACCAGTTCGGTTCGACCCCCCAGGCATGGTGGCTGAAACAACGGTGCAAATTTCCTCAATTCCCCCACCTCAGTTCACCCAGCAGTAAACATGAGTGTGGGTTCTAGATGACTGGCCAGCATGGAAGAGCAGGCCAAGCACCCTCTGCCAGCAGTAGTTTGAGAAAGAAATTGGAAAGCTGAATCTCTTTCCCTGGCCCTCACGGAATGTATGCGCACACGTGCTGATTAAGATCGCCCACTAAGGCCGGAAAAGCACACGTGGGGATGGTGTGGACATCACAACACTCAACAGTCTTTCTCTCTGAAGTGCCGATGCTATGGCATGCAAAGCACTGGTGGAGATATTCATTTAAAGCCGAGTTGACATCGGAGAAGCCCAGGGCAGGTTCCTATTGCTGATATTTTGAATGGCCAAGATCACATACAACATCAGCCACCATGACTTAAGTGTCAGAACATATGCCAGGTTAGGTGCCCTTTGAGGCCATACAGGCTCTCTGGAAGGAGATTACGGGATGGACCCAGGTGATATGGGTTGGCCGACTTGAGCCGACTGGCAGATTGATCATCTGTGGTCCCCACTGTGCCAACTCGCTGTGCTTTAGGCGCCAAATGCCTTCACTCGGTGTTATGAGCTGTTCCTCTGCATCCCGTTGTTGCTAAACAGTGGCTGTTGCCAACTTATCCAGTGGCATCTATCACGAGTAGCCTGCACAGAGGCCGATCTTGAGACCACCAGTACCATTTGTCAGCAAGTCAACTCAATTCAGCCCATCTCTCCTCTCGCCGTGCTAACCACAGAAGAGCTGCTTGGGCAAACCGTGACAAGGCATGTGGGCTGGCTACACGTCCAAACTCTCAACCTGCCTGATAAGGCACACTGATTGGTTCTGCCCAGAACCCCAAATAATGTGTGGACAACAGATTATCCAACCGCCCATTGCCAGGTGTTCCTCCGAGGGTCCACAATTTTCAGAGACACGCGAAAACACGCGACTCACCGTGAGATTTAGAAATCTGTTGTCGAAGTATTTCGTGGGCTCGATGTAGAACAACCGCTTTTCGCTGCTGCTGTAGCGCACGTGGCCTGAAACACGGACAACACAGACCGTCAGCTCTATAACCAACACCCGCCAGTCGCCACTAAGTGACGGTCACGTCACCACGGCGCCTGTGCCAGGCCAGGTGCACTTTGAGGCCTCGTGAAGTGTCGAAGGCTCGCTGACGGGTCTTGGGACAGACCCAGGTGCCATGGGTTGGCTGACTGAGATGACCGGTAGATGCACACCAGCTGTACCCCCCTACTGTGCCAACTTGCTGCATTTTAGCCGCCCAGCGCTCCGCTCGTTATTGTGAGCGTCGCTCCTCTGCCCTCCGTCGTTGCTGGAGGGCGACTGCCTCAAACTGCCCAGGAGCGTCCTTCACGAGCCTCCTCCATAGAGATCGATCTTGGCACCGCAGGTACCAGTCGTCGACAAGTCCACTCTGCTCCACATCCTCCTGTACCGCATCAGTTCCATCTCTTCTCCAGCCCGTGTCGTGCCCATTTAGCCCCCCCCTCTATGCGGCCAAATAGAAGCTGCTTGGGCATGCGGTGGCTGGGCATGCGGTGGCTGGGGCATGCGGTGGCTGGGGCATGCGGTGGCTGGGGCATGCGGTGGCTGGGGCATGCGGTGGCTGGGGCATTCGGTGACTGGGGCATGCGGTGGCTGGGGCATGCGGTGACTGGGGCATGCGGTGGCTGGGGCATGCGGTGGCTGGGGCATGCGGTGGCTGGGGCATGCGGTGGCTGGGCATGCGGTGGGTGGGGCATGCGGTGGCTGGGCATTCGGTGACTGGGGCATGCGGTGGCTGGGCATGCGGTGGCTGGGGCATACGGTGGCTGGGGCATGCGGTGGCTGGGCATGCGGTGGCTGGGGCATGCGGTGGCTGGGGCATGCGGTGGCTGGGGCATGCGGGCTACATGGCCCAGCCAACGCAGCTTCGCCTGCCGGAGGAGCTCACCGATGGGAACGTGCCCACTTCTTTCAAGGATTTGCGAGCTCCTCACACAATGCAGCCTGGTTAAACCCAGTATGGATCGTAGGCATGCCAGCCTGAATGTTTCTAACCGGCGCAGATGTTCCATTAGAGGGGGGGGGGGGTGTCCACGTTTCACAAGCCGTAGAGAAGATGTTTTTTGTTCATGTTTTTGTTTTTTGTTTGTTGCGGTTGCACCCGATTCAAGAGCCGAATGGCTCACAGGGCTATACATAATAAATTAAACTTGAACTTGAGGTGTAGGGGGGGCATGACTGTGGCCGAGAAGACCTGACAAAAACTTCGTGCGGAACGACAGACCAGGTAGCTTCCACACGGCGTTTGCGCAGCGGATGGAAATATAACACCGACCGACCGATTCAGGGCGAGACCTCTGATGTCAAACCACAGATTTGGTCGTAAGTTCGATCACCCCCCACGTGCACACATCTACACAGACCCACCGTATGAGGTCAACAGGCTTGGGATGAGTGCTGTCAAGCGAACGCATCTGAGAAACCCGGAACGGCACCACGAGGCCCAGCAAAGGTTCAGATCATCGAACTCGGGTGGCCGGGGTTCGTTGCGCTAACCGCCGCGCCACCGCTCCCCCAAAGACATCGACTGCAGCATCACAAGAGACCGTCAGCAACTCAGACTCCCTCCTAACAAGGTCAACTTGCAAGCCTCTCCCCTCTCGGCCCTGCCTCGCCTGCCCCACCGACTCACCAGCCGGGACGCGGCCGAGCAGCCACCTCAGGGGCGAGGTGGCGGAGGCCGCTGACGAGGAGGAGGAGGAGGCGGAGGAGGAGAAGAGAGCCGAGGAGGCGCCGCGCAGAGCGGCACGTAACACACTCAGCGCCGCCATCGCGACCTTCCTCCTGTTTCGGAATCGATCCGCTCACGGGTCGAATCCTAACACACGATTCGATTCGGGAATCGAATCGAAATGTTATACAGAGAGCTTCCAAATGTTGACACTTCAATCTCGATCTTCTTGGTTCTTTCGGTAAAGTCACGTAGAAGAGAAATAATAAAATAAGAATAAAAAAACATAACATTATAATATAGTAATATATTATTTTATTAATAATCAAATAATATAAATTTTACATTCTATTATAATATATTCATATATTATTTTATTATGTTTTATTTTTAAAATAAAACATAATAATATAATAATATATTATTTTATTATGTTTAATTTGTATTATTTTATTATTTCCCTTCTACGTGACTTCACCGAAAGAACCAAGAAGATGAATCCCTGCAGTCACGAAAGCTTTAAATCGAAATTCAATCTCGATTTGAAGCTTTCGTGACTTGCAGGAATCCATACTCTTTGGTTATTTCGGTAAAGACACGTAGAAGGGAAATAATAAAAATAGGAAATAATAAAATAAAAAATATATAAAAAATAAAATTCTCACGACGTTTCGACTGCAACACAAGCAATCATCATCAGGTGTGAAATCCACAGCAAGAAATTTTGAAAAAAATTGAGAAAAGTGACGTTAAGAAAAAATCCCGACTTTTGTGACGATGTGTGACGAGGGGGGGTTGAGAAATGTGACGTCACATCAAAATGCGCAACTTTAAATACATATAGACAACACGTTCTACTTAATTCAATAGACTTTTTAATAAATGTTTACTCCTACAACATCAGAGTGCAGCGCCACATTAAATACGCACTACAATGACAATAGTTTAAAGCGATTTGAAGCATGTTTTATATTTTTGGGGGGGGGGGGCAGTGCTTTGTGACGTCATATTTGAGGGGGGTCTGACTTTTTGTGACGCCGTGTGACGAGGCAGGGTGGGGATCAAAAATCGTCCAAAATCGCGTGACGTCATTTATGGACGGCCCCTAATGCAATCAAACATGCTCTTAATTATATGGCATTGTATTTTTTTAAGCTTTCGTGACTGCAGGGATTCATATTCTTGGTTCTTTCGGTAAAGTCACGTAGAAGGGAATTAATAAAATAATACAAATATAAAAAGTACAAAATTCTCACGACGTTTCGACTGCAACACAAGCAATCATCATCATCATCCACATCATCATCCCTGATGATGATTGCTTGTGTTGCAGTCGAAACGTCGTGAGAATTTTTTATTGTTTTATGTTTATATTCTTTTATTATTTCCCTTCTACGTGACTTTACCGAAAGAACCAAGAATAGATATCGCATTGTCTTTGAAACTGAATATCGATGCAGAATTATCGCTTTCGAATATCGAGTCAGAATGATCGATTCCGCATCACAATCTCGAATATCGATTTCATAATCATCATCCGGGTCCCCTCCTCCCCCCCCCCCCACCACCTTACCCAACATGGCGGCCTCGTGGTGTTCTCACGTTGCGGGTCTAACGCGCCTCTTGGGCCGCCGCCTCCGCGTCTCCCACCGGCCGACCCCCTCGCCCGTCGCTAGCAGCAGAGCCCTTCTCCCGTCGCACGGCTGCTTCAGGTCTGTCAATGAATCGATTAGGCGGTTTCGTGTCGCGCGGGCGGTGATAAACAAAAGATAATTTAGAGGGCCCGAAGCCTGCGCGTTTTCCTAGACGGCCCTGCCCGGTTGACGCCGACTCTCTCCCGCCCGCCACCCCTCGCCAGGGTCGAGCCGCTCTCCGGGACCCCCGGCGTCCCGAGCGTGGCCTGGACGCGCGCCCTTCACACGAGCGGGGTCCGCGCGGGGCTCGAGGAGTTCTTTGACGACCCCAAGCGATGGGGGGAGGAGACGGTGAAGTCTGGTGAGCGTTCAGTGCAGGGCGACACTCCATGGGAAGGAAAACCCTCCATCGTTGTTGTTGTTGCTGTTGTTGTTGCTGCTGTTGTTGTTGTTGTGCGCGTTTTCCTTTGGTGGGGAGCGGTGGTGTAGCGGTTTCCGCGCGGCGCTACGAACCCAGCAACCCAAGTTCGATTCCCACTCACGGCCAACACCGGTGACGATTATCTGAACCGGTTCTGGGCCTCCCCTAGATGGGCTCGGCCGCGAATGAGTACCTGGTGCGGTGTGTAAACATCGCCACTGGGGAGGCGTGGTGCTGGCCACCCACCACCTCGTGTGCCGTTCCAGCCTTCATAGGTGCTCGCTAACAGCACTTGCCTCAACAGTATGTTAAGGCTACACGGAGCGTCTTTGTGTTTCCCTTTGGGCTGTCATTGAGAGTAGCAGTGAAGGTTATACGGGTGACCACTTTAGGGAGTGTATAACTTAAGCTTTATAATTGTTTGTTTACCCTTTTATCTGGCAACAAAACTGACACCTTTTTTTACAAGGAGTCATGTTTGCATAGACCACAATACCTGCAGTCATAATGCAAACATAACTCTGATAATGTATGCACTATCAGAGTTATGTTTTTTGTTTGCATTATGACTGCAGGTATTGTGGTCTATGCAAACATGACTCCTTGTAAAAAAAGGCGTCAACTTAAGCTTGTTTTCTAATCTTTTGGAGGTGTGGGGCTCGTCACACTACGAGCTATCCACAGCCCCCTTAGGCCCTGTTCAAATCTCACCAAGCCCTGGTCGGGCGCACTGATTGTGGTGGTGCTGGCGTTCTATGAAGGCATTTTCAAGCAGTTGCATTTGATGTCATTCATCTCAGGGTCATCATGGGGCATTCGCCTCCTCAGAGGGAAGAGCAGTGAAGATCTGCACAAGCTGTGGCAAGTTCTGCACACACACACACCACTACTACATCCTTTGCTCTCATCTGACCTGTACAGAGTGAGAAGGTGGAGCCCTGCCCACCTTGATAGGTGCAGGAGGAGGTGGGGCAGCCTTCCAAAGAAGTGTTTCGCAGCGCAGGCTGGTGGTTGCACACAAATAATGTACACTTACTACCCTCTCGTCAATTCAGTGCCTGGGTGACGGCCACCTCACGCCGTCCAGGTCGTGGGGATTATTTGACCACACTGCACCACGCTGCTCGGTGTGAGTTGATGAATGCGTTGAGCACAGATGTGTCCGGAGGCATAGATTTTACAGCACTACAATGGGTGTTGCTGCACTACACTCTGCTGTCCCGACACAGGGCAGGACACTGGTTACCATGATAGTTCCAAGTGTACGCTAACTGCCTTTTTTCCCATGACGTGAAGGAAAAAAACATTAGAATAATGCATTCAATTTGAATCACAGAGATGTACTTGGATCAGCTGTACGTGGTGGAGACTGTACGAGAAGCTGACACCACAAAAGTTATTTTTATCACGTGACGTGTAAGCCGATATTTAATTCTTGGAGCTGGAGTTTAGGCAAAATTAAGCGCAGAACCCAATTTAATGCGATAATGTTTTTTGTGTGCAGTCATTGTTGACAGGGTTGAGACCATCAACTCACTGCACGCAAGAACACGGTTTTACGCGAATGCCTGTATTTGAACGTAGGCTCGGCGGTGGCGGCTCAGCCGCGCTGAACTCTGACCCACCCGGTCACCTCGTGTCTGTGGCGTTGTTATTTAACGTGTGCCATTGAACGGGGCTGTGTCCGCCAGGTACGTGCTGCTGAAGGAGTACAACATGCTCTTGACACTGGAGCAGGAGGCCAAGCGGCAGAGCGTGCCCATGCCCAGCCCCGAGCGCATTAAAAAGGTCGCCAAATTGTTTGCATCGTTCACCTCCAAAATGTCATTGAAACTCGAGTGGGCGTTTAACAATGCATCGGCTCGTCTATTAAAATGATATAAAATGTGAAGGAGCGGGCCTTCAATTGCTTAAGCCACTGCTGGGGAAATGGCCCCCATTAAAGGGAGCTCTCTCTCGAGCCACTCTAGAGTACAGTAAAACCTTTTATTGCGAGCATAATTCGTTCCGGAAACGTGTTTCTAATCCAAAGCACTCGTATATCAAAGCACTCGTATATCAGTTGTGATCACGTGACGCTCTGCAGACAAAGCGTATACGTACTACTCATATTGCAAGACCTCGCTCGTTTATCAAATTAATATTTAAAAAATGTGCTCGTCTTGCAAAACACTTGCAGACCATGTTACTCGCAATCCAAGGTTTTACTCTATATTTGATATTTTTATTCGACGCTGGTCAGACATCTTGGGAGCGGTGGGAGTACTCACACTTTTACCCCGCCACACCCGACCTGCCGATCTACGACCTGCAGAGTACCCTTTTAGAAACTGCTGGGTGGACACGGGCTGGGTGGTGATTGAAGACCATTCTTTCAGCTGCCATGCCAGTAGATTTAATTTAACCGGAGACCGATTGCAACTCCAGTGTGCTAAACATTACACCATTCTTACACACATGATTGGAAACATTTATTATGAGCGTAAGAAGTTGAATCAATCTCTAGTGTCTGCGCATGTCACTTGAACATATTACAACTTATATGAATCAAATAATCGATTCTCACACACAGTTTAATGCATGTATCATGAGCAGAGGAATACATTTTGTCATCAATTTACTCCGTATTTATCCCAATCGTGCAATCGGCGTTACATCAAGGGATGAAGAATCCACTTAGATCTCTCACAGAGCAGTACCACGCATCCTCTTGAGATCCCTTGGGGCGACGTCTGGTCCGCACGGTAGAAAATATTTTAATCGACGAATCGATGCATCGTTACGCGCCGACAGTCAGGGGAAGCCTTCCTCTCCATTGCGCGGTTGGTGCTGACATTGCGGTCTCCCCCGCCCACCTCTCCGGCGTGCCGTAGGTCAAGCACTCGATGGACCGCGTGGACGGGGTTGTGCGGGAGAGAGAAAAGGCACTACGGCTGCTGCAGACGGGGCAGGAGTTGCCACGGCCGGGCGAGTGGCGCAATAACGTCTTCGGCTACACCACGTGGTTCGTGCCTACGTGTGTGCATAACGTGCGCGTGTCTGTGTGCAGCACTGCAGTCGTGTGGGGAGTGCTAGTAGAGTGGTTGGCGCACTGTGCTATGGGCCGGGTGACCTTATTTCGATTCCCGCTCGCAACCCATAACAGCGGCGTATATTTTCACTGTTCCTGGGTCTCCCCTAGGTCGACTCAGCCTTAAATGAGTACCTGGTGTAACTAATAAAGACAAAGGCGTTCAGGTGTGGGGTTGGCCACCTGCCCCCTTGTGTGCCGTGGCAGCCTTCGTAGATGCTTGCTAACGACACTTTCCCCAACATTCTGTTAAGGGCTGTACGAGCAATCTTTGTTTTTTGTACAGCACTGCACCACTGGCATGGGCCCCGAGTGTTTGTGGCATTGTGTGGGTGTGTTTTGGTCGTGGCGTGTTCTGGTATCGCTTTGGGGGGGGTGTGGCTCGACTTGATGTGGCCGCGTGTCGTTGCAGGTACAATTTCAAAGAGCACCCGATTCCCTGGTTCATGAATCGTCGCCACAGGAGGAGGAGATTCTACACGCCCTCCTTCGTCAAGCCCTACATCAGGTGATTATGAAGGATTTTGTATTTTTTACATTTAGAGTTCATTGTAACGTCATAGGCTCTCGTTAAAAAAAAGAGAAACATCTCCATTAAATCCATTGGCCCATTTTTTAAATCCTTTATATTAAGTTCCCTTGCTTGCTTGCTTGCGCGCTTACGACCGTGCAAATCTTTCGGTCGTTTTTTTAACCCACTTCCCGTGATCCGATCGAGCTGACATTTTCCACATAGACTCGTTGTGCGTGACAATTTATTTTCGTGAAATTTTTTTTCCAAAATTTTACACTTTTTAGGAAAAAATAAATTATATTTAATTACCAATTGCTTAATGGTGGCAGGCAATCATCTGACCCATAGGTGGCAGCCATCTCAAGCCAGAGGACGAGAGGACTCTAGCCGCCACGCATATAAAGGATTTATAGTGAAAAACTTTTTTTTACGGGTTAATTTTTTTACATTTAGAGTTCATTGTAACGTCATAGGCTCTCGTTTAAAAAAAAAGAAACGTCCCCATTAAATCCATTGGCCCATTTTTGCCCCTCATGATGACGTCACATGCCATGGCTGACGAGGAGTGTCTAGGCTACCTCTTGTCTCGCCTCGAACCCTGTAAACGTGGAGGCGTAGGGACTCGATGCAGGGAAACCAGGCGAGGCACGCCAGGTTCATAGGGGCACTCATCGTCAGCTGCGTTTATGAAAATGAATCGATTATTTATAAAGGAGATAACATCACATGCACAGCCATGATTATCATCATGTACTTGTACACCACTGCCAACGCAACGTCACTAAAAACAATTGAATTGTGTCGACGGTCCCACCTGATGACGAAGACTTGTGTTGCCTCCGAAACGTCGTGATTTATTATTTTATTTTTATTAATTTTAATTTAATTTTTTTACCTACGTGACTTTACCGAAAACACTAAGAGTACAATTGAATTGTGGACAGTGGCAATACGATTAACGACACGGGCCTGTGCACGCCCGTCGTAGGTTGCGAATCGAGAAGCATCTCCGCGAGAAGAGGAGGAAGCGTCTGCGCGACAACAGGCTGCAAAAGCGGCTCCTGGAGAGGTTCCCGCGCTACGCCGAGCGGGAGGCCGCTGCCAAGGAGGTGGCCGAGAGCAGCGGGCGCCAGTGAACGGCGGCCGTCGCTGGCGCTTTCCCGTATCCGGCAACGCCCTCGCGCCGCCCGCGTGACGGGACCCTGATCCTCCTCGGTAAATGCCCATCACCGTCAGCCCGTGATCGATCCGCCGCTGTATGAAGGTCTCCCCCCCCCAAGACGTCGCCATCGCTTGGTATCTCACGACTTAACATTCCGCCTAACGCCCGCTCACGACCTGATTGGTACAGCGTGCGTGTAAGGTTGGGCGTACTGTCGATGAAGCTACAAACGGCACCACTTGTTGTAGGGCCACTGCAGCGGAGGGGGTTGCTTAAACATAGATGTCTAATCTGAGCCAAAGGATTAAAAACCCGCTACCATGACTTGTTCTACCCCCTCAGCTACGGTGCCTCCAAACAGCAGGTGTTCCTCTTTCCCTACTAAAGGTCAGCTCAGCTCCCGCATCGATAAATGAATTAATCTTCATTTTACGTGCCAATACTGCCCTCAATAAAGTAGGCATCGGTGCACGTTACAACGCAAAGCGAACGGTACAGGGGCATGCAGCAATCGTGGAGTCACAGCCCCCCCACTTGTGCAGCAGTGGCGTCATGTGTGGTTGTACATTTTATTTCGCTTAACAAAAGCTACGGGTTTTGCCGCAAGCTCCGTTTGCTTGCTTCTTCCCCCAACAGCCGTTGTCCGTCACAGCGAGCGATGTAATTGCAGGAGAGTGTCACAAATGCAACTTTCAGGAATCCGAAATTGTTCGCACCTTTGGCAGGGCCTGCTGACGATCATCGGCAGTGTGTAATCCCATCAACTGAGGAATCCGAACAACTGAAAGGACAGGCGATGGTGCTCTCTTATATTCTTAGTTTTTTTTCGGTAAAGTCATGTAGGTAAAAAAATGTAATTAATAAAAGTAAAATAAAATAAAAATCACGACGTTTCGGAGGCAACACAAGCTTCCGTCTTCAGGTGGAACCGTCACAGCACGATTGCCGTTTCAAGTAAGAGAAATTCCAAGAAAACAGTCCTTGTATATATATACTGGTTGAGGGTGGGAAGAGCCAAGGTAGGCCCCTGGATATTATTATTGTGAGGTTCGGTGCGGCTGAAGCTCGATCACGGTGGCATCCTGTGGCTCCGGTTCAGGTGGAGGTGGTAAGGTTCACCTCCGGTTTTCATATTGCAGTTGACATGAGGCAATCGATTAATTTGGAGTGACGCTGCATTTGGCAGTGATGACCAAAGCTGTTGACGTCAGCGCGCCTCGCCAATGCGCAGTAGGCACACGACCATCCAAGATCTGCCCTAACAGTCTCCCGCCATCTACTCTTAAGTCGTACCCTTGGTTGCCGTCAAATAATGCAGCCCTATAGATAAATAATATATTTTAGGCAGTGGCTTTTTTCTTTTTGCTATGAATAAGGGCCGTAGAAACGTGTGGGGGAATGTTGTTTTCACCAGTGGGTACCGCTGGGCTGTCGCTGGACATGTTTTCATGGATTCCTTGGCTGCATGGATTTCAAGAGTAGAAACCCCGAGCTGGATTTGACCGTCTACCGGACCTGGAACCACTAAACAACCATCCACCTCTTGGTCACCGTCCGTGTGAATTCCCACAAAAGAGATGCCGGCAGCCATATTCCCGTGCGTCTGTGAAACGCCGGTCGTCGTGGAACGTCTCGTGTCGTCACCTCGGTGGTGGTCGTGTTTGTTGAGGAATAAAAGGGGGTGCGACGTTTGAAATGTTCTGTTTGGAGTCTGTTTAATCACTTCACTGACACTCAACCAACCACGCTCGCCGAGAGTACACGACTGGAACATGCATTGCCACGTCAAACGTGTGGCGTCCACTTTCGGTTAACTTTGATCACATCAAGGTAAGCTTCTCGGCGACAATTAAGCACCATCATTTTTACGTAACAAAATAACTTTACAAAACGGTCAACATTTATCTCCACCGAGCCACCGCCGCTGCCCCTGCTGCTGCCGCCACACGACGCATGCTGCATGTGCAAGTCAGTAAAACTATAGTAATAGTAATAGGTTTTTACCCTTTCAACTGGTACAAAAACTGACACCTTTATACAAGGCATCATGTTTGCAATAACTACAACACAAGCGGTCAAAATGCAAACAAAAAGAAACAACTGATAATGATATGCACTGTCCTTTAAGTTGATTGGTCCACACCCGAGACAGCTCTTCCTAGAGCCTAGTCTCCATTGGTGTTGGACCAGATGACGCCAAAATGTAAAACTCTTGAGTCATGGTATTGGCCCGTCTGTTTGGTCGGGAAGTAACGTGAATTGTGTCCTAAAGAGGAAGGTGCCTGCTTGCTTCCACCTTAACTCCAGCATAAACTGAACTCGCGTTCTGTGTACCCACAATAGTAGTCTGTCAGCCTTATGCTTTTACAGACCAATATCAAATGCTGCTGGATTACCAAATGTCATTGGCAGGATCATTCCATATAAACTATGGGACCATGTCCATCAAAAAGCAATACTGTAAAGAATGGAGTTCTGCTAATACTGGTTTTACCCATAATGCTCCATGGCAACACAACGAGTTTATATACAATATCACTTTCAACTAACGTGCCTTTTAAACCACCACGCCTTTGAAGCAATTTTTACCTCTCTGGAGAGCCCTTGCCCGTTTCTTACAATGCCTAAAATTAGTCCCTTGTTATGTCTTTTGAAATACTATGGTGATGCCCGAGAAGGCTTAATTGATCATCAAGGCTTTTTCAGGAGGGTCCTGCCACATGAGGGATGTTTGGCTTTTCCCATCACTTAGAGTTGGGCTTCGTGTGGGAGGAAATTGGAGCACCGCTAGAAAGTCAGACACACTCCTACAACACCTGGCAAGCTTTGGCATCCAAGTGCTAAACGGGCACCAACCCTTACGCGCTTCTCAATTCTGATGTAATCCGAGCGCATTTCGGGCGATTTGGTCGAAAGACAATAGCTTTGCCCTAAATGTTATCCCGAATTTGATTACCGGCGTTCCGCCGTGAAACAAAGTGTCGATTGAGACCTCTCACGGAGCAGTGGGGACCCTCCGTGGTAGAGAATGGTCGATGAAAGTGAACGTCACAAAACTACTGGGACCCCTTCAAGAGACCTCGAACACAAATTATAGAGCAGCACCTTCCAACCCATTATGAAGGTAAACGTTCAGAAATAAAATGTAACCAAGTGTGGCACTAAAGCGAACGAAGTTTTTTTTTGTGTGCAGTCATTGGTGACCAAGGTTTAGGCAATCGACACAATATTTGAGAACCTGGTTTGATCACAGGCCTGGATATTTGACCTCTGAGGTGGTTTGGTTGAATTCAGTGCAGTCTGAACTGCAGAAATCCTCTTTCCAGACATTAAGATTTTTCTCACAACACATTTGTAACTTACGATAATAAGATCGGTAATGTAAAAAAAATACCGATGATCCTGTGCTGTGGCTAAGTCCATTTCACAGCTCCCACCCTGCACACATTCAAACTTTAGAACCACCATCATGAACAAACACTGCCTTAACACTGTTTTTCTGTCTTTTCCCCAAGTTGTCTTCCCAGGTACTGGGCCATTGGCATCATGGAAGGAGATGAACTCTCCATTCAGAGATCTTGAAGAGCAGTTGCATTACACCATTATTAAGAGAATGCCCTGTGGAAGGCGAAATTACAGAACTACTTCTGAGAACCCTTCAAGTGACCTCATATCCACACTGAAGTTGCTTAACTCCCCCACACTCCATGCTATGGAGATGATAGCAAATGAAATGTGAAGGCGTTTTTTGCGTGCAGTGATCAGGTTCGAAGCTTAGGTCATCAATAACGCTTCATTTAGGAGCCCAGTTTAATAATGGGCCGATGAAACCTGGATTCAACCAGAAGCGCTCTGCCACGGTATCAGCCCCCTGAGCTGATTCCGTGTAGCTTCGGGCCCCAATCAGCTCAAGGGAGCTGGATTTATAAAAAAAAAACAGGGGGTCCACCAAATGTCATAAATTCAAATCCTATTAAACACATCTAATTAACATTTACATAGCTAATTAATCTCTAATCCCTCTCTATATCTCTTCTGTCATCTCACTTATGAGCTTATAAGTTGGAGACGGGGGGGGGGGGGTAGCGAGGGGGTGGGCGGACACTGGCCAAAGGTAAATTTCAACTTAGGGCACTCCACTAACCAACGCTAACCAGCACCACCACCACCACAATACAGAGCCTTCGTCTAATCACAACGGTCCTAAAGTATCGTCAGCCTGTGCTTGCACAACACCACGGCCAATGCCAGGCAATGCACGAGCCCCCCGCTGCATCATAAACAACTTGGCAGTCGGCAATTCAAATCCACCGTAGCGCCGCTGGGTGGGAGTTGGGTTGATGGCAGGGGGGAGGGGGGGTGTAGTAAAGAACAATGGCATTTTGATTTTGCCGCACCGCATCGCCCTCCGCCGCCACGGTCGACTCCATCCGCACGCGCGTTCCGTGCACGGCGGTCGCTCACTCGCTTGCTCGCTCGCTCACCCCGTCCGTCCGTCCGTCCCAACTCCGGCGGTCAAAATCCGCGAGAGAGCGCGCGCGTGTGAAACAGTCGGTGCCGGAGCTCCCGTTGGAAGCGGCTCTCGTGCGCACGCACGCGCGGACGCACCGTCGCCTGGCGCCGCTCGATGCAATGATCGGGCGGCTCAGGGGCATTTCCTCTCCACGCACTGCTTCCCTCCCTCCTCGTACTCCTGCTTGGAAATCCACATCTGCTGGAACGTGCCCTTTAGGAGAGACGAGAGAGTGCGTCATTTTGTTAACACATTCCTGCGGAGGGAGCTGGTAGGAACGTTGGGTTGCTCGGTCAATGGCCAGGGTCAACGGCGGCGTGGTGTATTCCGCAAATATGCCCGACTGTGAGGGCGGGCACAAGCTGGCGTGAGTAGGTTAGACGTTGAGTTTTATAAGGGCACCACGGGGTGACCTGCCCCTCCCCACCCAGCCCCACCCCTCCCACCCCCCATCCAGCCCCACCCTCCCCACCCAGCCCCTCCCCACCCTCCCCACCCAGCCCCTCCCCACCCTCCCCTCCCCACCCAGTCCCTCCCCACCCAACCCCTTCCTCCCCACCCAGCCCCTCCCTGCACGACGGACGGACACAATAATCCCCTGTGGGCTGGTGTAACCAGGAGGTTCCTACCAGTATTCTTGTCGTTGTTGTTGTCACATCGGGTGGCAGGGCGGCCCAGTGGTAACACCGGTGCCTCGATTCCGGACTCGGACACTTTTCTATTCTGAGTTTGTATGGTCTCTCACTGTTCTGCAGAGTGTGAGTGAGTGTGAGTGAATGTGAGTGCGAGTGAGTGGAGTTTGTATGTTCTGCCCCCTGTTCTGCAGAATGAGTGGCGAGAAGTTAGCTACCTCGCCTGGTAAACAGGATTGTTGTGGGTTCGATCCCAAGCCTGATGCCTGTTGCATATGTGGAGTTTGTGTGCCTCTCTTCCCGTCGTCGCGTGGATTTTTCTCCGGGTCCTCCGGTTTTCCCCTCCACATTTAGAATTAATATGCGTTTAGAGTATTTGGCTGCTGTAAATTTCCACGTGAAAAGCCGCTTCGTTGAGCTACCACTTGTAGCCAGGTCGCTTCTGAAAAGAGCTACATTGGCCAGCGGGCCTTACGTTGTAAAATGAAAAATAAAAGTTTATACTCTCTAGTTCTTTTGGTAAAGTCACATAGATAGAAAAAATAATAAAATAACACGACGTCTCGTTCACAACACAAGCGTCCGTCGCCTATCCCACTGGGAGGACGGACGCTTGTGTTGCGACCGAAACGTCGTGTTCTCTTATATATTTCTACCCACGTGACTTTATCGAAAGAGCCAGAGAGTATGGATTCCTGCAGTCACGAAAGCTTCAAATCAAGATGAAAATAAAAGTCTATAATTATTATGACATTGGGCGTCAGGGTGGCGCGGTGGTTACACTGGGTGCCTCGGTTCTGGAGTCGGGCCCCTTTCTGTCAGGAGGTTTTTAGTCCTTCCCCTGTTCTACAGCGAGCGAGTGAATGTGTAAGTGAATGGAGCGGCACGACTCGGCTTCAGCAGTGGAAAAAACAACAACCTCGTGCTTTCTGAACCTCGCCGGGCTGGCTCCGAAACAGCGTCGGCGTGGCCAAGTTGTGCGGTGGCAAAGAGGAATAACACTGGTCAACACACTTTTTCTGGCATAAGGTATTCCAACGATTTTAAGGTAATTTTGGGGTGCTGATTCCAAATCTGCATTTTCAATAAAAACTGCGGAAGAAATTTTTTAAATAAATGTGGATATCTACATAAAATGATATTATAAACACACTATCCTAAAAATACAGCACCATATGTTAACACTAAAGCAGTCACTGACTCGCAACAACTTGCAATCATAAGTGACAGAGTTAATTTCGAGTAAAATCAATGAAAATGGGGTATGCCGATAGCATAAAATGAGATGTGATAGAGCAAATCTGAGATCAGATTTGGAATCAGCACCTTGAAATTAGTCTAAAACAGCTGCAAAAGTCCAGGCCAGAATTTTTTTTTTGTTGACCAGTGTAATTCACGGTGGGCTCTCCTCGCCTGGATGAAGCAAAGTTGATGACCAAATCGACGAATGAATCACTGCATGCTTTGTTCCACGCCTATCCCACTGAGAGAACATGGGATTCCCAATAAATTATTTTGCATTTATTTTGCAAGGGAGACCGGGGGGTGCGGGGAGGGGGGGGGGGCCGCTGCCACGTACCAGCGAGGCGAGGATGGAGCCTCCGACCCAGGAGCTGAAACGCCGCTCCACTGTGCTGGGGCTGGCAATGAGCTTGAGTCTCATGCTCTGCTCATCGTGACAAAAGACAAAGATCCCCCCCCAACTTCGTATAGCCTTAATATACTTTTGGGGCAAGTGCTTTTAGCGAGCACCGATGATACACACGTACAAAGATACACACGCAGGTAGGGACAGAGCGAGATACACACGCTTATATAACAACAACCGCCATTCGCCACTAAGTGGAGGTGACGTCACCATGACGCTTGTGCCAGGCCATGTGCACCTTGAGGCCACGTGAAGTGTCGAACGCCCGCTGGACGGAGGTCACGGCGCAGACCCAGGTGCCACGGGTCGACTGATTGAGGTGACCGAGATGACTGGCTGATGCACCACCTGTGCCCCTACTGTACCAACTTGCTGTGCTTTAGCCACCCGGCGCTCTGCTCGTTGTTGTGAGCGTCGCTCCTCCGCCCTCCGTTGTTGTTGGAGGGCGACTGCCTTCAACTGCCCAGTAGCGTCCTTCACGAGCCTCCTCCACAGAGGCCGATCATGACACCGCTGGTACCAGTCATCGGCAAGTCCACTCAGCTCCACGTCCTCCTGTACCACATCACTCCATCTCTTCTCTAGCCCGTGCCGCGCCCGTTTAGCCCCCTCGATCCGGCCGAAACACGCTTATATACACACAGATACACACACATACACAAGTATACACACAGAGATACTAAGATATATGGAGAGATACACAGAGATGCAAAGAGAAAGACACAGCTACACACTTAGAGAAGATAGATACATATAGAGACACACACGCACGCTGCTGACGATGATCACGACGTTATGGGATGAGGGCGCACAGACCGGCGGCGTTTTCTGTGAGAGGTCTCGGTTGAGGCGATCGGTGAACCCTTGGAGGAGAGTGTTTCCTCCCGACACGATCACACTCCCATAGAGACCCTGCACACACACACACAGTTAAACACTACCACCATCACCACCACATCACCATCACCCGACACGATCACACTCCCATAGAGGCCCTGCACACACACACAGTTAAACACTACCACCATCACCACCACATCACCATTACCCGACACGACCACACTCCCATAGAGACCCTGCACATACACACAGTTAAACACTACCACCATCACCACCACATCAGAAACATCACTTCGTCAGCCATCATCCAAAACAAATCACACTCCCATAGAGACCCCAGGGACGTGCGGTCTGCCTCCCCTGCCATACTCCAATGAAAATAGCTGTTACAAAAAGTAAAAAAAAAGAATAATCAAATAAAATAAATATTACGATTTTTCCACTGATCTGTGTTATAAATGTCATTTCTGTACGATTCCAATCATTTTTTTTATAGTCAAAATCGCCAAATTTGCGGAGCTCCGCTGCAAATACAGGAAGAGACGAGAGGTGAGGCAGCGACGAGCTCAGCCTCCCCTCTGATTGCGCAACACCTCAGCAACTGGATGGAGCGCGGGCAATAAGCGCGTGCTTGTTACTATCTTTCTGTGTGTCACCAATGTAATGTTTGTAGACCCCTTCATTTCATGTTCTCGCCTTCCATACTTAAGGTAACTTATTTCACGTGTGTGTATAAAATATATTTAGGCTCGCTGGTCTTGTCATGAAACTGCAATGAAAAAGCACCAGGGGAGGCAGCTATCACATCTGCCTCACTGAGGGGGACGTGTCTAACACGCCCCCCTCAGTGAGGACACGCCCCCCATCGTGAGGCCACGCCCCCATCCGTGAAGCCACGCCCCCCTCAGTGTGTGAATCTGGCAGACCCAGTCATTGACCTTACCGCACGTCACTGAGAGACCCTACACATTCACGCAGCTCAACGTTACCATCGCCATCATCGCGCTGAGCGTGCGACGTGTGAGCGCGTACCGGTCGGATGTCGATGTCGCACATCCCCACGCTCGTGGTGACCACGTGGCTCACTCCGAGCATCGTGTTTCCCGACAGCCCCTGTGGCGACACAAACGTGCGTGTGTGTGTACACGTGTGTGTGTGTACACGTGTGTGTGTACACGTGTGTGTGTGTACACGTGTGGGTGTACACGTGTGTGTGTGAACACGTGTGTGGGTGTACACGTGTGTGGGGAGCGGTAGTGTAGCGGTTAGCGCGCTGCAATACGAACCTGGCGACCCGAGTTCGATTCCCGCTCGTGGCCAACACCAGTGACGATTATCTGAACCGGTCATGGGCCTCCCCTAGGTCGACTCAGCCTCAAAATGAGTACCTTGTGCGGTGTGTAAACATCGCCACTGGGGAAACAAAGGTGGCCGGGCGTGGTTCTGGTCACCCACCCCATCGTGTCCCGTGCCAGCCTTCATAGGTACTCGCAAACAGCGTTTTCCCCAACAGTCTGTTAAGGTTATACCGGGGATCTTTGTAATTGCCTTTGTGTGTGTTAGTATGGCGAGCGGTTGCGCAGTGGTTAGCACACCGCACAATGAGTCAGGTGGCCAGATTTAGATTCCTGCTCACGACCAGTAACAGTGGGCAATAGTTAGTGCTGTGTCTTCATATGTGCATGCTAACAGACCTTGCCCTAACAGTCTGCTAAGGCTAAAGGGGGGATCTTTGTCTTTGTTAGTAAGAACACATCGCGGTCACAATAATCATTTCATATTCATCATTGCCATCATCCATCGGCCGTTCATTTAATTAAAATTGTTTGGATGGCCGATAGAGAGGACAAAGATGAAAACATCCTCCGAAAAAACCTTATTCTACCTGTGAACAGGTTCAACTTGAACCTCATTCATCCTCTGCCCAATGCCAGGCGTTTGCCTAAAAATTCTTCCATACGACCTTGAGTCTTCTTCTCTGTCTGCAGCTCACCGTGATGACGATGATAATGGGGATGATGGTGATGATGACGATTGTGATGATGATGACGACGATGGCGATGATAATGATAATGATGATAATGGGGACACTGATGGTGATGACGACGATCGTGATGAAGATGATGATGGCGACGATGGCGATGATAATGATGATAATGGGGACACTGATGGTGATGATGACGATCGTGATGACGATGAAAATGATGATAACGACGATGACAATGGCGATGATGATGATAATGATGATAATGGGGTCGCTGATGGTGATGACGACGATGATGGTGATGCTGACGATCGTGATGACGATGAAGATGATGGTGATGACGACGATGATGGTGATGCTGACGATCGTGATGACGATGACAATGGCGATGATGATGGTGATGACGACGATGACGGTGATGATGACGATCGTGATGACGATGACAATGGTGACACACCTTCACGTTGGAGGGATCAAAGAGTCCCTCGGGAATCTTGAGGCGCTCGGCCCCAAAGTCGCAGTTGTAGCCGTTGGTGAACTCATAGTGCACGGTCGGCATCTGGGCAGCAGACCTGGCATGGCGAGGGGAGGAGGGGGGCCACAGAGGGGGGGCATGGGGGGGGGCACAATGAACGTGGGAGGGGGAGGGGCAGACTCACGTTGCCAGAGGCACGCAGAGGTCCGGATGGTGGGATCAGGGTTGGGTTTAGGGTGGAGAGACGGATTTGTTAATGGTAGCTCGCCCTTGAAAATCGTCGCCATTGTTATTATAATAATAATCAATCATCATCATCAGCCAATCACTCTCAACTGTGGCCACCTGGAAGCCATGGCAACATAGAACGACTCAATGGGCCGATTCACAAATACGAAGGAGGAGGCCTCGCCACACCACCCCGCTGCTCCTGATGCGATTCTCTGGCTCGTTAAACTGAACTAAAACGATAAACATTTATTTTATTTTACCAGCTAAGGCCCACTGAGCTATGTGGCTCTTTTTCAGAGGCGACCTGGCCACAAATGATAGTTCAACGAAGTGGCTTATCACGTGGAAATGTATAGCAGCCAAACACTCTAAACGTATATTGATTCTAAATATGGAGGGAAAAACACAAAGGACGCGGAGAAAAATCCACGCGACCACGGCGAGAACGTGCAAACTCCAAATATACAGGCGTCAGGGTCAGGATTAAATCCACGACCCCCTGTATACCAGGCGAAGTAGTTAACATCTTGCCGTCGTGACGCCCTCCACCTCCATGTTAGATTATAGTTGTTGCTCAACATCAACATCAGCCATACGCAGAAGAATACAGGTTTCCATCGCTTAGCCGCTTCCGAGTGAATTCAAACTGAATAATATAGTGAATGTTGGGTAGAAATCAGGTTATCCGCGCATACGCGAAGTCGCGCAAAGCAAACCCGGAGAGAGCAAGGGGAACCTGTCACGTGAAAATATCGACGGGGAAACGTTCTCACTGCTCGTCGTAGGGAGAATCGGAAACCTGGAGCACCGTCGCTTGGAAGTCCTGGATCACCTCCTGCGCGGGACAAAAACGGCGACACGACATTGAGACACGTGACGACACACAGTCTCATTGAGCCACGTGACGACACACAGGGTCTCAATGAACCACGTGATGCCACACAGGGTCTCAATGAACCACGTGATGCCACACAGGGTCTCAATGAACCACGTGACGACACACAGGGTCGCTCCCGTGCAATGGAACGCATCCTGTAATCAAGCAATGCGGAGGAATGGGCTCGTGAATCACGTGCACTGTGTGATGTGTGGTGAGTTCTGTGCGTTGCGTGCCCTATGGCGTGTGTCCTGTGTGTGTGCTCTGTGCGATTTGTGTGTGCTGTACAGTGTGTATTGTGCAGTGTGTACTCTATGGTGTATGCTGTGTGGTGTGTACTGTTTGAAACCACATTCCAATGTGGTTTTAGGCGTTCCTGCATCGATACCATATTTTCTGCCCGACTGCTACAGCAGAGGTGTAGGGAATTCCAACAGGACCTACATCTCTGCTTTATTGACCTGGTAAAGGCCTATGATAGTATCAGTAGGCCTGGGCTCTGGGTTGTTCTTTGTGCTTTCAGAGTCCATGATTCTCTGCTCACAATCATTAAAGTCCTTCATGATGGTGAGCAGGCCCAGGTAAAACTCCGTGGCCGGGAGTCAGAGTCATTCCCTATTCACCTTGGGGTGCGACAGGGATGTCCCCTGGCTCCCACATTATTTAACATCTATTTCGACGACGCAGTTTGTGAAGCCTTCGATGGCTGTATCAGAGGAATTTCCTTCTGGTACAGATAAAATGGGAGGCTAATCGATGCCAGGGTATGAATGGTTCTCTATTGATCAACCATTTTATGTATGCCGATGATCCGGTGATTGCTGCTCACTCAAAGGAGGAGTTGGAGGCGCTGCTGCTGAACCTGGAGCATGCCACTAAGAGGTGGGCCTCAAATAAAACTAAGCACCTACCTGGGCTTTATGTGCTATCAGACACTCCACACCCATAACTCCCAATTGGTGATGAGGCAGTTGTGGAGAAAGTGGAGAGTTTTCCATACCTGGGCAGTCTGCTCATGACCTGCTCCAGGTTTCACAGCAGAGGTCTCACTCTGAATCAGTCGAGCGGTATTATCTTTTCATCGGCTGCGTAACGCTGTGTCGAAGCCACCTGGTCTGTCGCTCCACACAAAGCTTCGGGCCTTCTCGGCCACGGTCATGCCCTCCCTTCTTTATGCTTGCGAAACGTGGACCCCCCTAATAGAACATCTTCGTCGGTTAGAAACATTTAGGCTGGCCTACGTACGATCCATCCTGGGTTTAACCAGGCTGCATTGTGTGAGGAGCTCAGAAATCCTTGAAAAATCTGGACAAAGTCCCATCAGTGAGCTCCTCCGGCAGGCAAGGTTGCGTTGGCTGGGTCATGAAGCTCGCATGCCCAGACACCACGTGCCTAAACAGGTATTGTTCGGCACGGGTTAGAGAGAAGATGGAGTGATGTGGTACAAGAGGATGTGAAGCTGAGTGGACTTGCCGATGACTGTTACCTGCAGTGTCAAGATCGGCCTCTGTGGAGGAGGCTCATGAAGGATGCTACTGGGCAGTTGGAGGCAGTCGCCTTCCAGCAACAATGGAGGGCAGAGGAGCGATGCTCACAACAACGAGCGGAGTGCCGGGTGGCTAAACACAGCAAGTTGGCACAGTAGGGGGCACAAGTGGTGCATTGGCACCTGAGTTTGTCCCGTGACCTCCTGCCAGCGGGCATTCGACACTTCACGTGGCCTTAACATGCACATAGCCTGGCACAAGCGTCGTGGTGATGTCACCGCCACTTAGTGGTGAATGGCGGTTGTTGTTGTAATGTGGGGTACATGCTGTGTGGTGTGTACTGTGTGTACTGTGTGGCACGTGCTTCACTGTGTGTACTGCATGATGCGTGCTGTGTGGTATGTACCGTGCGTGCTGTGCAGTGCATATTGTGCGGTACTTGCTGTGCGGTGTGTACTGTGCGTACTGTGCTGTGCTTGCGGTGTGTACTGTGAGTACTGCACGACACGTGCTGTGCGGTTTGCACTGCGTGTGCTGCGCGGTATGGTTGCCGTAGGACGCGGTGCCGGGCACTCACGTTGCACATGTACGTGTGCCAGGACTTGCTCACGGTCGGCAGCTTCTCCTTCTTCCTCCAGTTTGGGGGCGCCCCCTCCCGTACCGGCTCCTGCAGGTGACACCCAGGGGGTCATTGCAACGCTGCCACGAAAAACTATGGAAAATTTTTTGTTTTGTTTACCAGGTAAAGGCTCCACTGAGCTATGTAGCTCTTTTTCAGAAGTGACGTGGCCACAAATGATAGCCCAACGAAGTGGCTTATCACGTCGAAATTCAGAGCAGCAAAAATGCTATAAACGCATGTTTCTAAAAGTGGAGGGAAAAACCGGAGGACCCGGAGAAAAATCCACGCGGCCACAGGGAGAGAGAGAGAGACAAGCAAACTCCAACTATACAGATCGAACCCACGACCTCCTGCATACCAGGCGAGTTGGTTAACATCTTGCCACAGCGGCGCCCGGACGAAGGGTGAAGCGGGCTCAGTGGGCCTTACCTGCCAAAATGAAACGATTTAAAGCTTTCGTGACTGCAGGGATTCATCTTCTTGGTTTTTTCGGTAAAGTCGTCACGTAGAAGGGAAGTAATAAAATAATAAAAATAAATATGTTTTATTTTTATTATAATAAAATAATAATAAAATAAAATAAAAAATATGTTTTATTTTTATTATTTTATTACTTCCCTTCTACGTGACTTTACCGAAAAAACCAAGAAGAAAAATGAAACGAGTTTAAGAGTTGAGTTTACCTTGGCGGCAATCTGGTAGGGCGGCGTGATCTCGATGGCAGTCTCCTGGAAGAGCTCGCGGCACTGCATGGTGATGAAGTCTCCGGCGAGCGGCGACTTCACGATGCCTGCGCCGAGTGGACGGACGGACACAGGAGTCAGAGAGACGGACACAGCCTCATCACCCACTAATGGAGAGAGTCCATTGATTCATGAATTCGTTCGCTTGCGCAGGTTACCGTTGCTTGACCGGACGAGAGCCCCGATGAGACTTACTGTCTCTTTCATGAACTCACTCACTCACTCATTCATTCATTCATTCGTGTTGTACTTAATTTTTGCCCAGGTGAGAGCCCATTGACAATCACGATTGCATAAACTCATTCATTTATACACGTGATTTATGTATAACAGGTGAGAGCCAATTGAGACTGACCGGCACCTTCATTGAGTCATTCATCCATTCATCTGTGCATTTTATTTACTAGGGGAGAGGCCATTTAAAACTAATGGCTTTGTTAACTCGTTCATTCATTCGTAAAACGTATTAACAACCAGACGAGAGCCCACTGAGATTAACCGTAAATTGTGTGCACCTATCCTGGCACGAGTGGCGCGTGTGCTCTCACCCTGCTGCAGGACGTATCCGTCGTGCACGGGGATGGCAGTGGTGTGCGTCGCTCCGCTGTCTAGGACCAAACCCGTGGAGCGCCCGTTCGCGAAGCTACGCCGTCGTCAAGGAGACACGAGCAGGGCTGCTTCTTCTATCCCATCATCGTCACCATGGTCATCATCATCATCATCATCACGATCATCGTCATCATCATTGTAGTCGTCAACATCTTCGTCATCATCGTCATTATTATGATCATCATTGTCTTCGTCATCATAGTTCGTTTTATAAATGTCGTCATCATGTTCTTCATTGCCATCTTCATCATCATCGGCATCATCGTAATCATCATCATCATTATCATTGTCATCATCGTCATTGTAATATACATAAATGGAGCCCCATCTGCCCATTTGCAACAATGCCCTTTTATTCAGCAGGCAACTGCTCGCCGAGCCTCACGAATCTTTACGCACACCACCCATTTGTCAAACGACTGCTGGGTGGTGGGCCTCTGGGCTCCAATCTGTAGCTATAACCACAGACCTAACCAGTGGAACAGAGGTCAATGTATCAGCCCGGCTACTGCTTGGCTGTGGCCAGGTTTCCAGCTGTTCCCCGTGGAGGGGGTGCGTGGCGATGTGGGGGGGGGGGATACGCGGAGAGTACGGCCGTCTTGCACAGGAAGAAGGCGGGGATGTTGTAGTGCTCAAACATGATCTCCGTGAGCTTCTCCCTCTTTCCCCGCGCGTTCCACTGCGTGCGGCACAAACGCAAGCCCCGTGAGATGTGACGGGGGTGGACAGACGGATGCACGCGCGGACGGACGGACGGGTGGATAGGTGCACGCGGTGGCGCGTTAGCCGCTTATTGCAGACGTTCAAGATTCGAATCTGGCAGGCCTCCCTGGGTATAACTGCCGGCGCATTAACCGTAGATAGAGCTGCATCCACTACGCATTGGACGTTAAAGACCCCCCCCCCCCCCCCCCGATGACATTCCAAACGAGTGAGCCACTGGGCGCCGACGTCACAGCCAAATTTTGGCAAAAAAAAAAAATTACCCACAAATTACTGCATTGGGAACACAATGCGAACTCGTTCAGACTACGTCTGTGAAATGCTGCAAGAATTTCGCGAACACCAAATGTATTACTTTATTATTGTTATTAGTATAACATACGGAGGGATCGATGGCCGGACAGAAGGATAGACACACAGACGGACGGACGGATGGAGGGACAGAAAAATGTACGGCCAGGTGGACAATTTCGTCATATGTACTCCCCGTCAGAGGTAGACTCATTCCATAACCTCTCAATCTCTACATGGCGGACAAAATACATAACTATACATTATTCGGTTTAACATGCAGGCTTTCACGACCATTATTATCCATAAAAGAGGTTTGTGGGTTCGATCGCGTAAATATAAATGTGTCGTTACATCCGCCACCACCACCCGACACAGCCAACTAGTAAGGTTTGTCACGTAAACAGAACGTGGCCAATTCGTTACTAGTGCAGCCCACCGGTGTGTTGGAGAGTAAACCCACAACATTTACAATTCGAGTACGACGTTTCGCCAGTAATTACAACTAGCATCATCACGTGACAGCCAGAAAGATGGAGAAATTCTCCTCTTTCAGTCTTAAATAGAAAGGTAAATGCGATTTCGTCACCTGTGAGCCAATCAGGAGTTAAATGTCGATTTAAAGTTTTCGTGACCGCAGGGATTCATCTTCTTGGTTCTTTCGGTAAAGTCACGTAGAAGGGAAGTAATAAAATAATAAAAATAAAACATAATAAAATTTCGATTTAAAGCTTTCGTGACTGCAGGGATTCATCTTCTCGGTTCCTTCGGTAAAGTCACCACGTAGAAGGGAAGTAATAAAATAATAAAAATAAAACATAATAAAACAATTCTCACGACGTTTCGGCCACAACGCAAGCAGCCGTCCTCAGGTGAAAACCAGGTCTGTCGAGGCGACAGCGTCTGAATGAAACAGCACACGTGCTTGGAGCATCTATATAAGCTGGGTTGGAAGGGGGGAATTGTTTTATTATGTTTTATTTTTATTATTTTATTACTTCCCTTCTACGTGACTTTACCGAAAGAACCAAGAAGATCAATCAGGAGTGTTATCTTCTTTTTTTCCAGGAATGCCACATTTAGCCTCAAACTCTTTTTTTAGGAGTTCCCTGCACTGGGATGTTTGGTTAATTCTATCTTTAGGAGTGGTTTTCGTGTGGAAGGCAGCTGGAGTAACCCAATAAGAAACCACAGCAAAATGGAAAACACTGAAAGGTCTGCACAGATGGGTTCACAAACCCATTATGCTGTACCGGCAATAGGCTCTTGAGTGATAAAATAACAAAAATATCCTTAGCAGACCAGGGGGCGCCACGTTGGCAAGGTGTTAACTATCTAGGTTGGTATACAGGAGGTCGTCGGTTCGATCCCGACCCTGACGTCTGCTGTATATTTGGAGTTTGCATGTCTCTCTTCCCGTGGTCCCGTCGATTTTTCTCAGGGTCCTCCGGTTATCCCCACCACATTTAGAAACATGCTTTAGGAGTATTTGGCTGCTTTACATTTCCACAGTATAAGCCACTTCGTTGAGTTATTTGTGGCCAGGTCGCTTCTGAATAAACACGACATAGCACCCCTCCCTCTCGAATCCAATTAGTGCAGCTGACATACTTGCATTGACGGATAAAAAATCATTTGCGAGCTCTTTCGAAATGGTTTAACCTCATGTTGCTGCAGGTCAGAATAAGTTTGAGTAGCGGGTCACGTTTTGTGCCCATGGGCCGCAGGCTTCTGACCCCTGGCCGAGACATGCGAACTACGGGCGTCACCCACGTGGGTGAGACGGTCGAGGGAGGGAGGGAGGTGAACTCACGGGAGCCTCGGACATGAGCACGGGATGCAGCGGCGTCTCCGACTTGATGTGCCGGCGGTACGTGTGGTCGAGGATGGCCTGAAAGCTGTCCCAGTCCTCGACTGTTTTGCAAACGGAGGGGCAGATGCGCGCGGACACCGACGACCGTCGATGTTAAGGTAGTCGGAAACGAAAGATGAAAAGTGCGCGAGAGAAACGCGGAGGGGGGGGGGGTGCTTGGAATTGTAATGGGAAAGAAAGATGAACACGTGGATTAGAGAGCACGACTTTAAACCAACATTTCGGTGCACTCAGATGTCGAAGCTCTAATCTCAGAGCACGACGCTCTAATCTCAAATCTCGGCACCCTCATCTCAGATTTCGACGAACCAATCTCAGATCTCAATGCTCTAATCTAATATCTCGACGCTCTAATCTCAGATCTCAACACGCTCATCTCAGATCTCGATGCACTAATCTCAGATCTCAACACGCTCATCTCTGATCTGGACGCTCTAATCTCAGATCTCAACACGCACATCTCAGATCTAGATGCTCTAATCTCAGATCCCGGCATGCTCATCTCAGATCTCGATGCTCTAATCTCAGATCTCAACACGCTTATCTCAGATCTAGATGCTTTAATCTCAGATCCCGGCACGCACATCTCAGATCTCGATGCTCTAATCTCAGATCTCAACACGCTTATCTCAGATCTCGATGCTCTAATCTCAGATCTCGGCACCCTCATCTCAGATCTCAACACCCTCATCTCAGATCTGGACGCTCTAATCTCAGCTCCCGGCACGCGCGCCCCCCCCCCCCTCTCCTCTTCCTCCGATCCCGGAGCGCCCGTCCCTGCCACACACTCATGCCGTTCTTGAGCGGAGAGCAGATCTCGACGCCCTCGCGCGGCACGTGCAGGGCGTTGGTGTCGATGGAGTAGGTGCGCGCGGCGGCGGCGCGCTCCTTGCGCGTTGCGGCATCACCGTCGGTCGGTCCCGCGGCACCGTCTGCCTCGCGCTCGGCGAGCGCCACGCCCAGCGCCGTCGGGAAGTCGGCCTGCGCGAGACGACGGGGAGAGACAGACACGCGTGTAGGCCGAGCAAGGATGCATTGGCGGTGTGCAGTAAACATCGGTACAAAGGTGGTGCTGGCCACCCACAACCTCGTGTGTCGTGCCGACCTTCGTAGGTCCTTGCGGACGGCACTTGCCCAAGAGTCTGTTCAAGGCTATACGGGGGGGGGTCTTTGTCAATTTTTTTTTGACGGCGATGAGAGTTGTTGTGCAAGTATCTCCATGGGCGTGTGATTGCTGGGTAATGGTGGTGATGATGGTGGTGGGAGGGAGCGTGTAATGATTAGAGTTGTGTGTGATTCTGGAGTGATGATGATAATGGTTCATGTTTACGTGTTGTTCATCGTGATGAGTACGCCGCTTGGAGCAGTTACGCTGCTGATGACAGTGATAATGGTGATGGTGTTCGTGGTGTTATCATTTGTGCTGGCAGAGCAATGCAATCCTCTGTGGTAGAGAATGGCCTGTGGAAGAAGAAATCATAGAGCTACATCTGAGATCGCTTCAAGCGACCTCTAGTCCACACACACAGTAGAGGGCAGCATTTTCCACTACATTTGAGAGCGAGATTCGTCGCATTAAAGTCAAAGTGATGTTTTAATTCTCAGAGCTGACATTTAGCCAAATTTAGTGCAGAACCAAAATGTACTGTGATGGTGTTTTTGTGCGGTCATTGGTGACTGCGCTGAGATAATCTACTCACGTGACACGAGTCAGCTGCCTAGATTTCAACCGAGAACCTCAACAGTGACAGCACAGCACTATGACCTCCGAGCCACCCGGTCACCTCTTGTGCGTGTGAGATTTAAGTGTCCGCATGAGAGCGTGATTGTCGGGTGAGGGTGCATGTGTATGTGATTGTCATGGACATGCGGCGTGTGATTGAACATTCGTCCGCCCCAAGCAACAGTGTTGATAATTTTGAGGCCAGTCACTTGCAGTAGCATATTTAGAAGCCGAAATGGAACAGATGAAAAACGTAGCGTGATTTGAAATGGGCGCGTGATGGAAAAGTTGAAGATTCTTTTACCTTGGGACAATCCTCCCCGGCATATCCAGCACGCACCGTGTACGATCCGATGTCAAAGACAAGCGCTCCCACTTCGTCTGTGGAACGATGACAGCGAAAACAGTAACAACAACAACCACCACCACCACACAGTGAAACAGCCTGTGGTGGTGCTGGCCCATTGGGGGCCCTGAGACAGGAATGATTATGGAGGACCCCTTCCTTTCCATTTATAACATCCCAGTCGGATACCAGAAGGGATATAGACAAGTTCGATATCCAGGTCGCCTCTTATCCACGGCCATAAAACCCACGACCGCTATTATCCACGGCAGCTGTAGGGTCCGCGAAAACTCCAATTTTCTGCGGCACTATTTAGGATTATTATTATCTGCAATTGTACCCATAATGCATAGCGAATGACTTCCTATTATTCACGCTTTTTCCGTGGAAAAGAGGAGTCACGTGGCAAACTTATTCTATTATCCCCCTGGATAGGAGGAGTAAACCTGCAATATTGGTGCCCCTCTATATGACAGTAGATAACAAGAGTTATCTACGGGTTTTTTGTCGTTGTAAATTATCTTGTTTTGCTTAATCAGGGTTTCTATTTGGGATGAAGAAATTGGCTCAAATTTTTTCATGAATCTGGGGGCCCTTGAGCTCTTAGGTCTCGCAGCGTTTGCTGAATTTGCCGAGTGTATGTTTGTCTTTTTACACATTTTATGCTGACTTCCTGGATTTTGTCCTCAATGCTTGGTGTAGTTTCGAACGCAAATCGTACCTAATTACTGCTAAATCTGGTTGTGAGAATTGTTCCTCGACTCACCGGTGGCTTAGCTGGCGCACCAATAACCGAGCCCTTAAAACGCTCCACCACGTGACGTTTTAATCTTAATTTTGTTAATTATGTCGGGTGGTGGGAGGGTCTTACGACACACATTTATCCAGATCATTACGGGGCCTAACCCTCAACAAAAACAGTGAATCATCATAAACATAACACACGCGGCTATTTAAGCGAGGACCGAATGGTTTGCTGCTTTGGTGGAATGAATAGTTAGTGCACAATGGACTTGCCCGTCGTCCAGAGGAGTACAGGTTCAATTCCATCTCCCGGCGTGGCAGCTGAAGCATTGAGTTACAGTACGTGGGTCCACCATGCGGTTAGCCAATCGTCAGTTCGCGTGTGGTGGGGTCAAGTGTAAGTGCGTCCTCTTCCAACACCTCTGCTCAGTGTGGAAGTGTGGGCCAATTGCCCTCTGGAGCTCCCTCTGGTGGCGGCCCTTCCGCAAGCATTGGCGTGAGCAAGAAATTGCAGCGCTGCACCTTTACCTTTCTACTGTGTTTACCCGTAGGGTATCAGAGACCATTCATTGCAAAAATTTCACTTGGATCTATTACCTTTTCGGAATCGGAAATCGATTCTGAAAACCGGTTATCGTTGATCAACCCTCATGAATACATTGTCGTGGATGTACAAATACAAAGAAGACAAAGATCCCCCGTATAGTCTCGACAGACTGTTGGGCCAAGTGCTGTTAGCGAGCACCTATGAAGGGCGGAACGACACACGAGGGGGTGGGCGCACAGCACCACGCCCGGCCGCCTTTGTCTCCCCAGTGGCGATGTTTACACACCGCACCAGGTACTCATTGAAAGCTGAGTCGACCTAGGGGGAGGCCCAGGGCCGGTTCAGATAGTCATCACTGGTGGTCGCTATGCCATATACGTATACATAAACATAAGCATTGACACATGTGCATAAACCGTAGGCTTATACAATTAGACGCGGTACATATAAACGCATACTGCACGTGTGTCCATCTGCTGTGTGTCTGCACACACACATAGACTATAGAGCAGATACGCCAATCAATGATTCAATTACCCTTTTGTAATACACGTGCACCTATAGCCCCTACTGCTAACATTTGGCAGGATCCGCCTGCAAAGGAGTCATGAGACTCTTGGTTAAACAAACGTTAAGAAATATACCCGTGTGTGTACACGCAGTTCGCATGAACCCATACATTTCTACGCATGCAGACTCATAGATATGCATACGTGCCATGCGTACGTACACACCATTCATGGACAAAGACATTGATATTCACACGCATACATGCCCATATAGAAGACACCCATACATATCCAGTGAACATAAATATTCACGCACACGGACCCATACATACACGCAAAAAGACATGGTCACATACATGCATGTACTTTTGTACATAAACGGATGTGTGTGTGCGTATACCAGACGACAAAGATCCCCCGTATAGCCTATAACGGACTGTTGGGGCAAGTGCTGTTAGCGAGCACCTATGAAGGCCAACCCAGCACACGAGAGGGATGGGTGGCCAGCTCCACGGCCGACCGCCTTTTGCGCTCTCCAACGTTGATATTAACACACCGCATCGAGTACTCATTCAACGCTGAGTCGACCTAGGGGAGGCCCAGGACCGGTTCAAATGCTTTATCCGCCACCGGCGGGAATCGAACGCGTGTCGCTGGGTTCGCAGCCCGCTAACCACTGCGCCACCGCTCCCCCCCACATGGCATACACCACACACAAACCGCATATCCTTTAAAAGACTGTATGAGCAAGTACTGTTGAGCGAGCACCTTCGTACGTTCACACACGCGCACGCACGCACACACAGCCGTGCAGAAACCCCCACCGGGTCGCTGTCCAGTATTTACCTCCTCCATAAACACCTCCGCTCATTCTGGGCAGCAGGGCAGCAGGGCAGGGGTTTTATCTCGCGGACGCTGCCCCTTTTTTTTGCTTCTTTCTCTCTGCGGTGCTCCCGTGTCAACCCCGCCACTGCCTATTGTATAGCACCTACTGCCGTGTGGAAGCTGTCGTATTCCCTACCGGATAGAACGGCGCGCGCCTATGGGTCCGTGTGCGCGCGTGCGTGCGTGCGTGTGCGCGTGTGTGTGCGTGTGTGCGTGCGTGTGCGCGTGTGTGTGCGTGCGTGTGCGCGTGTGTGCGTGCGTGCGTGTGTGTGCGTGCGTGTGCGCGCGCGTGTGCGTGCGTGCGTGTGCGCGTGTGCGTGCGTGTGCCCCATGCGTTGCACATCACACATCGCACACGACGCATACAAAATAACGCCGACGCTCTCTCTCATACACACACACACAGCGCACGCATTGTCTCTTTGAAAATGTAAAAAACACAAGCGAACAAAATAATTGAGCTGTACACAGCGCATTATTACGTTATATCATTAGTATTTACGAATGAGTTGATTTTTTTTGGCGAAATTAATGAAATCGCTGTAATGCTGCGAGGTCTTGTGTGATGGCTAAGCTGAGGTTGTTGCTGTATTAGATATTTAAAAAAATGTGTGCGCGTGCCATGGGCCGCTGTACGGCTCGTTTGCCGCAATGTTGGCCTCAATAATGGGAAGCGTGGGGTTTATTATCTATGGGAGGGGCTGGGAGACACCGGGCTCGTGTCCCCTACTCTCTCTCTCCCTTTCACTGGGATGACAGAGAAAGCCACGGGGATGTGGAGAGACGGAGAGACAAGAGAGAGAGACACCACTCCCGCTCCCCGCAACGCAGTGGTGGTGCTAGCACATCGGGGGGGGGGGGGAGGGCTAATCTAAGCAGAAATATATTTTTTTGTCCACCCACCCTCCCCCCTCTCTTTCGATTTCATACGTTCCTAGTGAGATGAATACATATTGACGGCGGTGAGATATGTATCGAGATAAATGCGTTCGCGTGCTTAATGCAACTAAGATATTTTAATTATGGTATTAGCATTAACAGATCGTCGAGTTTATATGGCGCAACATTTGAGACGGCGTTTTCTGTGCACCTAATTTTGGTTTTAAAATCTGGGGCCTCTTAGGATACTTGAGGCCGCAAGGTTTTGCTTATTTGCGTTTGCCTTCGCGCCACCACGTCACGCCTGAGAGAAGCCCCCACGGTGTCCCCTGGCTGAGCCGGCACTAGGACACTCGTTTCGCTGGGGGGTGGTGGAAGCACGTGGGGATGGGAGTGCTGGGCGTAGCAGCCAGTGTAAGATGACGTCGCCGTGAAATTATGATGAGGGATTGAGTGGGCACCCTAAGATCTCGGGACCTCAGAGATTGTATTCTGCAAAATATTGACGACGATGATTATTAGGTGCGACTGATGGTGAAAATGCTGATGAGTGAGATCATGACATTCCACAATCTCGCTCATATATTGTTTTCATCAATTGCACATCATAAACATGTTCATACAAATACAATCTTTGATTTATGGGCTTGGTGGACACGACGTTGAGATGAGAGGATTGCGTTCAAGGGACACTGTGATGATGTCATCGTGAATGCATGATGATTGAGTGGTGATCGTGGATTTCCGTGGCCTCGCTCAGCATAATTCCCATCATCAAGAGCACGTGGTCATCATCATCTATTTTTTTTCCTATGCTCACATTTCAAGATACTGTAAATTAAACAATTTGATCATGGTGGTCGGTAAATACTCGTGGGGATGGCAGACCTGGGCGTGAGAGTCAACGTGCGGATGACGTCACCGCAAATGTATTATGAATGGAGTGGTGATCGTGACGTTTTGTGATCTCACTGCGATCAGCGTGATGGTGAGCACCAAAATCATCGTGAGATCACGAGATCTCGACACGATCACCCAATTCATAACGGCGGTGCTCGCGATCGGGTTCATCCTCACCGCATTATCGAGATTAATCACGCGTTCAACTTTACTGATATTACGACGATGATGATATTGTTGTCCAAGCGAGAGCAACATCATCATGATCATCATCGATATAATAACTAGGTATGAATCAAGATTTCGTTACACGAGAAATCCGTGATGATGTCATTGTCATGGTGGTCACGATAATCAATTATACCGTTATTATGTCATCATTAATTAATAAATAGCTCATCAGAAACAAAATGTAATTAATAAATTGCTGGATTAATACCAGCTCCATTACATCATCATCAATACAATCACAATTAACCACAATCAATCTGCTGCAATAGTATATTATCTATGATTTGGATTAACATCTCAAGAGATTCGTGATTTTTCAACACTCACTAGCTCCTTCAAATTCACAATCATGATGAATTGCGCTGCACATCATCAGCATCATCATGCCCCGATGATATTCCACTTGCTAAACAGCAAATTAACGATTGTTAATTAATATCAGCCATGATCAATCCACCACCAATATCTCACGATCCTGCGATGCAACAATACAGCCGGCAGCTGCACGAAAACCGATTTCATCATTCCATCTCCTGCGGATGACGTGTGCCATTAAGAATTAATTACAATAAATAAAATATATATATATATGCAAGGACCGCACTGCATCTTGTTTCAGTGCCTGAATGGCATTGTGACAGTGTCTCTATTTGGGAGACCTGTGCTGTTTGTTATCAAATGCATCTTCATTTTATCATCATCATCAACCATCATATCATCACGTAGATATTTGCTGCTCAAAGCCCCCGAATTTCCCACCACGCACAAGCACGACCACCCATCCTTTTCGTATTTCCCACCACATATAGGCGTGGAACCCAACAGGTTTACATTTCCCACCACGCATAAGCAATCGTCGCCCCGTTTGAGATTTCCTACTGCGCACAGGCGGTCACGCCTTTGACCGAATCAGATTTTTGATATTGGAAGGCTAAGCAGATTTTGGGCCTGGACATTGCACGGATTGGGTGACTGTAGTTGCAGGCTTGCTGCTGTGGTTGAGTCTGCATTGTGAACAGCAGACGGCATTGCAGCAATATCCATTATTGTACTGTAGTCTGATCCCACGTCTATGTTGTTTAACGCCTTAGAATCCCCACAGCGCATTGACACGACCACCAAACGAGACGTTTTTACACATTCTTCACCCCCTTACGTGCGCATCCGCGTTGGGAAATCTAAACCCTGCGTGCAGCCAACGCGGGGTTTCCCCAACTCGCGCACAGGGCTGGGTGAGACGGCGGGGGGAGGGAGTGGGGGGGGGGGAGACAAAGAAAGAGGCGGGGACTAATTTGTAGGCGTGGCTTAGCGCGCGCGCACCGCCCCCCCCCGAATCTACGAAGTAAATAAATAAATAATCAGAGCTCCCTCCCTCCACCCACCCCCTTCCTAACAGCCCCGCCCCTCACGCAAAGGCCCCAGCGCGAGGCGGGCCCGGGGGGCAAACTTGCCTCCTGCCGCCGCCGCCGCGCTCGATACGGACTCTGTTGTACACGCGCCTACCCGCCCTGGGGGCGCTCGTCAACGGCGGGCGCGAGGACCACGCCGCGTTGGGAAGCGCCCTCGGGGCGGTTGGCGCGTCCGTTTGTTGGGGCGGCGGCGGCTACCGCGCCCATTTCCTGCGGATGAGCGCGCGCGCAGCGTCCGTTGGAACCACGACGGCGTCGGCGGCGTTTGGTTGAACATTACCGTCGTTTTAAATTTGCTTAATTAACGGAATTAAAATAAAGTATAATCATCGTCTCTCGTTCGTTTGGTGTTGGTTATTCTAGTGGCGACGTCGTTGTTAGACGGGTTTTTTTTTATTTTATTTTGATATATTTTTTCCCCGTTTAAGATTGTTTTGAAAGGAGAGTGGGGTTGTAGGCGTGAAGTAGGGAAGTTTTCTCGTCAGATTGATTGCGTTAAACATTTAGACAAACGTTCATATCCAATTGTAACACAAAAAATAGCCCCGTAAAATCGTGACATTGTAATAAGACAAATAATAAAATAACTCCGCTGAGGCAGAGCCAGCCGGCATTGGAAAAGCCCCAACATCAGCCTCCGCCGTCAGGTAAAAAATCCAATTTGTACACGACAACCACCACAAATAATACATCCAAACAATCTCACTCACAAATAACAACACCAACCTTGCTAGTTATAACCAATTAACGCTGTTTAATGAACAAATTAGTGCGAGTGACGGCTCGGGCCTGCGGTGCGGGGTGAGGCCTGGCTAGACTAGCGACGCTCCAAATCATCTTAAAGATTGTCGTTACATAACAACATCAGTTATAATCATAAACGTAATTATACTAATTATTACGACTGTGGTGTGAGCTATAATGTCTCGTTAATTGGAGGTGGTAGGTTAAACCCGTTTGGGTTTAAGCCGCGGCTGGGCTGTTAATCCGCTTTGGTGCCAATGCCGCATCTCATTAAACGCGGCCGCGCCGATTCTACTTTGCATTATAAATAATCACCATTATTGTACAAGCAAATATAATCCTTTGTTGTCATCATTGACGTCGTTTGAGTCGGTTAATTTCACAGCCCTAGGCGTGGGGAAACGTGTGTACGTGCTTGTGCGCGGTTACACCGTCACGCAATACAGTACACGACTACCTTAATACATTTTAATATCCATAACAAAACAAAAGAAACACGGCTGCATATTGTCTGTAAGGAAGGCCGTTGCCGAAATGTCCTTAAAACCACAGTATCTTGTCGGTAACAAACACAACCCACCACCGTGTGTTGCCTTCATACGTACGTACCGCTTTAAACCGTGCATGTTTTTTTATTGTACAGCGCGGTGTGAAATCACTCGCATTTCATGCGTCTCACCTGTGTATATATGTGTGCACGTCTCGATCTAGTAACACAAGCAACGAGCAGCGATTTTTTAAAAATATTATTTGTATCACCCCCCCCCCTTCCACCCACCTCTCTCTCTAAAATGTTGATATTTAATGAAATAATTCGCCTGCCCGCTCTCTGCCGGCCATTTTCACGCCTCCGCTTCTCTGTTCGCTTGGCGAGACGGAGACGAAGCGAACGAACGAGGCACCGCCGCGCCCCGTGATCTTGGGGGGCCTCTTCCCCTCCTCCTACTCATCATCATCATCCTCTTCTTTAGCCATCGCTACCAAACAACCAACCCTCCACCTCTTTAGCCCATCTCTACCAACCTACCAACCAACCCACCCCCCCCTCTCCCTTCTTCGTCTTCTTTCTGAGCGAAATAGATTTGTCGAAACGCACATTTTTTTCGGGGGTGGGGGGGGGGGGTAGTGCCTTTGCTTAGTTGGGATTTTTTTGTAACATTAATTTGTTGCCGCAAACGGATTTAATCATTGTGCTTCTTGGGGGGTGGGCGTGTGTGTGTGTGTGCTGCTTTTTAAACAAGCGCGGCGGTCGGTGGCTTTGCGAGCCCGAGCCTCTGCCCGCCGTGTCTGTGAAGGTACGTGCTCGTTGCTATTATTATTGTTGTTATTGCAGAAATAAAACCGGCGGGCGAGGGGGGGGCACAGGTTTCATTGTAAAATCCAGCGGATATTTTGAGGGTCATTGTTTAAACAAAAAATGTCACCACACACCGTCCCCCCCCCCTCGTGTTTTTTCGCCTGCACGTCCACGCATTGGGAGATGGTTGGTGGTGGTGGGGATATTTGCCGAGAAATGGGGCTCCCTGTTCGCTCTTTCGTCCGTGCAGTCGTCGATGCTACGCGTAATTCGCAGTGCCCGCGGATTGCCGTGCTGTTGTTACTCCATTTTTAAAAGGCTTCCCACACCCCCCACCACCACCCTTTTTTGAGACGTATTGTTTGGACGCGTGCAGACATTGCAGAGCATTGCGTTCTTCGTATGCCTCCCACATGCATTGGCGCCGAGCGTGTGCACGTATACGTGTCCGCTGTGTACAGTATACGGATAGGACAGCGAGCAGAGCTCACGCTGTTGGGAGATAGTCGACTCTTCGCCGTTGTCACCATTGTTTTTCGTTGCCCCCCAGCCGTCGTAGTTTGCCCTGCACGGTGGGTAAATTGATCGCTGCTTGGTACAGGGCGGTCGGCGTTGGACGCGACGTTGATTAAGGAGAGAGACGTGGGATTTTCATCGGTGGCAATGACAGACGGCGACAGTGGAGGAGTGACGTCTCCGGTGCTCGAGACACGAGAAGAATTTGATTTTGGACGTACAGTACACAGGGGGGTGTGTGGTGTGCATAGAAAGCACAGAAGCCTTCTCCAGCCGTCCGTTGCTGTGCACGGTGTGTGCATTAGGTGGCTCGCAGCCATTCACGGATACAGTCATGCAACCGACCCTTTGAGGCAGCCCGGGTGTTGATTGTCTTAATTCCTACGCCCGTGTCGCATCCCGTATTTTTCAAGTTTGCATGCGTGTTGAGGGGGGGGGGGGGTTTATAAAGATTCAGGCTGAAGTGCCGAACCGACAAATCTTTGATCCGAAATCAAAACTGGGTCAGAGCACCTGCGTTGCATGCTCACCCCGGGCCATTGTGAAACCCACCCGCCGATGAGACACTGTGTCTGTGTGTAACCGCACGGCCACGTTTGTGCGTCTGTCCGCCCGTCTCAGTCGCCCTCTTGTGGCTGCAGAGTGTACACGCGTGGCATGTTGGGGGGGGGGGGGGGGGCTTGGGTACATGCATCGTGCGGAATAAGGTGTTCCTTGCTTCATGGTTAATTTTCGCCTCCCAATAAACGCTCAGGAAAATGTTGCAAATGTGGGATCCTAAAATGTGCAGGACAGAACACGCGCTGTTATGCAATGTGCATGGGCCGTGTAGGGAGGGGGAGAGTGGAGTAGGGCTGGATGGATTGGTGGTGAAGGCTCCTGGGAGATGAGGGGAGGGCTGAATGCAGTGGTTCTGATGAGGAGAGAGGCAGGGTGTGAAAGGGTGAGGAGAAAGGGGAATGGTGAGCCGATATGGAAGGAGTGTGAACAGGCATGTGAAATTACCCTATGTTATACTCCCACCTATGCTTTTTCATAATTCATGGGAATGCTGAATGGGCTTCACCCATAAAGCAATACCCCTACGTTATTTTCTAAATTGACATGTTTTGTCAGTGGAGCAAGTTTGGACACATGGTGCAAGTCAGCCCGTGATGAACATCTTATTGCTGTGTGCATCTAATCGCTGACAAATTATTTGTAGTGTTGCATTTTAAATGACACTGGTCTTCAAACAAAAAAAGTGCTTTTTTTTCTGTAATCTCTGCATCCACCACACTGCACCTGCCCCCCTCCAGATGTGCTCGCACCACCCAGTGTCCCTTTCAGGGGAGTTCTGAGGACAAGTGGAATTCTGGTACACACACGGCTATAAACCGAGTCCCCTCCCACCACAGTACTCTTAATGACAGTGGACATTTGCTCCTAAGTTATTTCTTTCCTGTGACCATGGCGATAATGATGAGTGAATTCTGTCTAGCTGTTATGTGCAAGTCCCCTGTCCAACTTGATGACTGATTCTGTTCAGAAAGGGATGCCATGTTCGATGAAAGCTGTTAAGCTGTTTTTTCCCTGAACAACCTGTCAGGACTTGTTCCAATATCTAGTATGCCTAGCAAATGTGGTTGTGATTGGCATCCGTTCCTTGCCTATTTCAGATGAACAATATTTAAACGGGAACTTGCTGCATGACCTCCTGCTTACAAGTTTGTATATAAATGTTACATTTGGTTGTCATGCTGTGAAGTTAAAATATCTTTTGTAATAATGATTGTTTACCCAGGAAAGCCTTGCTATGCCTCAGGGATCTTTCAGGAGGATCCTGCTGTGGGATGTTTTAAGACGGTTCCTGTTTTTGAGTAGTTTTTGTGCTTGGGAGGAAGTGGCATGCCGAGAGAAAAACTACACTTGCAAGGGGATATACCACTTAATCCACACAAGTAATATAGTCAGAAGTCTATTTGATGTGCCCTGGCTGCATCTCTGATCCAGCAACCCTGACTCAAAGTCTCGTGATTTTACACATGTGTGACATTAACCTCAGATGTCCCCATGTAGAAGTAAATGCAGCTGGAAACCAGTTGTTTCCGTGGATGCCTATTTGTAGTTAAGGTCACCCATTGACCTTTGAGCAGATGAAACTGTGGTTTTGGTCCATAATATACCTAAACATAATAGGCCATGAACTAAACATTTTTAATTTGTGATACAGAACAGCTTGACGGCCCTGAAGTTAGCTTGTAAATAAGGTCCTAAACAAATAAAAGTCTATACAGTTGTGGAGTATGGTGCAATTTTCACAAGAGCCAGAAAGACATTCGAGTTCAAGATAAGACTTGCCATGTAACAGTTGCCTACATTTTTAATTGGTTTGTTTAAAAATGTTTGACACGACTCAGTTTTATCAGACTGGGTGCGAATATCCAGTATTCAATTTCATAGCATGGCTCTAGAGTGTTGTGCCTGTGAGATTGTTTATGTAATAGTTATATTGTTCAGATTGCTGTTGTGAAATGTCTCAATGCCGATTGCTTGTGATCTTAGGCGGACACCTTTTGGGTTTCCTTACATGCGAGAGGAAGCTAATACCCAGAGACAGGACTTAGATGCATACAAATAGGTCAGCAACCTACTCAATGCACTGGGTGACACGCATCTGATCTCAACGTGATTCGCCAACCAAGCTCCACCACGCCCAGTCCTATATCTCTGGCTTCATGAAGGTTATCAAATATGCAGTTGTAAAAAACAGGGCGTGTTGTAGTGTTATACAACTGCGTTGGGGGATTTACAGTGAACCTTGTTGGCCCGTTTAGTTTAGGTTCACTATAAGATGTTCCTTCTGTTAAGAGATTACTGTAAAATGGGTTCAAATTGGTGGCCTCGTGCTGGCCTGTGAGGTTTTCAGAGGATGCCAAAAATCACACGAGGGCACATGGCCACATCCATGCACCGAAAACAAGAAAATGGAGATTAAAAGGGCAAACCATCTGTGTGGGATTTGAAGATTTTCACTGCCTGCAAGTGCATAGGTCTTTCTGAAATTGTTAATTTTAAAACGTGTTTTTAGTGCCTTGAGTGTCATGTAAAGTTTGATCAAAATATAGTGTTTTTTTCAATTTGTGTACATGCGTGTCTGCTGATTGCAGCCTTTTTTTTTGCTTCTTAACGTAAGACAATATGCATTTTAAAACATTAACAGCACAATGTTTAGATATCACAGCAGTGGTGAGATGCGGTTACAAGGAGAAATGGGATATTTCATGATACAAAGATGCATCGAAGCACTTAAATGCCCTTATACTGTTTCCACTTTGAATTTTGTTTTCTGCCTGAAGTGTGTGCACAGGAAAAGGTTCTTCACTTTGAAAGCTTCTGTATTGTGTGCCCCATGAAATATTGCATTTGCATGTTTTGCTCTTATACATTTGCCTACGTAATTGCGCGCAAAGCAACTAGTACATTGCTTTAAAAAAACTTCCTTGGTCAATGAACTTAACATGTAAGCACTGAGCAGAGCCATCTGTCGCATTTTATCCATGATATCAGGATATGCTTGGAGCGTGGACTCGGCTCTCTTGTTAAGCCAAAATATTGCAATACTTCTTGTACATTTACTCACCACCATGTTTTCCTTTGTTCCCGTAAGTAGTTGTAACATTTTTATTATGGGTAGAACTGTACCTTACAGCTTGGGTTTTTATACATGAAATTGGCCGATTACTTGGGTTTTAAAATGCTGTTAGGAATATGCTTTGTCTAGAAATATCCTTGTGTACATGGAAAAAGATTGAACTGTTTTAGTGGAATGCTGTGTTCACAAGTGCAAATATGCTTCACGAGTTTTGGTGAATGCTGCAAACATTGGACAAGGCTTATACTAATTCTGTTGTCAGGGTGCCATTTATTTCCTTACCAGTGGGAAACATCACCCTGTGTTTTTGGGAGTGCCATTTTTTTATGTGATTGGTCTGGCGCCTTTCCCGTATGTGGACTTCATTTCACCAAAATGTTGGGGGCTGTTGGAAGCATACTGCTCTCTATTCAAACTAGCATTAAGAATGTAATCATAGCCTGCAGGATTTTACTGATTGACAAGATGTTGGTGCCCATGTTACACGACCACCATTCAGTAACTGCTCTAGGCCAGATTTGCTTTTAGATTCAGCCATGCCTATGAGTTTTGTTCAGATTTAAAATAACCTGCTGCAGCAGCCCAGCAAGGCATGCACCTTGTACAGGAATGCCTGCGATCCTTTTCAAGATATATTTCTCATTTAATTGGCCTCTGTGTCTGAAGTAAAGTATATGCATGTAGTTTTATGATGTTTTAAGCATGGCAGCCCCTTTAATCCTTGGCCAACGATATTTTAGTCACAGGAGCTGGGTATTCAATGTTGATCTCCTTAATACAAACCAGGAAATTATCAATGCTAATTCAGATAAATCAGGATCTCTGCACTTGTATCTGATATGATGGCATCCGATTATGCACGATTAGGCCATCTGTTTTGCCCATGTAATGCTATTTCTCACGCAGTGGCAGTGTCTGTACCTCGTGTGCTGTGTGCAATTCATTGCAACAAAAACCCCAGTGAGCCTGCCAAGCCATTTTCTAGGGCCTTCCATTATTGCACGCCCTCCTGTGCGAGTGGGTTTTCCCCGTTCTCTATGGGGAAAAATAACAACATGAAAGTGTAAAAAAACACCGATGTTTACGGAATTATTTGCAGAATGTCGTTTTGTACGTCGGTGTAACAATTACAATGCAGGGGAGAATCTTGGGTAGAGTGCAACAATACCTCTTTTGTTCGCTCGTCATTTTGTCTCATTGCTGATACACGCATGTTGCATTAGGGTGCCTTTTGAGCTGCAAAGTCCGTGGTTTTAGCTACGAGCACATTAGGGCTGCCGTCGGCCAGTGCCCAGGGACCACCTAAATGGCCGCTTCCTGCTGAGCTAGTGGGGATGGGTGGGCCTGGTGAAACCCCCATCTCCCACCCACCCTCTCCCCCTCCATGTGTCTCTTGGTTGCGGCCTTCCCCTCCCCTCCCCGGCACACGTGAAATATTAATGAGACTGAGAGCTATCACATGCTGAGCCATCGCGTGATGGCGAGGGCATGCATCTTTTATCGCGTTTATTGTTCGTTCAGGCCTTCTCGTTGCAAATCTTTTTCAAATTTTCGTACTTTTTTTTTTGCTACGAGTGTTAGTTTTTTGTGTTATTTGCACCCTCATAATGTGTCATGGGGGGAAAAAATACCTTCTGTGTTCCTGTGCAAAATGTGAAGCAAATCTCTGATGTTTACATGCTGAAAGCAACCGGCGAGATTCATCTTTGTGCGTGGGGTGGTGCTGCGGAATTATTTATTTTTTTAAGGACACAGGCGCGGCAGCGTCATTCGGCGACGCCCTGCTCTCCCGATCGCTCCTCCTGCGCACAGGCCCTTGTGTAACGGTCGGGTGACGTCTCTGAACAGGCCTGCCTTGTGTCTGCCCCCTTTCCCACAGCGGGCCTTGGCCCAGCAGTCTATTCACGGTTGGCTGATCTGCGCAGAGCGAGCGAGAGTGCAAACAAACGTAAGCGTGTGCAGCAAAAAAAAAACCTTCGTCTGACGTTTTGAGGTCAGGATTTCCAGGAAGCCTTTCTCCTAGACGTTGTCTTCAAAAATAAAGCTTTTATTGTGATATTAAAAACGTCGTATGGGTAGCAGCTTGTCTGTGCGTCATTACTATTTTAACACTTTCAGTCCCTACGTGTAACTGATGTGATCATGTAAAAGAAATATACAAAAATATCTGTAAAGAAAGCATGTTTTAGGTTTCTGACAAGCCGACAATGTCGCCGTTGGCCAAATCTCCACTCATTTTATGTAGCCTTCGGTCAAATCTCTACTCAGATTTTTTTCCTTTTATTGCTTGTCTATGCATGTTTGCACACTGATAATTTGCATTCTGGAGGTTGCTTTGTCCTTGTTGAGAAGTAAAAATGTAAATTTAATGCACAGTTGTGAATTTAATATAATTAATGTTCATTTATACTGTAATAATGATATGGTCACATTGTTACTGTAATGGCTTGCACCCCTTTGTGTGCGCGGATTTGTATTTGCGTGTGTTTTGTTGTTATATCCAGGTCTGCGAAACCGGCTTGTGTGAGGTGACGGCCTTTGGGGGACAAGTGAGCAAGGAGCCGTCGAGCGAACGGGCGTAAGAGAGGCGTAAGACTGAGAGGGAAAACATGAGCGAGTTGGAGCAGTTACGACAGGAGGCCGACCAGCTGAAAAACCAGATCCGGGTGAGATGTTTCATTCAAGGCACGTTATGATGTGAAGTAACCTCAAAGTATTTTGGTTATCTTCATAAAGGGTGCTCTATGAACTGTTATTCCAAGTGTGGGACATTTCAGTAAAATCCCTAACTCTTAAAAAACAGGCTTATTGTTTGGTTATCAGTTATAATTCCTAAAATAAAATGTGTGCTTTTAATTTTATTAATACAATTTATCATTGATGTGACTTATGGAAAGCCATCTTGAAAAATACTGCAAATATTACATTAATGTGGAGATATTGTTTTATTTAGTTTTCACCGCAATTCACAGTAGTCGCCTTAATGTGAAATCCGCATACCCATCCGTGTGTTTGGCATTCCTGCAAAAGTGTTCATCGGGTGAGTGGACATTGCTTGAGTCGGAATCTGTGAACCTTCAACTTAAGAGGTTGGCTCTACACACAGCCCAGCAAGCCTTCGTACATTTTCAATCAATTTAATTCTTTGACGCAAATTCAAGTGACATTAAAAATTAAATTCCTGACGTCAAAGCAAAATTCAATACTTCATTTATTTCACTGAATCCTTATTGGGTTTCCCCCCCTCTGATGGCTGTGCAGGGGATTGCGCTGACGCACGCCTACTGCATGTTTGACTCCGTTGTTAAAACCGTGCGGAGGCATGTGCTTGAAAGCTTGTGCGGGTTTCTCTGCTCAAAGATACCCCGAGTGCGCAAGGAGTGCCCTGCTGACAGGGTGGCCTTTGAATCACAGCGCACACAATGGTGTTAGTAAATTGTGTTTGTATAGATAAGCACAATGGATATGTTCTCAATGTTCAGGTTACTCTGAAAATTGGGCCTAGATACAAAATATTGGACAATCAAAAATTATTTTCTTTCGGATTGATGTGAAAATTACGTTACAGGAAGCGATTCCACTTTCAGTAATGTCACATCCGCAGTTTTCCCACTAATAGTTGTCTCACATGGCATTGGGTGACGTCATACTTGCTAGCACTAAGACGCTTTACATTATTACAACATGTAGATGATCTAAAAATCTGAAAGATCCAAAATTTGTCCAAAAAGTGAAAATCCGAATTTTAAAAATTCAAAATGCCATCCTAGTGGGCACCATAGTGGAGGTGGCCAATTTTTTCTAGGACTGTGTTGTAATGTGTGTTAAAATACTGAGCCAGGCATCTAATACATTTTAGCAGTGTGATTGCAGTCACCAATGATATGATTTAACTATTGTAAAACATTTTCTTAAGCTTAATTTTGTTAATTCCTGAAGTGAAGACTCCGTCACATACAGGGACAGCAGCCAACATATTTTTCTTTGCTGCTAAAAAAATCAGGTTGGTAGTTGATTAATATTGACCTGTAAAGGATTTCAAGGTATGGACCATGATGTTACTCGGGTTTTTCCCAAATGTGTCACTTTCATGAGAATGTTAGAAAATAAATAGTTTACTCTGCTTTGGTGACATTCATGTATGCATAATGCATGACCTAGGCTGCTGTGGTGCTTTTATGGTTAGTTAGCTCTGTACTTACATCTGCATAACATGGGGTCACGGTCATTCTTGTGAAGATGATCCCGCAAAATAACATTAGTTTAAGGTTGTTGCCATGAGTATTTGCTGTATAGAAAACTGGGCACATTCATGATAGGTTTATCCAAAATGTAGTGATGAAAAAACATTGATAATGGTCATTGCTTTTCAACCAACAATTTGTCACATTCCATGACATTGTCTCATCGTCTTGCAGCGTCATGTTCTGCGAGAAGTCATTGTTTTGCACCTCAATATAATGTTATTATTGCTAATTATGAACTTCAGTAAAACGCAGACTAGCCAGACTAATAGGGGAAGCCCTGTTCTGGCTAACTGAAAAGCCTGGCCAGCTCAAATTTCCATACAAATCAATGTAAAAAAACAATACACACACGTGTATTTCAGATTTTTGCATCGTCTACACACACGTGTATTACATATACACATGTACAGCATAGTATGTGTATTTAATATTCGTGGGCGGTTGTTCGTTGACAGACCAAACATACTTGTGTGTACAATATTTCACCGTGGTTATGGTCAGTGAGGGTATGCAGGTGCGACCACCCCTATCGCCCTGCCCTATCCCTCCTGCAAAATAACTAATGTATTGCCATAAGTCAATTTAACACTTTAACTACATTTTCTACACTTAATACCTGTTTTATTGCATTTTATTATAGATTATTGCATTGCATATTCCAAACTGGAATGAGTAAATTATCGTTTTAGATTCGCAATTCTACATGAAATGTACACGTTAAAGATGTTTCTTAATAAGCTGATTCGGTATGGCTGTGAGGAAAATCCAGCTATCCAAAATACGAGTTGCCGAATTCCGGCCATCCAGGATTTTACTGAAATAATAAAACATGAAGGACATTCATTTTGGAAAGTTAGACGATCCATGCATATTCTCGATTTTTCTTCCTCGGTAGTGTATCAAGATACAGTTAAACAGTCCATTTGGGGGCTGAATCCATACAGTGCTTTAGGGCATATTCATAAACTGGTCGCACTTTCACGGAGGATGTAGGGTGACACTTCGTATTTTTACATCTGGTGCTGACATCTAAGCAGACTGACAGCAGCAGCACTTTTTATTTGATCTCAAAGGTTTTGGCCATTTAACCAAATGCGTAAGTTTTAAGTGTGACCTTTCGGCGGTAGTTCAATATTGGGAAAGTAGGACAGCGTACAGATCTCTCGTGAAATTTATGGTTTTGAAAAGCTTTCGCAATCAAGTCTTAAGCGTTCACATAAATTGTGCAACAAAGTAGATTTTGATTTTTTTTTAAATGTACCACTTAAGTCTATTGAGCAGTATCATTCAGAAATGCCAAAATCAAGTAAGCAGATTTTAAATGGCTGGATATTGGTAAGATAACTCAAGAATCGTCTAAGCATTAGGTTAGGGTGAAATAGCTTTACATGCATATTCAAGCACTTTACCTATGGTACATGTATCTGAATGGGTAATACTTTTTCATATCAAGTAGCCCCCCATTTTATTTAAGATCACTGGCGACTGCCAACTTCAGCCACCATCCAGGCCGGGGTTTCTGTTTGATCTTGATATATGTAGATGAATGTTAGATTTGATTTGTATTAACTGTCAAACCATGGAAGTAGCAAAGTAGTTGTGAAAATAATGCAAGGCAGATGTTTACTTTACCTATTGTGACGAAATGTTAGTCGGTTATTTAAAAAAAATTCAAATAATATTTACAGATCTGAATAAAATGTGTTTGGACAAACTTTCAACTAAATATTTGGGTGAAGCTGTTTAATGGCTGATGAGAAACAATTTTAAGTCCCAGACATGCTTCGGAGTAGTATTCAAATAATTAGCAAGATGTACTCGACTGTAGTTGAGAGCCTCTGTTATATGCAGAAGTAATTTTTATTGTTTCAACATTGATATTAATATAATCATGAGATGGTTGTTGAGAGAAGTGACGCCCTGTGGAATGCTTGTTATTGTCAGCACCGCACAGTCAGCACACACCCACGGCCTTGCATTGTGCTGTGGGTGAAGGCGGTGAGCCTTTTTGTGAGGGTGCTCTTCCAACTGAGCTGCTATGGTGTGAGCGTGTAGTAGGCCAGTGTGCGTTTTTAAGTCTGCGCGAGATGCATTGCTGTGCATGTGCTGTGCCGAATGGCTACAAATCACGTAATTTAGGCTTGGGACAACCGGTTGTTGAAATGTAATCCAAAATTTCTAAATTTGGACAGCAAGTTGGTGAGCTGTAACGTCTCTATTTAATGACTTTGCTTAACTGCAAATAATTTATGTTCGCAAACTACGGTGTAAAATCAAATGGAGAAAATAAACAGTGTGTGCTGTGTGTGGCCATAATATTGCAAGATCATTTACAACCAAATATACACAATCATTTTCTAAATTGGCATGTGAAATGTGAATCGGTCATTGTCACTTAATCGTTAGAGTAGTGCTTACATAATACCAACTGCTATTTTGTGCTGCTGTAGATGCTGGTGAAAACTACTGTTCTGATGGAGTTCAGCATTTACTTGTTTAGATTTTTGAGGATATAAGTGCTGATTGACAGACCTAGAAAGTATTTTTGCAAGCTAATGTTAAGTATGGGACACAGCATTACCTGTTAAACATGTCCTAAGATGAACCCCACCAACTGGCCTCCAAGCAGGCAGATTACAACTATGAATGTCGCTTTGTGTGGCTGATATTATGGTTCTTGGTGTCTAAGCGTAGAACCCAACGCTGCATTGTAAAACGTACGTTTAGAGGAAAGTTTCCCGCATGCTTACAAATATTAATTTCACATTGTCATGCAACCAGTGATCTGTGCATATGAACGAATGGACTGGTTCCGCCTGCACTGTATGCAGTGCCTTAACAGTGCTGACCATAGCATAGCTGCTAAAATCTTGAGGTTTGAGGTAACCAGCTTTTAACTCCACATGATGACTGTTTTCTCTTCGTCTGATACTACCAGCCAAACGGTCGAATATTTTTCTTAACATTCAGCAATTTTCCTTCGGGCCGCAAAACGCGCTGCAGATTAGACTTATGAGGGCAGGCACAAACTGATGGCCGGGGCACAAAGTGTCTACCCCCACCATCAGGTATGTATTTATTTAGAACTTTTTTCACACCATACCTAGCCAACCGTGCTAATCATCACCCTTCCCTACCGCCTACCCATAAATCTCACACTTTCTACATCTGTGGATGAGTTGCAGTTGAGGCTATAGCCATCTTAGATATGAGTCAAACAATTGGATTTTATTAACACATATAGAGCCTCAAATAATCAAGAAACCTCATGGATAATCGGGTCATCTCAGGTTTTGTTTAACCTTTTCATCAATTGGTGTGGTTCAAAGCCACACACAGCCTCTTAAAATGTATTTCATATGGTTTGGCATCGCATGTGCCCATATCTGATAATCGGCAGTGTTTAGCAGGGGTCGTGTCTTTTGTAGCGCACGCCTCCAGTGCGTCACTGTTCCAGCCAAAGGTCATGTCAGGTGACGCAAGCGTGCAGTAACGGTGGTGGATTAGCTGGTGCATTCCACAGCCGCGGCGCCACGCACGCAGGTGCGATACACAGTAGTTGTCGATCAATTAAGTGTATCCCTAGTCGTGAGTCCTACAGCTAACAGTCTAATTGCGGTGTGAGTAGCACTTGCGAACAGTACATTGCAAGTACTGAAGCACTCACGATTGCCATACGGCTGTTGATGGCCTGCACACGTAGCAGCGAGTACCCCTCGGTGAGCGTATGAGAGCATTATAGCTCCAATCACGGGCCGTGCTCAGACCAGGCGGCGACTGGCCGCAATTTTTTTCTGGAGCGGCTTTTGATTTTTCAGGGCTACTCTATCAACCGCTAGTCATGGTGATGTTATTGCCGAGGACCGGGCATCACTCGGTCGTGTGGCCAGTGGCCGTGGACGTAGGCTCGGCTGATCTTTGAGAGCGTCACGGGCAGGAGCCATGTTAGCACGGTAGGTGACATCTTCGCTGTGTGCGAAGTGATGGATGCAACTGGTGGTGGAGGTGCTTGCCAGCCATTCGGGGACAAGGGTTTTGTTGCTGGGGCAGCTTCTGTTTGGGAAGAAGCGGGCGATGACATGGAGTCAACACAAGCCTCATCCAGAGACTTCTCTTGGACCATGATGGCCTAACTGGAGTGACAGGGCAGTTCTGCCCTTGGAGGCCACGATGGTTTTGACCAGACAGCAAGGCGTTTGCCCCAGACTCGGCACACTGCTAGAGTAGTGTCGGCTTCTGAAGACGATAATGTATTCCTAGAAACGACCTGTCGGCACGTTTGCTTGCATCCACGTGCTGTCGGAGGTCAATTCCACACATCCAGCGTTTCACTGCGGAAATGTCAACCTCTGAAGATGACGTCACTGGCCGAGACCAGTACATCTTCCAGGAGCCCTGAATGCAGCAGGATAAACATCAGCTTTCATGCAAAATGGATGTTTTCACAAGACCGTGTGCTGAGATGCAGGATCAGGTGCAAGCTCAAGCTCGCTGAACCGGAACAATCTCAGCCGATGGATGGCAGAGCCATTCGTCTTCACCAGGAATCTACCGTCAAGGAATACATTGCTTCCGCTTCCAGAGTCTCTGAAGAAACATCCGCTGAGAGTAGGCTAAATCAGCAGGGGCTCCTTCGACCATGGGGCAGCCTTACGCACTGGATGAGGCGGACCCTAAAGCTTTCGCTTCGATCCCATGCGTGAATGCGATAGTGGTAGCGAAGGAGCTCCTAGGTCACCTTTTTCTACAGGAGGAAAGCTCCCAGGTCCTGCCAGACATAACAGACAGGACATTGGGCAAATATCAAGAAAGGTCGTCAGCTGCAGCTTCGGAAGCCACGTCTGGAAGTAAGGCGAAAGACAAGCTCAAATGGCCTCGGTGCAGAGTTAACGCAAACCACTTCAGCATACGGGCAATTAGCATCGACAATGCCAAGGAGAGTGGCTGGTTCCCCCCCCACCATCTTAAGGCGGGTCAGGATGCGTGCATTGATGGCTTTACTACCACGTTTCCACAAGCCTGGGTGTACACGACATCAGACGCTCGAGTTAAATCAGTCATGGAACAGGGCTACAAGCTGGACTTCCAAGATATCCTTAGTTTCTTTGCATTCAAACCTTGACCTGTGCCGGAGGGATCCGTAGCTTGTTCAGGTGGTCATACGGGAAATTTCACAGCTTCTAAACATCCAAGCTTATCGATATGTGGCTACCAGTTAACGAGGTGTGGTGAGGTTTATTTCCAGATGTATTGGGGTCAGAAAAAAAACCTCCGGACAATCCTGGATGAAAGAAGACTGAATATCTGCCTCACGAGAAGCACTTTAAGATGGTTGCATCAGGAACTCCCCCAATGCCTATAGGATATCTACCTACACATGGCTATGCACCTGTGGTACTTCCAGTACCTGCGGTTTTACGCCCTCTGACAACAGAGCACTGTGCGGTGCCATTCGCCCTGGCCAAGGGCATTCAACAAGGTTCCCGTTGCTTTGGTTGCATCGTTAAGAGAGGTATGCACATTTATCCCTATCTGGACGATCTGATTGGAGCATCCTCGCGTCCCAAACTCCAGCCAGGGCTGCTTGAGAACTCGGTAAATACCACCTCGTTTCTGAAATTTAGACGGACGATGTTTGTACGCCTCTTGCAGACAAAATGCGTTGTTCATCGGCGAACAGGCTCCAGAGCTGCAAACCATTATTAACTGGACACCTTGGCTTTGCAGGACGCCAACTTCGGGATCAGTTTTGTCTACTGCCATCTAAGGAGTGGCCTATCCCTCCTCCAGGTAGCATCTCTGATATGATTGCTAAATGTTCAGCATAACATTGGACCGGTAGTCAACAGTATTGGATGAAGAGAACTTTTTTTTACCTCGGTAAGAACTCAGTTTTTCTAGTCCAAAATGCTAGCCACTGGTCCTTGTGATCACTGTTAGAGTTTGTCAAGGTTCATCTTTTGATGAAGAGTAAGTGACCAGGTTTAGTCCTGTTTGTCCTTGGTTGTGTCCGTGGAAAGGGTGTTGATGTTTTTGGTATAGCCGCCTACCGTGGGAGTATGCTTTGCTCTCAGTCATGAGGCTTATGGGTCGGGGGTGGAGAAGTCTTATCTGCAGTGTTCCATAGCCTGAAAGGAATTGCTGAATGTTAAGAAACACATTCCTGCGGAGGGAGTTGGTAAGAACGTTGGGTTGCTCGGTCAATGGCCAGGGTCAACGGCGGCGTGGTGTATTCCGCAAATATGCCCGACTGTGAGGGTGGGCACAAGCCGGCGTGAGTAGGTTAAACGTTGAGTTTTTTTATAAGGGCACCACGGTGGTGACCGGCCCCACCCCTCCCACGCCCCACCCCTCCCCACCCAGCCCCTCTCCACTCAGCCCTTCCCTCCCCACCCAGCCCCTCCCTCCCCACCCAGCCCTTCCCCACCCTCCCCTCTCCACCCAGCCTCACCCCTCCCATTTTTTGATGCACGACGGACGGACACAATAATCCTCTGTGGGCTGGTGGAACCAGGAGGTTCCTACCAGTATTACATTGGTCCATTTGCCGGCAGTATGGACTAGAGCAGGGGTCAGCAACCTCCGGCTCTGCAGCCGCATGCAGCTCTTTAACTGCTTCGTGATGTTATTCAAATGCAATGTGGCTCTTGAAATATTGAGTTTTTTTACCGATTTCGAAAAAAATTGTTGCTGTTGTTGTTTGGTTGCTGACCTGGACTGGAGAAACGAAGTTTTTTTTTTTACCAAGATACAGAACCTCGTGTATTTTATAGAATTGTTGCTTTAGTAGTTGAAATTAAGATGAGCCTTTGCAGATGTAGTTATCTCCAGTCCTTGATCAGACCATTGTGCCTTCACCCCATCGACAATGCAATTTATGGTTGTGTATTTGTGTCTGTCATGCTGTCTGATAACTGTCTATATGTATGTTTGCATTATAGGATGCACGCAAGGCCTGCAAAGATGCTACCCTATTGCAGGTAAGGCCATTACTGGTCTTTCTTTGGTGCAGGTGATATTGCGTCGTGGCCAGTGCCTGATATTTCAGATTCACAGTTAAAATCCTATCGGTGTGGGTTTTGTGACCACAAAAGTGTCAAGGTGTGTACATGCAAGCAGTAAGTGGAGGAGATCAATATGAAGCATTAGCAGGTGCAATGAGGTTGTCATCTGACCCTACCGTTCTCTTTTTCTGTCCAGGTGACATCAAATCTTGACTCGGTGGGGCGCATCCAGATGCGAACACGCCGGACCCTTAGGGGTCACCTGGCTAAGATCTATGCCATGCACTGGGGTACAGACTCCCGGTGAGATTGCGCATGCACGCACACCAACAGCAGCACGCAGAAAAGCACGTTTTATTGCACGTTAAGATTTGGGTCATTTTTGATGGGGAGATGTGTATTATTGAGTCTACTGGCCACAGACCCATGCCATTCCAGTCTTAATTGGCAACATAGAGAGATTGATTTGTTTTAAAGTGTTGATTATGATTTTCGATTGTCTGCAGGCTGTTGGTCAGTGCTTCTCAAGATGGAAAACTAATAATCTGGGACAGCTATACCACCAACAAGGTATGTGCACATGTTGTACATTTTATACAGATACTTCAGTTGCATCTGCATTTAGACACTTTAAACCCAAATTGTTTAGTGTTTGATGCTCCTCAGCTTGTGCCTATTGTCATTAAATTGAGAGTTAAGGAGCAGAAGGCTTTGGGTATCGCTTTGGGGATGTGGATAAGAGGACTAATGTTATCTAAGCACAGCCTGCACTCCTGATATCCTAGGTTGTGGGCAACCACTCATGATTAAATTAACTGACTTCTCAGTTTTACTCAGTTGGATGTCTCAGCCCAGTTTCCAATTACTTTATTTCCAGTTTTGAGGACAATGTTTGTTTGATTGTCATGTGACTCTCCACTGTGGCAGGGCATGTGAGAAGGTGAACACCACCCCTAGTGTATACATGAGAAAATTGGAAGAATCACAAATGGAATCCTGCTTTCTGCAAGTGGAATCTATATGCAGGGTGGCAAAAAGTCAGGACACATAGGTTTATTTAATTTATGTTAACACTGGCATTAAACTTTTAAATTGCTTATCAAGTTAATTTTATATATTTTTAGCTATTTGTCCTTTTCAGATGACATTTACAAATGGAAAGAAAATTGACAACTATTGACTGTTCACAGATTACATCTGTACACCTGTAACTTAAAAAAAGTCCTAAATTAATTTCAAAAGATAATTCATGCACACATTAATGTTAATGGGTGTCAGTTTGAATATTGATTTAAACAAATTAAATAACCCTATGTGATTTGTTGAATTAATTATAACTCTACATGTCCTGGCTTTTGGACCACCTTATTTATAAAAACACAGTTAAGAAATAGCTGGGTGGCTCCCAGAGGGTAATGGTAATTTCATTCCATTGAGCTAGTGAGCTGAGGACCTGTTTTTAAGTCCTGAGGCTTTACCAAATATAACTTTTCATAAATAGCATGTGTTGTTGGATTCCACTTATTGATTTCTGTGAAAACTAAAATACAAATGTAAAAAAACTTGATTTGAAGCTTTCTTGACTGCAGGAATTACTCTTTGGTTCTTTCGGTAAAGTCACAAATGTAAAAGTTAGGTTTTTGCACTTAAATCGACCTTGAATAGCCCTTAGGGCTTATCTTGTCCAGCAACATAGTTAATGTACGATCTAAACAGCAGAAAAGTGTCTTTAATGTTTTCGCACTATAGTAGAGCGTTAGACCATTAGCTTTGTAATGTGTGGATAACCGTAACTCTCGTAGCTGATCCACTACGTACACAACTTTAGTATAAAGTTCGTGCTGTTCGGGACTTGGCCTATAGAAAATGGGCCAAAACGATCAAAGAGCAGCCCAAAACTTGGAGACAAAAACCAGAAAAAAAGTACTTTGCAAACATGAAAACATGCTTTACCTTTACAGGTACCAATCAGTTTCCATGCTGCTAACAGAAATACTTCCAAAGACAAAAAAAGCATGTTGGAAAGTGTTGCAGCGTCCCTGCGTATGCATAATATTTCCCGATTTTATTTTGCGACGGGCACTGACACGCATCCGTCCTCCGATGACCCCCCTGGGTGTCTGTCCAGGTGCACGCAATTCCCCTGCGCTCGTCCTGGGTGATGACATGCGCGTACGCGCCCTCCGGCAGCTACGTGGCGTGCGGCGGCCTCGACAACATCTGCTCCATCTACAACCTCAAGACTCGTGAGGGGAACGTGAGGGTTAGTCGCGAATTGCCCGGCCACACAGGTAAGAAGAATCCAGGGCTTTTCTTGCGTTGTCCTGGTAGGTACGCTAAAGAAAATGTAGGGGGGAAAAAAGCGTTCACTTTGTAGAACAGGTCTGCCTTCTCGACAGACCTGTTCTACACCTGAAGATGGCTGCTTGCGTTGTGGCCGAAACGTCGTGAGAATTATTTTATTATGTTTTATTTTTATAATTTTATTATTTTCCTTTTACGTGACTTTACCGAAAGAACCAAGAAGATGAATCCCTGCAGTCACGAAAGCTTTAAATCGAAAAAAGTTCACTTTGTAATTAAGTACCTAGAAGAGATGGCTTAGCAATTTGAGATTAATCTCATAAATGAAAATGAGGCCGAAATGAGACATTTCGGTTGATCTTGAGGGAACATTTTGGATTTGTGTGATATTTTACTGTCACCGGAAGTGACGTCACTGCCATAAAACAGTTTGTATTAATGTTTGTTTTATGAAACGTTAAATAAAATGTATATAATTAACATTGAAACTGACTAAAAAGTCATGCATTTGGTGAATACGCAATGTAGGTTAAAATAATACATTTAATCCAGAAATACAAAATTAACTCCAGAATTGGGCATACAAATCTGAAAATCCAGCTGATATTTTAAATTGAATACTCTTCATCCCTTGTACCAAGGCCAAGGATGTGTATCCCTGGCCATCCAGACCTTGTTTAAAGCTTCATTATAACACTTATTGACACCACTGAAACGTTATTCATGCTTTTTAATACACCAATGTAGTGCATCACTGTCTCGTTATGATATATACCTGACAATAAATGTTACGCTTCTTATTAACAAAGATTTAAACTCGTGCTGGACTGCTCCGCACCAAACAGCATTAAACATCTAAATGGTAATATCGGTTGTTTGGATCACATGTTTTTATTAAAAGTAGTTCCTCTGCTAACGCATCAGGTAATATTCATCATCGTTTAATATTTATGGTGTGCCTCCCTTGCCATATATCTTGAGGTACTAGAGCAAAGAGGTACTTGAGATAATTACTAGTAAGTGATTGCAGACCAAAAGCAATGTTCAAAAACATGGAAATGAGAGAAGAAAAGATTGTCTTTAGTTTTTTCCCACAACTGATGAATTCATAATATTTATGGGTAAGTAGTTGCGCAACTTTGGTATTCAAACACCAATGTGACCCCCCTATGAAATTAAGTTTTCATTTTACTTACAGTCGTTGATTACCCTGTTCATCAGTGTGCTCACTATGGAGCCAGTTTGTGTCCCGGTGTCAACAGTTTGATAATCCTTGTTTACCCAGAAATCTTTGTGGAATCCTGAAGCATGGTTTCAGCTAAAATGTGGATATTAAAACTCCAAAAAACAGCTGGCTCTTAACGTTTGCATATGGACAAGTCTGCTTGTCCCAGACTAACATATTTCAGGCTTTTTAATGAAAAAAGAACTTTGAAATCACAGACATACTCTGGTGAGGTCATTTGTCTGAAGTATCAGTGTAGCAAGTTGGTGGCCACCAAAGACTGCACAACCCCATCCAATTAGATTTTTGCTTTATTCAGCATATTTGTATGTTTTGATGACTACACAATATTTAATTTATTTGCTGTGACATGTCTTTTGTTGAACATGTTTGAGAGTGTACTATCTATTGCGGATTAGAGGCTGTGGAAGAGATCTCAGAAGTTATTCCGTAACATTGTGTTTCACAAAAACTAGTCTCTCTAGGTGATGCCCCGCTCTGCAATTTCGATGTACAACATTACTTTGACACCGCAATGTGTGCAAGGCATACCAACAGGATTAGTTTTAACAGGCCACACTGCTGATGACAATCACAATGCAAATATTTCTCTGGTTAAGCAAATGTTGATGGACACATTGGGCCCGAAAGACCATAGACTCAAGGACCAATATGTAATTTTAATTGTTAGTTGTGAAACACATCCATGTCTCATTATGCTAAAGAAAATCAACTTTGATCTGCCTTGGTGAGACGAAAGCAAGTCGGTTTAACGGATTTTATTCAATTGCTATGTAATTTTGTGTTGATTAATTGTATTTGTTTTGTAACTTAGGATACTTGTCCTGCTGCCGTTTCCTGGATGACAATCAAATCATCACCAGCTCTGGGGACACAACCTGGTAAATCGAATCCTTGCTGCACATCCACCCTCTCCTTATCTTTCTCCTTGTTCAAACAAACTTTGTGTATACAGCACTGATTACTAGCTTGATCGCATCCCTTGTAGCACTCAAAAGGCCGCGCGCTGCCACACCAACTCTTGCTGTGTCTTTTGTAAAAGGATGATCGTTTTATAGTTTGAAGATAATTCAAAATGGGCATGCATTGAGTGCCGTCACCCTCTGTCTTTGATTCTCTATAAATTGACGTTTGACCTCGTGTCTTAAGGGTTTCAAAATTGAGATGACGCAAGCTAGGTTTTGTTTGCACGTTGCGGAGGCATGACAACGAATCTTCGTTTGCATATGCGCGTGTGTTACAACATGCCTCAAGCATTGCTTCCTCTTACTCCCCCCCCCTGTCCTCACATAGCGCTCTGTGGGACATTGAGACGGCGCAACAGACGACCACATTCACTGGGCACACGGGTGACGTCATGAGCCTGTCACTGGCGCCCGACTCGCGCACCTTTGTGTCGGGCGCGTGCGACGCCTCGGCCAAGCTGTGGGACGTACGCGATGGCATGTGTCGCCAGACCTTCACAGGCCACGAGTCCGACATCAACGCAGTCTGCGTGAGTGGAGGCAGCCCATCTGGTGGACAGAGGGATCCGTTACCATGCACACGCTGCAGTGTTCGGGGGGAACAAGTGATACTAATTTGCGCATCTGTCGGCAGACGAAATGCACACATCTCCTGTCGTCTCTGGGACTAGCTTTACATTCCATTCATGTGTTTGACTTGGGTCTTCTTGGTGTTGGACTTGGTAGCTGTTGCACCCCATGTTACGGGCCCAGTTTCATCACGTGTCTTTTTACTGTTGCCATGTTCATCTTAGTTTGTTCCTGTCCGTTGTACAGCACCTAGAGATGCCGTGGTATACACAAGGGTGTCGAGGTTCCAATTGTTTTCTGGATTTCCAGGGTATAGCCATACATTAAGTCGATTAATATGCATCTGTACGTTGGTTGTGGGTTTTTTTCCTAACTGTTTAAACACTTATTAGTGGAGATGGCCAAACATCTCAATATAGTACCACAAAGCTGGGTTCCTGTTTATCTGTGGTTCCTGGTGCTTCCGTGGAAAACCCTTTGCACGTAAAAATTATACAGCGTTTTGAGATGCAATTTGCAAGAATGATGCCGTATACATTTTAAAATAATTTAAAGTGCGTTACACACAAATCTTCATCCATTTTCGTTCGTGCGAGTGTAGTCAATTTAGGATGCCCCAGCCCTGTTTAATACCGTCGCTCTGCCTCGTTGTCTGCCACTGTGCGCCTTGCAGTTCTTCCCGAACGGCAACGCGTTTGCGACAGGTTCAGATGACGCCACGTGCCGGCTCTTTGACCTGCGCGCCGACCAGGAGCTCATGCTGTACTCGCACGACAACATCATCTGCGGCATCACCTCCGTGGCCTTCTCGAAGAGCGGCCGCCTGCTGCTCGCCGGCTACGACGACTTCAACTGCAACGTGTGGGACACCCTGAAGGGGGAGCGCGCCGGTACGTGCGAGCCAGGGGCCGCTCTGCTCGCAGGTGCGCAGAGCGCGCTTGCGTATGCGCGCAATGGGTGTTGGCTGCATGCGTGTACCGTGACGGTGACGTGTTTTGTCGTTGACCGTGGCACGTATTTGCGTGGCTTTCGTTGTATTCTGTCTGGTGATATTTCCGCGTCATGGTTAGTGATGTTGATTCACACTTTGAGTGCCTGAATATTAGAGTAGGTGTTATTGTTTGGCTACATTCTGATCCTCTTGATCTGCTAGAAGAATTTAATGAGCAAAATGTTGTTTGAAAAGTATTTATTGAAACACTCATTGAGATGATAATTGTTAGCCCACCCGAGCAAGCAAATGGAATGAGTACTGCCATAAAAAAGACCATGTCCATGTTTGAGTGTAACACCAGATATATTTTCCTGCTACAGTCATGCTTTGGCTATTACACTATTGCATAATACTGACCAACGACCAAGTATAATATAAACACATCTAGTGCCAATTTAGATTTGAGGAGATCTATATTTGTAGTTGTGTTGCCACACCCACTGACACAAGTGAAATCAGAATGAGGGAGTTGCGTGTTGTTGGCTCTTTGCTTGCTCTGGTGCCGGTGCTGATGGGAGAGCGGTGCTGGTTGTGTTTGCAGGCGTCCTCGCGGGGCACGACAACCGCGTGAGCTGCCTGGGTGTGACAGACGACGGCATGGCTGTCGCCACCGGCTCCTGGGACAGCTTCCTCAAGATCTGGAATTAGTGCAGCGGCGGCGGCGGCAGCAGCAGCAGCAAGGAGGCCGGGCCGGGCCCAACCACGCTACCATTGGAGAAGGGGAGGGCAGGGCAAAACCACTTGGCCATGAGGGGCCAGGACGAGGGGGGGGTGGGCGGGGGAGGTGGGGAGTGAGGAAGCTGGGGTTGTGGTACATGGGCGGGTGGGATAGGGGTGGGCAAAATGCCTCTGTAGCAGAGCAGAGGAAGGACGTGGAAGCAAAATAAAAAAAATAATGCGTGCAGGAGGTGGGTGGGCCGGGTGTGCTTGTGGGAGTGTGGCAGAAAGGGTGACGGCTTGCAGGGGTCATAGCACAACAGCACCCGCACGGAGGCATGCGAGGGGTGGAGGGTTACTTGACGGGTGTGATAATGAAACAAACAAAAAAAAGATCATGGTCAAAAAAAAGTGTTGCGTTGTCTGCCAGCTCACAAGTAATGTGCCGTAGAAATTGAAAAGGCACGTGTTGGGCGCGATTGCAGTGGTTAACTGGTCCGATTTAACTCTTGCGACAAACAAGCATGACGTCTGCCGTTCAGTTAAAATCAACATCCTCCAGTAAGAGTAAAAAAAAACCTCTTTCTACAATGTTATTTTTTTCTGATGATATTTTGCACCGGTAGGTGACCGACTTAGCTTTATGTATGGCATGTGCAGGATTCGTATTCTTTGGCTTTTTTCTGGTCAAATACTGTTCCCCCACCGATCCAGTCTTCAAATTTGTTATTAACGTTGCCAGAGTAGCGCCGACAGCTGTGGTGATGCCCCTCGTGAGCCCCATTGCCTCTTGACTAACATTTATACAGTCATCCAACATTGTTATCTGCAGATATTCTTTAAAGTAATGGGTAATATTGACAATGTTTGCTGCCTTGAGCATTTTAAATCACAGTATATTTTGTCCCCACCTTACACGTTCCTCTTCAAGTGCAGTATTTTTAGAGAGAGAAAACGAGCCTCCACGCTGCATATTTCTCATCAATACTGTTCACGGGCACAAAGCTTAAAAGCTATATAATGTTTTGTTTTCTCCTGTTCGGCCAGTGTTGTGTGTTTGAGCCAATTATGAGCGCACTGCACCTCTGATGTCGCACGGCCGTTTCACAAAATTAAGTCGGTCTTTCTGTTGTAGATAATTTTGTACACTAGGTTAATGCAATTGTTACTCCCGTTCGTTTCAGTTTGCCCTGGTGCCCAACGGTAGTTTTGCCCCCCCCACCCCGACCTCTCGCAACTCGTCAATGGCTGTTTACTTGCAGACCTGGGTAGGAGGGAATCCCATGAAACAGACCTACCTCCTGTAGCACGCACACCCGGTCCGCTGTTCTCCCCCCACACTGTGCCCTGACCGCCTCCCCCCCGAACACACACCGGCCGACTCACTCCCAAATCATGTAAAAAAAAAAAAATCTGCTTTCTCGATCTTTGAATTGTCACCCAAGACTTCGATCATTTTTATTATTGTCATTAAAACTGTCATTTACTGTTAATATTAATATTAATGATAATATTGTTGTTGCTAGCGTTTTTTATTTTATTCAGTGGCCAATGGAGGGGGGGGGGGGGGTAGTGTCGTGAATGGTTGAGGCACGGCACCGCTTGCAGCACTTTTCACTCTTCCGGCTTTCTGAGGGCCTGCCAAATACCACGCTCATCGGGGTCTGCACGGTGGCCCGCTCCCATGCAGCAGCACCGCCAAGTCACGCGTGGCTTAAAGTTATTTAATTATTATTTCCCCTCCCCCCTCCCTCGCCTTGAAATTATGAAGTTGGTCATGGAGGGGAAAGGGGATCCATGGAGCTTGCCACCCCAAACTTAATGTTGCATTCGTTTAAACACGATTCTATTAACATTCGGAAATTTTCATGAACATTGATTAGGTATTAAGCATGGAAGTTATCAACGTTTTTCGTTTTCTAATTTTATCGTGAGCTTGATAACGGTAACCATTATGAATTTATATAAATACAGTATATATTTTTCGTTTTCCTTAAAATTTCTAGACTTTTTTTGCCTGTAAGCGTTCGTGCTGTTGGTAGGTAATGTCATGGCTTAGAGCGCAACGCATCCGACGCATTAAAATGATCTTATTCGAGTGAAACCATCACTATGTACATAAACAGCACTACGTCCACAATATACCCGACCTCCTGCCTCCACCATCATGTGTATGCTATGAAAATGTATTCGCTCAAAGGCTTTTCTTTATGTTCTCGAAACTAAGAGTTTTTTTTGTTTTTAATTTTATGTCGTTTTTGCTAAGATTGTGTGGGTTCGCTGTGATTTCCACTATCGGAACATCGGGTGCCAGAGTTGAAGGGCGCAGTGCAACAGTGTTAGTAGTAGTAGGCACCTTCGTTTGCTTATCGGTTGTCACTTTTGAATTAGTGCACGCTTTAAGGATAAGCTGGCCAAACCCAAGATTTTGCACATGGCCTCTAGCCAAAGCACAAGGCCAGTCTCTAGTATTTATGCTCGTGCCTCCACCCAACCCCATGTCTGGTGGGGAGTGAAGGGCATAGGGTGGCCTTGGGAGATGTATAGGGGCCGAGGAGATATGGGTTAGTGGTAAAGGTCCAGGGTGCATTGGGTTAGCATTGAAAGCTCGGCATTTGTGGATATAACCGAAGAGTTTAATTTACAGATCAATTAGGCAGTCGTAAAAATGTTCCATTGCAGGTGTGATGTGTTATAATTTGCATCTGATTAGATCAATGCTTTGTCAAGATTAACAATCGGCAGACTAACTTTTTTTAATATTTCCTAACATTTTGTTCTGCAGGATTTTTAATGCAAAGGGCAGTTTGAAAGGATAAAATTACGTAAATAAAAAAGCCATGTATCGTGTGGTGGCCGGCATTAAAAAGCCAGTGGGTCACCACTTGATAGATTTTTTTTGGTGCAAAGGCTGGAGGGGTGAGGAAAGTTGGAGGGGGGGTGGCGTGCCCCGCTACCTCCCCACACGTGTGCTGCGCTTCCTGGACAGGCAGCTATGAGAGTCAGTGGGGGGGGGGGGGGGGAGGCTTTGGTAGGGAAGACTCATGAGAAGGCTTATTGAGGAGTTGGAGAGCATCGCAAAGTATTTAAACCTCACTCCCTGAAGCACATTTTCCTAAATTGTAAGAACGGAAAGCATCGGTGGTTGCCGACCCGCCGTGGTCGTTTTGGATTGAACTTCAGAGGGGGAATTTTTTGCAGACATAGGCCGGGCCCCTTTTCCCCTACCCCCCATCATTTCATTATTTTCATTTTGTTTAAATTATACTTGGCCATCATGAACGCCAGAGCATTGGGAAGCGAGATGTATTATTGTTTTCTTAAAATAGATTTTTTTGGAATTTAGTGTTGCAACGCCTAGACGTCCAGATTAGTGTCATATCACGAAATCGCCCTCCAACTTGGCACCTCCGATGATTTTAGGAGTATTTGTTGATTTTGTGTGGACGTTTGTGCGTGCGTGCGAGGTGTGAGAATTTGTCATGATTTTTTTTCAGTTTTTGTGGAACTGCAGTAAACACAACTCTGTGGCATGTACAAAACGGTGGCCGTGTCTGCTCGTGCTGAATGAGTACATGCATTGTGACGTATTATTGTCAGTGGGTGGTGGGGGGGAAAACAAAGATGTTCTTTTGACGACGTGTTCTATATACACACGTGGAGGGGGGGATGGATTTCGAAGTGGAAAATGAGCTTACAAGTGACACGTGGATGGCTTGGCTTCATGTCGAGTCTGACATTTCGGTAACCCCCAGAACCTTAAAATCCGAAGAGTAGTTTGCAACCCTAAATAGTATTTAATGATCACACTTTGGAACCAGAAATGAGTGTTGCATTGAATAGCAATTTAAAACTCGCCATGCTGTCATTTTGCAATTCATGTACCAAGGTGTGACCACGTGAAAGATCAATTCAGCTTTTGTTATTTGAAGCAAAACTAGTGAAATTGACATGTTTCCTGAGTGGATTTTTGAGATGAGATGTTTGGGGTGCGGTTGAGTTTTCTGTGCGATGCACGCCTTCAGTACAGTGTAATTTATGATGATTTTTAAAATATTTTTGTTGTAAAGTTCCCCCCCCCCCAATTCTCTGCACTCGCCATGAGTAGGGTACGCAGTATACCGTGTATTAATGACATTCCCTTCCATTTTTAGCAAAAAGCTTACGGTTATTATTACTGTAATTAAGTTCATGTTCGTTTCATCATTGTAACAGCCAACTAATCACCCACCCCCTCCTCCTCTCCTTCACCCGTTTGTGTGTGAGTGTATCTGTATAGTGCATGGAAAAAAATTTGAACGAATGTCTTTAAGAATCTTTGTTTTACTAGGATGAATATACGTGGATAATGGTAAATAAAAACTATACAAAAAAATACAAAAAATTATAACAATAATAAGCTCGTTTTTCCGGCAATGGAGAGAGCGAACTGAGATTTATTAACTTAGCCGTACAAACGTTTTGAGTTTTTTTGTTGTCCATTCTTCTGGTGCTTTATGCTTCGGGAGAGAAGGTGCTTTGACGCAAACGAGTGAAGCACTCCCCGCAATGGAGCCTCCTAATTCTCCGTCGAATTCAATGTCAAACCCCGGTGCCCCACCGAGTGGGAGATGCGAGGTCGGATCGAATGTGGGAACACGGTAACGCAGTCTCGCAGTACACATTGTCCGAAATTACAAATGTAATCGCTAACGACAACGGTCAAACCACGCAACCGTGCTGCAACACTGGTGGGGGTTGGGGTGGTGGTGGGGATTTGGGGCCATCTTGCCTCGCTGATGAGTCCCCACGAGGGCGGTGAAACAAACTGCCCGTGTATCCCACGCTGCGCGGACCTGCTCAGAACACATTTAATAATATAACTGTCAACTGTAGTGCTGTCATTCCTATGAATACTATATTATTTCTAAACTATTAAGTATTAACGTTGGGGGGAGGGGGGGCGGGGGGGGGTTTGGGAGGAGGGTTATTTTCTGTTGTGTTAAGCTGGAGCAGCGCGGGGACGTCTTGGCGTGCGTGGATGTTGAGTAATTTTAATCTGCCGACTCCCCACCACCACGTGCGCGCCTTTGTGGCCTACAGTGTGGCCACGAAAACGATTAATCTTGCCGGCCTGTAGACGCGTCTCGCTCCGACGCGAGGTGCTCTCTCTTTAGTAAGATTAATCACGAATACTACTACTAATACAGCGGTAATGATGCCTCCTTGAGGCGTGCGGCGCTCGGGTTTGGCCGCTTGCGTCGTTCACCGCTCTCGTTTAAGAGCGGACCGCCAGACCCACGGGTTCATATTTGTCGTTTCACACGCAAGTCGCTCTGCGTTGAGGGGGTCCGCTTATCGCAGTGTTTCTCCCATTTCTACCCCGTAACCCCCCCCCCTCCCCGTGTTCCTTTCATCACCCACAGTCACTCACCTTTCCACTCGCCCACAGCCCTGTTCCCAACCCCCCAGCCGACCACCATTGCACCTCCACCACCTCCCCTTTCACCGTCAGCTTGGTGTTATTTAAGACCACCGGGACCGACACGGCGCCGCGCTGAGAGCCTTGATTGTGCAAAAGACGACTAAACTTAACCTACAGATATCTACATTGTGTCTCTGAATCTTGCACATAGGCACGCGTGTTATATATTATACAACAAAAAAAGCCTTGGGTTAGACTCCGATGCGGCACCGTGCCTGCTGCCCGCGCTGCACGGGACGAACGCGAGTCGGTGTTGCATATCAATTGGTTGCTGCCGAGCACTCCCCACCGGCACTCGTGCAGCTGAAAGCGGAAATCCCTCGGAACACAGGGACGCATGCGGCCCAATTTGTATTTTGAGAGTGGAAGTGTGTTTCCCTGCTGCAACAGTGGGCGCTCGTTTGAGGTTTTTTTTTGAAGATGCAAAGCACGCGTGTGCAATGAGTGCAGGGGGGAAAAAAAACAACACTCATTGGATCCGAGAGCTCACGACGTAAACAAAAAATTCCACTCGACAACGGCTGTAGCCTGGTGAGAAAATGATCTTGAGCGAATTCGCGAGACGTTTCATCGATCTGTAGAACAAACCCCCAGAGTGCAAACACGACGAGTAAGCGACTTGTGGTGTGCAAAAAATTGCACAAATTTGTAGTCAGCAGAGAGACCGTGCAGCAGGGAAACACGCGCGCTCGGTAGGTCGTGCTGCGCCCGTGGGCTTCGGTGTTGGGGCTGCGTGCGCGTCGCACGCTCTCTCGAGAAATTTGGTAACGCGAAGGCGGTCGGGGGGGGGGGGGGACTCTGCTCGATGAGGGGGAAAGAAAAAAAAGCACCAAAGGAGCGCTGTGTGCGGGCCTGCGTCTTTCGACCCCCCTCCACTTAATGGTTCGATGTATACTCATTGCTGGTGGAGTGTGTCCTCTTCCTGTCTGAGGGTTAGGTCGACATACAGTAAACGACGTTACTAAAATAACAGACCCCCGTCGGGTGTGTGTTTGAGTGAGTGAGTGTGTGTTCGAGTGTGTGTGTGTTTGAGTGAGTGTGTGCTCGAGTGCGCGCGCGCATGTGAGGCGAGTGTGCCAGTGTATGAGATTGTGTGTGGGTACCGTACGAGTGTGCCAAGTATGGATGAGGAAGGGTTGGCGATTCGGTGCAGGCTGCGTTTGCATAACGTGATCGTGACTGCGCTTGGTCCACAGCATCAAGTGCTGTGGGATTGGACGCATTTGCAGAGGGCCGCTTTCGCCGGTAACATCGGTGTGAGGGCCGCCACACATTTAAAACCATTGTGATTGGCAGCAGCACGATGGGGGGGGGGGGGGGTGTTTCCACTTTTGTGTCGCGTCAGGGGTCGCCAGTGGCCTGTGGGACTTGCAATGAAGAATCTTGCTGTGGTGGGTTCCCCTTTATAACGGGGACAGCACTGATTTAACAATTACCAGAGCGATCTTCCACCTCTGTGCTGAGAAAGGGCCTGGCCAGGTTTGCTTAACATTTTTCCAAGCACACTGAGAAGCTTACGAGCCCAGGTTTTTGAGCTAAGCCAGGGACGTTCTTGCAAAGGCGCCATTCTGTCTGCTGCAGCAGAGGTAGGGAATTTTACTAGGGCCAACATCTACTTTATTCACCCAGTCAAGGCCTGTGATGCCATTTAGAGCCCAGGGGTTTTCTCTTTTTTATGGGCCCTGAATTTCTGCAAGGACCATGATGTTGGGCGTGGGTAAAGCTGTATGACCACGCGTCTAAGCCGAATTTTTCGGTCTTTCTGTAAAGCCACGTAGATATATCTAATAAAAAAAATAACATTATTTAACATGACATTTTAGTTTTTTATCTCTCTGTGGCTTTACCGAAAGACCCAATATGAATTCCTGCAGTCACGAAAGCTTTAAGTCAAGTCTAAGCATTTTTTAACATTTCCATGCGACACGGATACATTTTCTGCCCCCCCCCAGCACGAACACACTTTCGGACCGTGTAGTTTTAGAGGCTTACCAGAGCTGTACAATTGGTGTCTCAATCGTATACAAATATCAGGAAGCTGATCAATGCCTGGTTGAGGTCTAGGAATGGCTCCCTACTACGAAAATAGAATGATGTATGCTGGTCTGGTAATAGATGCTCATCCATTAGTCGGAAAATGTATTTCTGAATCTGGAGCTTGCCACGAAGAGGAGTGATTTTATAACACTTTGTAACACAATTTTTGTTCCTGGGTAGTAAGTGTTATTTCGTAATTGCTTATGCCTAAAAAGTATAGAAAATGGCTATTCCCCACAAACTTTGCTTTTGTGACCAGGACAGTGATATTTTTAAATGTACCTATTTTCAATGAGAAAACGGGCGAATTTGTGTATTTTCGTTCACAGAGTCTGAAAAAAATCATAAATCAAAATTTACATGTGTTTATACTAATGTAATACAAACATGACTACAAAAGATTTAGAATTGAGTAGTTTTTCGAGATTTACGATTATACTTTAAATAACTTTCACGAATCGGCCCCCAAATGTAGTCTCCCATCATGTTCTCGTTATACTGCCCTTGGTAGCAGTGTTCAATGTCCAGTATATCCTGCTGGAAGCGCTCGCCTTGCTCCTCCGAGTACGCTCCCATGTTCTTGAATTTATCAAGATGAGCATCAAGGATAAGGACTTTGAGGGACATCCTACAGCCCATTGTGCCGTAGTTCTTCACCAGAGTCTCAACAAGCTCCACATAGTTTTCCACCTTGTGATTGCCCAGGAAGCCATGAACCACTGCGACAAATCTGTCCCAAGCCGCTTTCTCCTTACTCGTGAGCTTCTTGGGGAATTCATTGCACTCTAGGATCTTCTTTATCTGTGGTCCAAAGAAGACACCAGCTTGACCTTTGCCTCAGACAGCTTAGGGAAGAAGTCTTGAAGGTACTTGAAGGCTGCTGACTCCTTATCTACAGCTCTGACAAGTTGTTTCATAAGGCCCAATTTGATGTGCAGTGGTGGCATCAGCACCTTTAGGGGGTCCACCAGTGGCTCCTACTTGACGTTGTTCCTCCCCACAGAGAACTCGGTCCGCTGTGGACAGTCCCACCTGTGGTAGTGCGCCTTGGTGTCCCTGCTGTCCCAAAGGCAAAGATAGCAGGGAAACTTGGTAAAACCGCCTTGGAGACCCATCAGGAATGCCACCATTTTAAAGTCTCTGATGACCTCCCAGCCGTACTCATCATAATTCAAGGCGTCCAGCAAGGTCTTGATTCTGTTGTGATTCTTTTTGAGGTGTACCGAGTGAGCCAGGGGAAGAGACGGGTACTTGTTACCATTATGGAGCAGCACGACTTTGAGGCTTCTTCATGGCTCTCTTTTCCCCTTTGAACCATCCTACAAAATAAATGTATTTCACCCATGACTAATATGTTAGAGATTCTCGCAACATTTTTCATATATGATATATATTTTTTCAATAACATTGAAAACTGTAAAACATTTAAAAAGACAACTTTTACAATTTTACAAATTTTAACAAATTGCATAACATAAAATTCCGTGCAACAATTGTCCATCTTACCTTCCAGAGTTTTTTGCATTGCTCGCAGGTGAAATGAGGTGTCCAGGGTTTGTCTTGATCCCCGACAGGCATGCCGACATATGCATTGTAGGTCTCACACATCTTAGCAGATGCTTCCACAGTACTTTTTCGCTCTTGTCTTGATACATTGGTCACAGACAGCAAAATGCGTCTGCCGGATGCTTGCAGCCTCTTGATGCCATCTCAGAAAAATGCAGATATGTATCCACTTAGACAGCTGGAACTAAACTGAATTGGTGGGTATCTACACTATGGGAACCTCATTTGCCAGTAAAAATATGATAATTGGTTCTTTACCCTTCTATCTGGCAACAAAACTGACACCTTTTTACAAGGAGTCATGTTTGCATAGACCGCAATACCTGCAGTCATAATACAAACTAAAGAACATAACTCTGATGTGTTTGTATTATGACTGCAGGTATTGTGGTCTATGCAAACATGACTCCTTGTAAAAAGGTGTCAGTTTTGTTGCCAGATAGAAGGGTAAAGAACCAATTATCATGAACTGGTGGGCTTAAGGCCCCTGTATTTATACTGTTTATATGACTGGAAATGTTCTAGAAGTTACTCCAAGTTTACTCAGCACTGAATCTATCTGGAATGTTCTGGAAAATAGGTAAATTTCAAAATATCACTGTCGTGGTCACAAAAGCAAAGTGTGTGGGGAATAATGGCCATTTTCTGTACCTTTGAGGCATAAGCAATTAGGAAATAACACTTACCACCCAGCAACAAAAAAAGATTTGTTACACAGTATAATCAACCCCACCAAAACGAGGATTCCCCGCCCCCCCTTTCCACGGGCTTGAAACATTCAGGAATGTAACCATTGTGTAAAGAGCTTGGATCATTGAAGTATGTATGGGAGCGTGTTTGAATGTGGGTGCAATAGCTGTTGAATAGTGTGGCGATTATCGCTCTTCGCTCCGAATTCGATTCCGCTCACAAACAATAATCGGCGGATATTTGAACTGTTCCTGGGCTCCTCCCCGAGGTCGATTTGTCGTCAGATGAGTATACGGTGCGGCAGAGGTCGCAACCGGGTACCCGATGCCCGTACCCTACCCGATACCCGGCTACCCGTACCCGGCCGGGTACAGGTGCTGGCCCACCCACCCCCTCGTTTGCCGTGCCGGGCTTCATAAGTACTCGCTAACAGCACTTGCCCCAATAATCTGTTACGGCTATACTGGGGGATCTGTCTTTTTGAATGTCGAGTTGCAACATGCGTGAATTCGTAAGGCTTAGCAAGTGCCTGTAAATTTGTGTTTTCAAGCGTAATATAGAGACTGGTACACAAGTGTGAGTTTCCATTACCGTAAGGAATTTGGGACACATTGATTTGCCATTGAACTCAAACAAGAGCCATTAGGTTTTTTTTTTCAAATTTGAAATATCGCTGAAGAGAAAATGTATACATCCATTTTGGAAGCAATGATTATGTTGTGGAAATAAGATTCCACGTAATGACAGTTTCATAACACGTGTCAATGATTGCACAAGGCAGCAGCAGTATAGTAGTAACCATTGAGACAATTTAGGATTGGAAATCAGATACTCAACTTACACGAATATATTTCTATTCGAATACGCTGGATTCATCCCATTCATTAGAAACCCAAAGTAGTAGACTTCCTAATACAGTATAAAGCTAGCGGCTCAGAATGTAGTGGCTGCTGTTCATAAAAACAAATGCTCATGCCGATAGAGGGCATGCAAGGCGCTTTGGGTTATTTAATACATTATAGCACAGACGCTGCCACCACGTACACTACGATGTTAAAACGTATCGGAAATAAATGGGTTCATTTTCACGAAGAAAGCTGACTGTGACCTCCGATTGGCACGGTTGGCTACGCACGGTGTGAAGGAAGTTCAACTTGCATACCACAGTCAATTTGGAGAAAAGGCATCGAACTACAGCCGGAGATTCATGGTCGAAAATAAATCTAAGAGATTTATGGAAATTGCTCAAGTATTCCTTAACCCAACAAATTATTTTGAAAAGCCCAGCTTGTAAAAGATTGTGAACAGGGTCTCCATTATCACGATGAACGGTTCGACCGGGCAACTGGCTTGTCAGTATATACCTGCATGATGCCGATCTAAAACCTTCAACTTTTTACAATTTTACCAGGTAAGGCCCACTGAGCTATGTAGCTCTTTTTCAGAAGTGACCTGGCCAAAAATGATAGCCCATTTAAGTGGCGTATCACGTGGAAATGTATAGCAGCCAAATACTCCTAAAGGCGTTATGTTGATTCTAAATGTGGAGGGAAAAACCGGAGGACCCGGAGAAAAATCCACGCGACCACTGGGAGAGAGACATACAAATTTACAGGCGTCAGGGTCGAGGTCGAACCCACAACCTTCTGTATACTCGGCTATGTAGTTCACATCTCGCCACCATGTGGACAAGGACGGGTACATATGCTTGAACCAGTCCTACAGGAGCATGATCGATTGTGCCCCTGCAGTTATCGATTCTTCCCTTTGAGCTGTCGTCAGTGCCTTGGGTGTTCAGCAAAGCTTCTGGTCACCTCGGTCTTTATATTTCAGAAGTGAAGAATTCCCTGGACAACACCATAGACGCCCCAGCCAACACATGCTTTAGTCACGAGAGGGGCCTGCAATGGGAAAAAGCGGTCGTCGGGATCCCACACAAAATGTTCATTGTGGCTTAGCTTGCATATTTGTATGAAGGTTCCGTCTTTCTGTTGGACAAGGCTTGTGTACCCTCCTGCTATGCCTGGCATCCAATTTAGCAGTTGGTTACCAGAACCAGGGGCATGCTGCAGATACGGAACAGGATGTGAGCCACAGTGGAAATACGGTACTACCGAATATTTATGAAAACATTTGCAGAAGTGGCCAAGCCCTTAACGGACAGAATGAGGAAGGGGGTAGCTTGGTGCAATTGATTGGGATACTGAAGAAAAGCAGAACTTTGAGCCAATCATAGGCGCATGCCCTGACGCATGCGCCTATCCAACGCGTTGTGTTACGGACGGATGCATCAGAGGCGAGTCTCGGAGCAGCAGCGCTCCAAAGATGTTGACGGTGAGCTGTTCCCAGTGACCCATTGGAGTCATAAACTACTCAGCAATTGGAGGGAGAGCTTCGCGTTAGTGTGACCGGTTCAAATCTTACGAATCTACTTGTATGGCGAAGAGTTTGTCTTTCCAGACGGGCCATCAACCCTTACTCCATCTAGACAGTGCGAGATTGGATAACGAGAGGGCATTGCTATGGACACTTGCCACTGCGGTCGTATCAATACCATGTGAGAGTATTGAATGGCTGCGACAAACGTGGGGAGCACACTACTTGAACCTAAGTGCAGTGTGAGTGGAGGGTTATGAGCGTCCGTGGTGTAGCCCGACTGAATCACGTGTTTCAAGTCAATGAAGCATCGACTTCTTGAGGGGTGGGGTAATGTGACGGGGTGCATTTAATTACTCAGAGGGCAGGTTTTCAAGCATGCGGACAATAGGATGACTATCTTGACTTAAAGCTTTCGTGACTGCAGGAATTCATATTCTTTGGGTCTTTCGGTAAAGTCACGTAGATAGGTTCAAAGAAAATAAGAAATAACAAAAACCTCTTACTGATGACGAACGCTTGTGTTGCGATCGAAACGTCGTAGCCTTTTTGTCATTTTTTGCTATTTTCTTTGAACCTATCGACTTGACTTTACCGAAAGACCCAAAGAAAATGGGATGACTGCCATAGTTTAGCATTGTGTCGCGTCCAGAACACCCCATTGGTTAGAAACGCGTGCTCGACAGCCAATTAGGTGCAATTGCTCTGTGAGTGACTTAACTTGCACGTGTCGGGAAGTGAATTATCACTCACGAATTACCACATTGTTCGCGATTCTTGGGACGCGCACGTGGGGGGTGGGCGGGGGGGTATGTGACGCATCTCCCCAGCAGGTGATTCATTGGTTGCCAGGTGTAATTGCTTCAGGTAGAGCGGCTCTCACATTGGATAGGGGTTGTGGATCGAATCAGAAGTTTCCTTGCCGAGTACAGCTCACTGAGCTAAGAAGATGAATCCCTGCAGTCACGAAAGCTTTAAATCGAAATTTAATCTACAGGTAGTTCCCGACTTACGATGGTCCGACTTACGATATTTCGATCTTACGATAGCGATATGACAATTGTAAAATATTTTACATTTCGCGCGGCAGGCAAACGCAGCAACGTACGAGGTACGATGCTGTATGTTGGGACGCTGCCGGGATGTACTGTACGCATCTCCAGCCTTGTGTGGTGATGCCTCTCACTCTCATCAGCGGTCGACGGAGTTAAGTTGTCTCGGTGTTCAATACATGTTAACAGTTTTTTTTTTATAGCAGATAGGATTGTTTCCTGAAAAAACTCTGAAATTGCAGTTCATATAGTAGGCTAAGAATTTACCTTGTTTTTTTTTACTTTTCATTTCTGTGCAATACAGTATTGTAATTAATACATACATACAGTATATAGTTGATACAGTACAGTACTGTAAATTACTCTGTTTTGCTAAATTATCACCATTTAAGACTCCTGGGTAGGCTAAGCTATTTTCGACTTACGATATTTTCGACTTACGATATTTTCGACTTACGATGGGGTCGTCGTAACGCATCTCCATCGTAAGTCGGGGACTACCTGTATTTTCCAAGAGCGACTCGGCCGGCAGGCAACAGCAAGGCATTCTACAATTACAAATGTAACAAATAGACAAATAAACGTCACGATAGGAGTTATGTTGAACATTTACATGCACACTTTAACTCTCGTGATTTTAACCGAGGAAATGCCATGAGCCGAAACTAGGTATGTTTCAAAACTACGGGACAGCTACATTTAAATGCGTTTGATCGAAATTGTGTGCGAAATGGGGGAATCATGAATAAATAGACGCACCGCGCAGAATTTGAGGATTATCTAATGGCAACAACAACAGGTTGGACAATTAAAGAGCAGGTCTTACGAACAATAAATAGGCCCGTGAATGAAAATAGCCCAGAGTCGCAGAGAAGGCACAAATAACCCCGCTGTGAAGGCGACCCTAAGCTACCAGCAGCGCTGGGGGACTTGCCGAGCGGAGCCAACTCGACATCGGCACGAGGAGCTGCCAAGAGGATTTCTTCCACCGTGAGTACGATCCCACAGCCGTCGGACAAAGACGGCGGTCACCGCATCGCGCGCTTTCAGATGCGCGTCTGCGGCCGTCTGGAACGCTCTTGCCTTACCGATAGTCGGAAGCCACCGGAGCCGTGGCGCTTTTAAATCGTCGAGGTTGAAAACTAATTTTGTGCAGAACTGCTTTTTGTGTTTAGTTTGTTGTACTTTCCCCGCACCTCCGGTTTGCGCGGTTGGCTACGTACGGTGCGAGAGAAGTTCAACGTACATGCTACACTGTGTACATTAGTTTGATAATTATAACTAACACATTCCTGCGGAGGGAGCTGGTAGGAACGTTGGGTTGCTCGGTCAATGGCCAGGGTCAACGGCGGCGTGGTGTATTCCGCAAATATGGCCGACTGTGAGGGCGGGCACAAGCCGGCGTGAGTAGGTTAAACGTTGAGTTTTATAAGGGCACCACGGGGTGACCAGCCCCTCCCCACCCAACCCTTCCCCACCCTCCCCTCTCCACCCAGCCCCACCCCTCCCATTTTTGGATTCACGACGGACGGACGGACACAATAATCCCCTGTGGGCTGGTGTAACCAGGAGGTTCCTACCAGTATTACGGCTTGTAGAGCCCATTGTCATACAATCTCAAGGCGCTTTGCATCAATGACGATGTGTGGATGGGCTTGATCGCTTGCTATCAGCTGTACACCCGGGTCGTTGAAATCGCAGGTATTTTTGTGTGGACTAGTGACCGGACAGAGTGCGGTCGAGGGCAGCAGAGGGGCAGGGCCGTGGGCAAGGCGCAATCGGCTGCCCCTACCGCCACCTTGTGGAGAGGGCTACTCGATGCATGTTTGTATGGGTGCAATGGTTGGAACGCTGCGCTGTTAACCCAGCGACCAGAGTTTGATTCCCGACCCACGGTGACATGTGTTGGACTTCTTTCGCAACGTACGTAGTCAGTGGTCTTGGTCCCTCGGCCCTATTTTTACCCAACCACTGTGGTTAAAATAGAGCAACCCCAGAGTAGAGCACGGCGAATCTGTGCGACCGCCCCAGGCCCCGTGCTTTGGGGGGCGGCGGCCGTTTAAACATCACGGTGTCAGATTGACTACTACCGGTTTAGTTGGAAGGCGTTGGGGAGGCACCACAGGTGTGGGTGGGGTTCGTCCCGGGCCCCTCACTGGGACAAACTGGGGGACGCGGTGGGGGGGAATCCTCATTTGTCTCTCACACACCCGTGGCTTAGAGCGTGGGGGGGGGGGGGGAGGCTTTTGTACAGCACTGTGCTGTATATTGCAAAGGGCTGTAGAAGAGGTTTATGGCTGTGGTCGAAATGTGTAACTTTGCGTGCGTGCGCGCGCATAAAACCTGGCTTATTTACATCACACAGACGTCACCAGCTTTGTACTTGAGGGGAAAAAACGTCTCTAAGAAGTTAACAGAAAACCACTTTGTGAAAGATCGGGCATTTTTATTAACATCCTTCTTTACAACAAAAAAAAGTTCATTTTAAAATTCCAAACACACTGGCAGGCAGAAATCTTAATTGCCTGGAGATTTATTTTTTATTTTTACAAAATAGTGCATAGGCCAAAACAAACATTTGAATTGAATCTTAAAGAGAGAAAATGAACCTTTCCGGTTTTTTTTTACATTTTGATGATAGCAATGCATAAAAGCCACGTACCGTTTGAGTACAGCACTTACTAAGCACGAATCAAAACTCGCGCACGACCGCTCCGTTTAAAAGACTCTAACCCAACAACAAACAAGCCTTGTACATTCACAACTTGACGGCCACTTCCTTAAGTAGAACGAGACTGCTGCAATGACGAACCCCCGTCGTGATGTCACTGTACCATTCATACCACGGTGACGTCGCCGCCGCCGCTGCTACAGGGTTCATAACATCACATCACCAAGCTCGTGTCTCGGTATTCGCGGTTGTGCTGCAGAGCGCCCCAATGAGACTTCGGGTCGCACTGCACGCGTTGTTGCTTGTTCAACACCACGTCCGATGTTATGCGTCGCGCGCTTGCAGATGCGCTTCTGTGGCCGTCTGGAACGCTCTTCCTTCCGATATTAGGAAGCGATTGGGAGCGATGCACTTTTAAATCATCTACAGTGAAAACTCATTTCTTTTAGAACGGCTTTTTGCGTGCTAGTTTGTGGGTCTTTCCGCCGCGCCTCTGATTAGCGTGGTTGGCTACGTACGGTGCGAAAGAAGTTTAAAAGTGCTGGGGAGCTTGCTTCAGGAACCCAATTGAGCTGCTCGCGTTCGATTTGGTCTGGAGAGGTCGGAACTGAATTCGGATTGCAAACAAGCTTCCAGCTAGTGGAGGGAATCGTCTGAAAAGGCATCGCAGAGAGCTTTAAGTCTTTTTTTCACGGAGCTCCAAACTCGTGTCCGATTTAAGAAAGGGGAGGGGGGGCACGTAGCCGAGACTGCAGCAGAGCTGAAGGTTCTTTGGACTGTGTTTTTTTACAAACGCGCGTCCCCTAAATTCTTCATTTATAAAATATTTAGACGTGGAGGTAAACGTTGAGTTCCCGGTGTTTATCCCCCAATGGAAAAACTTTGGTCGGGGGAACTGACTCCGGATCATCATCCTTGTGGGGAGGTGGGGGGTCAATAAAATGGGCACAACTTTACGGACATGAACAGCGCTCGCCCCATGGGAGGGAAGACCGGTCCCTGGCACAGGAACGAGGAACTTCCAACCTTTGGCCAGGGTTTGTCAATGGCGAGAGAGGGAGCCCGCTTGCGCCATGCCCTTGAACCGGAGCGGTGCGTGTCGAGGCGTGATCGCTGGCTTTCCGCTAATAGGTCGGCAGATATTGCCCTGCTCATTTCGAATCGAGATGCGTAAACGTCACCGTTTTTTTTCTTTCCAATATGGAATTGTTTCTTTATTAACGGCCACGACCGGGGCATCGTGCACGATAGCGATTTAACGCGCAGGCTTTGCAGAACGTGCCCCTTGAAATTACGATTCGAACGGAGGCGTTACCTGCCCTACCTAACGGAGAGGCACAGTGATCGGCCGAATACTGAAACTCGTAGCACAAACAAAACCGCACTTTCCCCGACCTACCATGCCAGCCCAAACGCTTTGCCCATTTTAACGCTACTAGCACCTTAACGCCGCAACTGAAGTCCGCCAGGCTCGTCAACAAAAGCTTGAACGGCACGAGGTCAAACTGAATTGCAAAGTTGAGAAAACACATCCACGCTACTCTTAAGCTAAAATGCCACTGGCGTCACCACAGCGCTTGTGCCAGGCTAGGTGCGCTTTGAGGCCGCGCGACTTAAACATTTATAAGAAAACGCTCCCGACGCACAATACCCCAGGTCTCTTCAACAAGCTCTAGCCTATGAAATGTAAGGCCGCTACTAACACTGAACACGGTTGTGGCTGTACGGTTTATAGGAACGTGGCTTATTTGGCATCTTGTCAATAATAATTTATTTTTAAAAATGTAGACGACGAGATGCTTTTGGGCGAGGTGGCGGTGTTGTTTAAAACGCATTTTGTGAATGCGCTCAATTCGAGGCCTAGGTGCGTTTTTATTTAATTTTTGCGTGTGATTTAAAACAACGCCAGATTTACAGCGCGCCACACTAAACAACGCAAGCCGTTGCAAAGGGACCGTGGGATTCCAAAAAAAAAGCATTGCAACCCTCGTACTAAATCTAATTATCCCTGCTAGTGGGGGGGGGGGGGGGGGGGGTGGCCGATGTTCCATGAATTTCCCTGCACGGCCTTGAACGACTGGGCTTGGCTGTACCCAACCGTTGGTCACCCCGCGAGAGACGCCAGCCCGAGTTGGGGGTGGGGTGGGGGGGGAGGCCTCAGGGGTCGATGAAGGAGATGGCGATGTAGCGCGTGCCGGCCGTGGTTGGCAGGCCCTCGTGGTAGTGCGTGAGGCGGCCCGGATGCAGCAGCGTCCAGCCCTTGATGGGCGACGTCACCGAGCAGTTGTAGCGAATGAAGCGGCTTCCGCCACCCTGCGCACGACGGGAAACAACGGCCGCAAGCAGAGGGGCGGACGCACGGGCACTTCAAGACGCGCGCGTGGGCAGACTCGTACAGACACGTGAACAGGGATAGATTTGGACACACGGGAGACGGATGCGTGTACGAACGTGCACGCGCGTGCACACAAGCACGTACGCAGACACAAACGGAGACGACGCATGGGCACACGTAGCACTGAGAGGCACGCAGTTGCAGCCAAACGAGGAGCTTTCACCACCCTGCAAGAGATGGTCGGCTACGTACGATGCGAAAGACGTTCTACATGCATCTACGACACCAATTGCAGTTGGGAGAATGGGTCCTAATGACTCCACGAGTGACGATCTCGTCTCGTCGTACCTGGAAGTCGATGCCGGCGTGGTTGAGCGCCACGTTGATGGTGAACGTGGACGAGTCGTGGTGCGGCCTCAGCGACGGCTGCTCGTCCGGGCGGTAGCGGACGATGAAGTTCATCACCGCGTACGCCTGCCGGGACGGGGGAAGACCGCACGCGCTCGCTGACGTGCGTGTGTGCGTGCACATGCAGCATCGTGGCGATCGTGGCGTGCGATGAACGTTACTCTGCGGGCGAGCGGGCGGCCAAGTGCTGCACTCTTGAGGGGAGCTCGGAGGTAGTTTTGTGAATTCTGCTTCTGTGGGCCGTTTCTTTAACGCGGAGGGGTTCACGTTCGATTTGTGCCGTGGAGCCAACTGAGTGATCTTGACGAAATTTGGGAAAATGACAGTTTAGAGCAGCGGTCGGGAACCTATGGCTCGCGAGCCATATATGGCTCTTCCGGTGACGGCATATGGCTCCCAGACAATTTTGAGTTGAAAAAAATAATAACAAAAAAAATAAAATCAGTTTGAAACTGATTTTAAAATACTTGTGATATTGCTTAATAATACTGTGTCATTTTAAAGTAAACAGAAATTAGTTTTGAAGATAAAATTTCTCGGGTCACGGGTCCTGTGACCAGAAGTCACATTAAAAGTAAGACACATTTAATTTATTATACGTTAAAAATACTATATGTCTCTCAATGAAATATATTTAGAAATATTTGGCTTTTATGGCTTTCCCAGTCAAAAAGGTTCCCGACCCCTGGTTTAGAGGAAGAAGAATTCAATAATAATCGTGACTTTATAGCGAGGTTTTCGCTGCAAACGTAATTCATAGTCGAGTTTTTTCACGGGTTAGGCCACGTGACGATCTTGCCAAATGTGCATCTTAATTAAATTAAGTAAAAAGTTAAGATGCGCGCTGAACCATACATAAATAAATTGGCACGTTAAACGCTCGCACGCGCGACCAATTTAATTTGTGTCGGGTGGGGGAGGGCGGTTCTTAAGACCTGAAATGTGACCACATCATGAAGAGGCTTTGTCCACAAATCAATTATAAACGATGCTAAAGTAATAATAATCACTATTCCAATTTACTAAACTATTTCAACTAATATTTTTTTACATTACCAGATAAGGCCCACTGAGCTATATAGGTATTTTTCAGAAGCGACCAAGCCACAAATGATAGTTCAACAAAGTGGCTTCTCACATGCAAATGTCTAGCAGCAGCCAAATATTCTAAACGCATGTTTATAAATGTGGAGGGAAAAACCGGAGGACCTGGAGAAAAATCCACGTGACCACGGGCAGAGAGAGAGAGAGAGACACGTGCAAACTCCAAATATACAGCGGGAGTCGGGGTCGAACCCACGACTTCCTGCATACCGGGCGAGGTAGTTAACATTTATCTTCTGTGGTGCCCTAACATGCAAGAGGGATGAGATGGGGGGGAGGTTCTGTGGAGGGGGCCCACCTTGGGGTAGTAGCCGGCGAAGAGCTTGGTGGTGACGGGCGCGATGTAGTCGCGCAGGAACTTGAGCCACTCCCGCTCGAAGTTCACCTGGGTCATGTGGATGTCGATGGTGGGCACGTTTTCGTAGCCGCCCGAGATGCGTTCGTCCTGCCCGCACACAATCGTCGCAGCCTTTATCTAGACTGCAGGAGGAGGAATCCGATGAGCTATGAAGCTCTTTGTTTCACAGACGCCCGGGTATGGTTCGAGCGGGTCGGCAGGTTTACAACAACAAACGACAGGAGTGCAAAATAGAGAAAATGCTAAATATAAATTAATTCATGATACAAGTCCTGATTCATCAAGCTTGGGTGCAAGGCAGCAAAAGCAACAAAAAAGTCCCAGACTCCACCAAGATAACACCACACAGTATTGGTCCCTCAATAAAATGGCACACTAACAGTGAACTATCGATACTACACAAGTAAGGATCACGGTTACAAAAGTGATAAAAAACATTTTTTAACGTAGGTTTCGCAGCCAAAACAACGGCCCGTGTAACTTCTGTCAAGACAAAAATTGCGGCATAAAACCACAACGCGGCCGAGCCATAACGCACAAGAACGAATGCCGATCATTTTAACGCCGCAAAAATATCTCTGGAGCCCGCTTCGTGATCCTTGATCGCCGGTGGCTGCAGCCCCTCCAGGACCCCAAATCGTCGTCATCTCCTTTAACTTCACCAGGAGAAGCCACGAACCCACTGGGACACAAGGCGGTGGCCCTCCCCCCTCGTTCCTGTGTCTGCCGGCACCCTGCGCGTCACCGGCGAGGCGCGATGCGTGCACGGACCTTGTTGGACCCTCCGGACCACTGGCCGTAGTGCTCCATCTCCTCCACCAGGTGGTCGCACATGACGTCTGAGAAGATCGGGAACCAGAAGACGTCGGGGCACGGCTGGGGGGGGGGGGGGGGGGGGGGGGGTGGTGGTGGTAGTGGGGCACGAGACGGGGGGGGGAGGGGGGTCGCGGAGACGAAGTGCGGAGGTAAACGCTCGCGTACAGCCGGGGGGACACGCAGACCCCTCTTTGTGTACCCCCCTTCCTCCCTTGATGAACTACTGTGGTGTGGTCGACCTCTGGCTGCTGGTCACGTGCCCCTTGCCGGTCTACGGACGAGTGGAGAAATGATGACGCAACTGCGCAAACCTGTCGACCCCTGATCACTGCCGACCTCATTATGGACAAATTCACACCTTATTGGTCACCCCGTGCCCCTTATAAAGCTCTACGTTCATCCTACAAAGTTCCATCACAAGGGATAAACACAAAACAAAGGAAAAAATAATGTTTTTTTGCCCGGCTGTACGCCAATATGGACCTGAACTTAATTTCCCTGTCCAAGTTGATGGGGTAAACGTACGGGTTGACAGCGGTGCAACTGGTGGAGGAGACCATCATTGAGTGGAGATCTAATGGCTCGGCTAATCACGGTTTTGCAGTTCACGATTGGACACGAATGATGGTGGCGTTTTGGTTTTTATTTGAATCCCTCCCCCCTCCAAATTACGTTGCAATTGTGCTATCGGACTCACGCCGCGAGGCGGCGAGAGGGAGAAATTTTTACGTCAAAGACCTCTCGCAGCCAGAAGTGCCGCCACCCTGTGGCAGAGAAGTTCCCGGTAGTTGACGTCACATCGCAAGAATTTAAAATCCCTTTAAACAGACCTCCTTTGCACACCAGGGGAATGCCCCTTTTTAATGCCCCGCAAATAGAGTTTGTGACACGTTAATCCAAGCACAATATTGAGGTCTCTGCTCTGGCACTATCAAGTCGCTACAGATGAGAAGACCGTCCGATAGGGACCATTGTGATGATCCCCCCCCAGGCCACCTCTTGTTTCTTCTTACAGACCCCGGCCCTGCTGTGACCCCTACTTGACCCCTCCGTGATGACCCCCCGCCCACCCCTACCTGCTTCATGATGGAGTCGTCAGTGAAGATGTTGGTCCAGTTGGGATGAATGTACTTCTCCTGCCAGTCCTGGGGGTGGGGGGTGGGGGGGGTAAATCGATTAATTTAGTCGCAGACGTTTTGCCACGTGGGGCTGTCACGACCAAGGCGCTGCGGGTCGCAGTATAGCGGGCGACGTTGCTCCACATTAGCCGGCCCTGTGGATGCAATGCAGGAAAACGGGATCACGCGGGCAGGCGTGTGACACGGCATGGTTCGTCCCCCACGCATCAGCGCAGCTGTGTGTTCGTACACCAGTGGCGTGGCTGTGAATTTTATAGGCGGTGCAACTGCACTGGGGGCTCGTGGAGGTTACGTTACAGGACCCTACATCTACCTACACACACCACATCTACATGCAACAAGTCCACCATCTACACGTACACCACGACCCGACCACGTCTACACGCATTTCAGGACTCACTTCATCTGCACACACACACCACATCTACACACACACACACGTCTAAATACGTTAAGCAGGTAATGATCCAATCTCCTCCACCTCTCGCGCACCATTTTGAGCGATGGTCCCGACGTCGAAGCGTCCATTCGATAATGGACTGGGGTCTCGCGGTGCCTCTCTACAGTGCCTCATCGAAAGCCAATTGCACAGTTTGAACGGGCTTAATAACACTGGTCAACACACTTTTTTTGGCATAAAGTATTCCAACGGCTTTAAGGTAATTTTGGGGTGCTGATTCCAAATCTGGCATCCGTTATCTATCACATCAGGTTTTTGAGATATCAAATATTGCATTTTCAATAAAAACTTCAGAAGAAAAATATTAAATAAATGTGGATATCTACATAAAATGATATTATAAACACACTATCCTAAAAATACAGCACCATATTTTAACACTAAAGCAGTCACTGACTCGCAACAACTTGCAATCATAAGTGACAGAGTTAATTTCGGGTCAAATCAATGAAAATGGGGTATGCCGATAGCATAAAAATGATGTGATAGAGCAAATCTGAGATCAGATTTGGAATCCGCACCCTGAAATTAGTCTAAAACAGCTGCAAAAGTCCAGGCCAGAATTTTTTTTGTTGACCAGTGTAATCGATTACTAGTCACATGACGTGCGTATCGCGCGCGAGTGTACAAGCCGACTCTTTTGAAGTGCCTCGTGCCACCGCTGTCGGCAGGGCCTCCACGAGAGGGAGCTCGAGTAGGGTGTCATGTTTGTGAACGCCACGGTCGGTCCGCAACTCACCACTTGGTTCTCAAAGATCTGCCACAGGTCGTTGTGCAGGTGGGTGGTGTTGTAATTCTCCGTTGAGATGAGACGTCCGAATTCGTGGTTATTCGTCAGGTACATGAAGACTCCCTTGGTGGGTGGGTCGAGAGGAAGTGGGGAGCGCGGTGGGTTAGTACGTTGCGTGACGAGCCTCGCAGCAATTTTTTTACCAGTCTGGGGGCCTCCTGTAGGTCAACTCGGCCTTAAATTATTACCTAGTGTGGTGTGAAAACATGAGCATGGAGAGTGATGCTGACCACCCATCCCCTCGTGCGCTGCGTCAGCCTTGGTAGGGGTACTTGCTAACAGAACTTGCCCCAGCAGGAGGGGGGAATCTTTTGTGTCGCAGATAATTAAGAATGCACAAATCTTTTCAAGTGTTTGAAAAAACTACGGTGAAGGTGCCACCACCACTGCCGCCGCGCATCGGAGCCTCCTTCAGCTCCGGTTGGCTACGTGCAGTGCGAAAGAAGTTCAGCATCCATACAGCTCCGGACAATCCCCTGCCCACTCCCCATAAAAACATTTGTATGGCCCTCGCTGGGTACGCGAGCTGGGGGAAGGCAAACCTGTCAACCCCTTATCAGTGCCAACCTTGTCACAGACCAATTCAGACCTCAACGTTCATCCTACAAAGTCCCATCACAAGGGAGTAGCACAAACAGATTTGTTTTTCTGTTGCCATTATTGAAACGGCTGTACGCTGGTATGGACCTGAAAACTCAATTTCCCTGGACAAGAATACGGGGTAAACCGTGCAGGGGGTTGACAGCTAATGAGAAGGTGCGGCCATGGTGATGGTGGCGGGGGGGGGGGGGGGGGGTACCAGGTCGCGTGCGCGGCGGCAGAAGACCATGTCCGGGTCGGTGTTGTCGCGCACGAACACATCCGGCTTCCTCATCTCTCCGCGCAGCAGCGCGCCCTGCACCAGGTAAGCGCTCGCCAGGTAGGGCACGTTCCACACGCCCCTGCGAGACACGCGCAGCGCGGCCCGCCACGCCACACCGGATTCGCTCCGCATTCGATCGTTCCGGCTTTCAAACTCGACACCGTCCAGAAACGCGGTTCGGTAAACATCTCGCAGCAATCGTTCACCCCAGGGCCCATGGCAAGAGCTGCGGCTTCGCAAATTCAGCAGCACAGGGTCGCATCGAACAAAGACGGCTACCGCATCGCCGCGCTTTCAGATGCTCTCCTGCGGCCGTCTGGAACGCTCTTCCTTTCGATATTAGGAAGGCACTGGAGCTGTGCACGTTTAAATCGTCCAGATTGAAAACTAACTTCTTTAGAAGAGTTTTTTGCGTTGAGTTTGTCCTTCCCCCGCTCACCTCCGATGAGCATGGTTGGCTGAGTACGAAGCAAAAAAGTTCTACAAACACATACTTCCCTCTGCTTTAATATTCAGGATTCGGACTGTACCGTTACTAAATACTCTTAGGTTTTTTCGGTAAAGTCACGTAGGTAAAAAATTTAATTAATAAAAGTAAAATAAAAAATCATGACGTTTCGGAGGCAACACAAGCTTCCGTCTTCAGGTGGAACCGTCACAGCACGATTGCTGTATCAAGAAAATAGTTTTTTTTTTTACTTGATACAGAAATCGTGCTGTGACGGTTCCACCTGAAGACGGAAGCTTGTGTTGCCTCCGAAACGTCCTGATTTTTTATTTTATTTTTAACCTACGTGACTTTACCGAAAAAACCTAAGAATAGGAATCCTTGCAGTCACGAAAGCTTCAAATCCCATTACAACATGTTTATAACCAACGCTGCGCTTATTATTGAATGTTCAGGCTCCGTCTGGGCTTGTGCTTGCGCGTACGTGCGTTTCCGCTGCACGATGTCCACGTAGTCCTCGGAGCGCGCGTAGAAGCCGTCGGGACTCAGGGCTCCCCAGAAGTTGGACCACAGTTTACCGGCTCGGGTCAACAGTGGGGACACGATTTTCCTGAAATGGGGGGAAAAAAAACACCACCCACCGATATTCCCATAGATGTTCTTACCCTTTCTGTTCAAACACCAAATAGAAAACTTTCGCAAGGACTCAAGTACTCCATTAACTATGCACGGTACTTGTGGTGAACATGCAAACAAACATTGCTTTCTTCTTGGTAAGTCACGTAGAAGGGAAATAATAAAATAATAAAAATGAAACATAATAAAATACAATGTTTTATTTTTATTATTTCCCTTCTACGTGACTTTACCGAAAGAACCAAGAATATGAATCCCTGCAGTCACGAAAGCTTTAAATCGAAATTTAAACATTGATCTGATGATGCATTATTTTATACTGCTTGGCCTACACCAGAGACAGCTTTCTTTAGGACCTAGTCTCGCGAGTGTCAGACCAGAGAATGCCACAAGGCGACCAGTACAAAGACGATGCAAGTATCAGGGAACAAAAAGGGAGCTTTTGCCAGTATCAAGTCATCCTAGTTTATACTTTGTATGCATCTTGCACTTCTTTAGCATCATACATAGCCAACCACGCTAAATGGAGGTTTTCCAGTGCAGTTGAGCAGATGGTCTCAGCCCTGTCAGCAATGACTGCACAACAAAATGGCCCACTGCAATAACATTTACTTCTGCGCTTAATTTGGCTAAAATGCCAGCTCTGAGCATTGCAATATGGGTTTGGCCATCACGCAGTGAACATTACCCTGGTAGGGCAAAGCAGGGTGGGAAAGTGCTGTCCCCTCTACCGCGTCAACCACGGCTAGCTTGAAATAATCTCAGAGGTAGCTCTGTAGTGTTCCGCTTTCTTGGGACCGCGCGCTAACCCGAGGGGTTGCCCTGCTTCGCCAGATGATATAATGCGACGGTCACGACAACCGATTAAGGCAATGATCACGTGACAAGTGCAATGACGATGCAATGACAATGATGCAAGCCGACCGGTTCTGCTGCAGGAGGAGTCTGAGGGTGGCCCGGTTGGTGAGCACCACGTCCGCATCCAGGCTGAAGTAGAAGTCGCACGTGGGGTCGTCCCGACATGATGACCTGCAGCCCACACCACCAGCAGCAGCAGCAGCGAGCATGAGTGAGCGTTGCCACCTCCCAGGGTGCAAACCCACCGCGCCGATCACGCGGAGGAGATAAAGTTCTCGCAACACGAGGGCGGGATGGCCACCGTCGTCGTGTGGAGCGGTGCGCGATCACGTGACCCACATGCCGAGGTTCCGCGCCTCCCCGGGAGTGAGCCCCTCCTCGGGCCCGATCACCTTGGCCCCGGCGAAGACGCCGCTGTGGCGCGCCCAGAACGCCGCCAGCGCCGGCTCGTGCACCACCTCCTACGTGGCACAAACACGCGTCAACACACACACGCGCGTCAACACACACACGCGCGTCAACACACACACGCGTCAACACACACACACACCCGTCAACACACACAAGCATAGGTGACATATTGCACGCGCACTGGCATACACACAGCAGGCGCACCCTGGCGCACCGGTCAGGCCCGCAGTTGGGTGTACTGGTGTGTACACTGGCTGCCTGCGTACCCATGTGCACACGTCGCATGTCGTCGCCATACCTGTGCGCATGGCACGCACGTAAGACGACCCGCGTGTACGCATGCCGGCGGGCGCACAGGTACATGGGACTACCTGTGTGCACAGGTGGTGCGCATAGCCATGCACACAAGGCTTGCCCCTGCGTACACTTGCACATGGGTGGTGCACAGGTATGGACATGACCTGTCTGCACAGGTGACGCGCCCCGCACCACTGCAGGCACCTGTGTGCACAGGTTGCAAGTGCGTGGTGTACCTGCACACAAGAATGGGTCTCTTTTGGCATTCGTACCCGCTGGTGTGCACCTGTTGCATGCCTACCTGGGGAAGTGGCTAAATGACACATTCCACGTATCAAATAAACATTGTGCGTTTCTAATTCCATTAATGTGTAATGACAGTTGAGCCTGCATGCTGTGTGAGTGGACTCGTGGCCAAGGGAGGTGATGACAGGGGAGTCAGTTGTGAGTGGGAAGGGACTGGTGGCTACGGGAATGATGGAGAAGGGAGCGGGGTCAGGTGATGGAAGAGGACGATCGTCTGCTGGTGGAGCGAGCGAAAAGGAGGGCCTGGCCTCCGTATATAAGGGAGAGATGCGCGGGAGACTCGGGGCTGTTGCAGTGGGGGGTCTCTCCACCTGATGTCAAGTGAACATGTCTTCAATAAAGTGCCATCTCAAGAGACGTGTCATGTCATTACAATTGTTTCAAGTTGCTTCATGAGCTCCATTTAAGTCGGTGGTAGGTAACTTGCCTTGGGTGGCCAGAGCAGACGTCCCCCCCTTGCCCCACTGCAGCGAGTCCCCTGGGGAATCCAACTCGGGGCCACTGCACGAAGCACGACTTACACCGCCTCTGCCCTCCTTATGTAGCACCACCAGAATCCGATTCCCAATCACGGCCAACATGGGAGACGACAATCTGAACTGGTCCCGGGACTCCCCTAGGTCGACTGGGCCCCTAATAAGTACCTGGCACAGATGTGCCGTCGACATGGCCAACGGTGAAACGAAGGCAGCCACGTGTGGCAAGTATGTTGAACTTCTTGTGCACAGTACGTAGCCAACCAGGCAAATCCGGAGGTGGTGCTGGCTTATCCACCACCGCATTCGCAGCGCCGTCCTTCATAGGTGCTGCTCGCGAACAGCACTTGTCCCCAACAGGCTGTTAAGGGTATACAGGGGGAGTGAGGGGGGGGGGGGGTCCGTGTGCACGCAACGGTGATGCTGGTCGAGTGAGCGAGTGAGCGCGGGCACGTACGCGGTTGTGGATGAAGAGGGTGATGCGCTTCCCCGGGTAATCCATGGCGGCGAGACGCTCCAGGAACTCGGCCAGGAATGGCGTCGGCTGCTCGATGAAGACGCCGACGATCACGCGCGGGAAATCCTCCTCGGCCTGAGGTCAAAGCGGAGGAAGGGGGGGGGGGGGCCCGCGAGGTCTGGGTTCAAGGCAGAGGTCGCAAACGGGTTTTGATTCCTTACCCGTACCCGGCAGCACCAGGGTCTCAAATGGGTACCCGTACCCAGCCGGGTACGGGTACCCAGCCGGGTACGGGTACCCATTCCCTACTCGTACCCTACCCGAAATGAGTGACAAACAGTTACTCACCAGTGACTCACGGCCTACCCGTACCCGGCCACACCAAAGTCGCAAACGGGTACCCGGCTGGGTACGGGTAGCCGGGTATCGGGTAGGGTACGGGTATCGGGTACCCAGTTGCGACCTCTGGTTCAAGGGTCAGGGGAGCAAAGCAAGCGCAGCCCCCCACAAATCGTTTCCCTCCCCATCACCTCGCTCCCTCCTTGCGCCGCGGTTTGGGCCGAATTAATCCAGCGTGGGCCGGCCCCCCCCCCCCCCCCCCCAGGGTCCGGTCAAGACTCGCCCGGCATCGAGTAATCTAGTTAGTCCATGGCGCAGAGCAGACTGTCAGTGGTATCACTTTACCACCCATTAGCACGGTTGGCTACGTACGGCGAGAAAGAATGTCAACATTCGTACGTAACTTTACGACATAAGCGGCACATTTGCCCGTCCGTCGGCCACGGGGACGAGCGAGGGGCTCCATTCGGAATGCAGGGAAACGGAGGTGGAAAGACCTCGCGCTTTGGGGGGCAGCTGGTGGCATGATGAGGGGGTGGGGGGTTAAGGAGGGTTGACTCCGTAGGTTGCTACCAACCACCGTTAAACGTCTCCACTGAATTAACATTCCATAATTCAAGTTTTTCTTGCCCAGATTTTTATATTTGCTTCGTTGCCACACTTGTGTTTTTTTGCTACTCGTCACTTTGGTGACTTTGGTCGCGCTGGGTAAGAACTCTGGGTCTCAGAGTTCTCACTACCTGGTGAAAAGAAAATCAACTGGATTATTAGCTCATCAGCATGGCAGAGAGAGCTTGCAAGTAGTCGATGGCTGGCTCTGGTTTTGCACTGGCCTGCCCCTTGCCAGGCAGATGAGTGACTACCCCCAGCTGGGACATAGCGGCCTCCAGTGGATTTGCTGGGGGTCCCCCCCCCTAAGCAGAAATGATTTAAGAGCACCCCTCCCACTCCCCCCCCCCCCTTCCAATGTATAAACTCCACGTGAGATAACGGCAGAAGAGAAATGACGAGAGGGAGATGCAGCGAGTTGAGAGAAACTCGGGGAAAAAAAGGTTGAGGCGTAATGCAATGGCGTAGCAACCACATCAGCTGGGGGGTGGGTGACAATCGGTGAGGTGGGGGCCCAAATATTTGATTTGTCTCCCAGGCTCCTACTTGCCTAATCCACATCGTTACAAAAGTGTTTTGTTGTTTTTACACTTGTTGTTGAAAACAAATCTCATGGTGGTTGTCAACGGAGGCCCCATCTCGTAGCTGTGGCCTCCGGGGGGGGGGGGGGGCAAAGCACCCCCTGGCCCCCCACGTAAGTTCCACTACCAGTGTAATGGGATGAAAGAAGAGGTAACATAGGATGAGAGATGTGGTGAATCTACAGAGATGCAAACGCAACAATACAGATGCAGCGAGATGGCGAGAGATGCAGACAACTGACAGAGGGCAAGGGAGATGAATAATCTTCATGAGGTTAATTGTTTTATGTATTCAAGCTGATATTCAGTGCACCTATTTGTCATGAATTTAGGCGGGTGTCCATGCGCTGGTTCAGTCCTCAGGCTACTGCTCGGTTTGCTGTTATCCCCCTCCAGTCCCCCAGTTGTGCCCACTGATCGGACGGCGCACATGGCGAGAAAAAAACTATCCGAAGGCCTACATCGCGCCAGGGTGGAAAAATGTTGCTGCCGAACATTTCCCAAAGTCTGCAAAATATCTTAACCCAGCGCTCGCAGCCCAGCCCCACCCCCCGAAACCAGACCTCACTCGGCAATAAATTTAATGTAAAATCCTGCCACGGTTACAAGCTCCAGATGCGCTATAATCCGCAGCCAACGTAGGTACAAGGGTCACGGGATACCAATCATTCTAGATTTGAAACTTTCGTGACTGCAAGGATTCATATTCTTAGGTTTTTTCAGTGAAGTCACGTAGGTAAAAAATTAAAATTAATTAAAGTAAAATAAAAATCACGACGTTTCGGAGGCAACACAAGCTTCCGTCTTCAGGTGGAACCGTCACAGCACGATAGCTGTATCAAGTGTAATTTAAATGTTTTACCTACGTGACTTTACCGAAAAATACCTAAGAATATGAATACCAATCATTATTTATTTAGCAGAAGATTCATATTTAACTTTCACTCTTTCCCCATCCTACCTCTTCCGAACAACTCGCCCATGTGTTCGTCCAATTGCTCGACTAAAATCGGTCAACGCGTGCCACTGACTGTGTGTACAGGGGGCCCGAGGAATGGACAAGCAAGTCAGTCTAATTTGTAGGGTGATTAAATAATATTTTTTTATGACAGTATGCTCATCTTCTTGGTTCTTTCGGTAAAGTCACGTAGAAGGGAGATAGTAAAATAATAAATAATAAAACATAATAAAGTAATACAATTCTCACGACGTTTCGGCCACAACGCAAGGAGCCGTCCTCAGGTGAAGAACAGGTCTGTCGGAAAGACAGCGTCTGAATGAGAAAGACCTGTTCTTCACCTGAGGACGGCTGCTTGCGTTGTGGCCGAATCGTGAGAATTGTATAATTTATGTTTTATTATTTATTATTTTATTATCTCCCTTCTACGTGACTTTACCAAAAGAACCAAGAAGATGAATCCCTGCAGTCACGAAAGCTTTAAATCGAAGTATGCTCATCGTTTCACGCTCCGGTTGAGATCGTTCTTTGCGCACATGCCGTGCTCCGCCACAAGGGGGCGCAGCTTCTACACTCCGCGGGTGTCAGGACTTGGCCGAGTTGACTTCGTTCGACCGAGCTGAGAGAAGAAAGAGGTCGTCAAGAGACCAGGGACTGAGTCTCATTTGACCGCCCCTGGGGGGGGGGGGGGGGGGGTCAACCAAAAAAAAATTGGTGAAAGCGAATCGTGTAAAACTAAATGGGGCGTCTTCTTGGTTCTTTCGGTAAAGTCACGTAGAAGGGAAGTAATAAAATAAAAAAATTAAAACATAATAAAATAATTCTCACGACGTTTGGGCCACGCTGTCTCCCCGACAGACCTGTTCTTCGCCTGAGGAACGGCTGCTTGCGTTGTGGCCCAAACGTCGTGAGAATTATTTTATTATGTTTTATTTTTATTATTTTATTACTTCCCTTCTACGTGACTTTACCGAAAGAACCAAGAAGATGAATCCCTGCAGTCACGAACGCTTTAAATCGAAATCTAAATAGGGGCGGTGAAGCGAAATACAAATCGGAGGAGAGAAAAAACCGAGCACGTTGCCCGGGAGGAGTTGGTGGTGGGGGGGTGGAGATCTAAAACGGTGCAGGACTAGAAGACGACGCAAGTTTGCTCGGACAGATTACTGAACCAAAGAAACCGTCCGTTGTTAAATTAAGTTGCAGAAATCATCAACGAGAGTTGACGGAGATTAATTATTGGAATCGTGTGTAAACAAAAGAAAAAGGAACACTGCCTTCAAATGAGATTATAAATACATGTAAAAACTAGACTGTATCAGCAATGTTCCTTCTTCACAGCACACTGACCAATCAATATTTGTAGCATTTGCCAGTCTGCAAAGTCCCGTGCCATGTTGTCTCTGGGTGGGGTCATCCCGATCACCTGTCACTCAACCTAAAATTATAATAAGAATGATACAAAGTTCCTTTACTTTAATATTTATTGTTATTTACTACTTACCTCTCTGATGCTATTCGTTGCGCACGGGTTGCACTTAATTGTGCGCACGGTTGCAATTTACTTTTCTCGGTCGGTGTTAGCCGCTGAGGTCGTGACGGCTTTTTTTCTCATTCCCGTTGCTCCGTGTCCCCTACACCGTTTAGCGTTTCTGCTGTAATAAGAGGGCGATATTGGCACGTACAATAAAGATTGACCGCTGTAATTGATTGAACCTTCCACCACTTTGGTTCTCAAAGGTATAGATGCAGTGTTCGCCCTCTCCCCTTCCGATTACGTGCGTGTACGTCATCGGAACGGAACCGGAAGAATAACACGAACTAAAACAACTTTATTGGTACCGAGGCTCCCACAAGGCCGTGCGGGAGTGGGCCCATGGCACGGCTTGGCGCCAGCTATCGTAAAGCGCGGTCGTGTCGCTACAGTTCTCCGCGGTGAGTGCGACGACTTGAAAATCAACGGCGCTGCGGCTCTCTAAATAAAATCAACGCCGAGCCTCCCTCCAACTTGCAGACGTCTCGGAACGGCTCAGGGGTTTATAATGAGAAACGTTTACACCATTGGAACCTCATTTGCCAGTAAAAAATATGCTAACTGTTTTTTTACCCTTCTATCTGGCAACAAAACTGACACCTTTTTTTACAAGGAGTCATGTTTGCATTGACCACAATACCTGCAGTCATAATGCAAACAAAAAACATAACTCTGATAATGTATGCACTGTCCTTGAAGTTGATTGGTCCACACCCGAGACAGCTTTCCTTAGAGCCTAGTCTCACATGGGTTGGACCAGATGACGCCAAAAGGCGCATACATTATCAAAGTTATGTTTTTTGTTTGCATTATGACTGCAGGTATTGTGGTCTATGCAAACATGAATCCTTGTAAAAAAGGTGTCAGTTTTGTTGCCAGATAGAAGGGTAAAGAACCAATTATCAATGAGGGGTGGGCAGCACTCACAGTCAGGGCCGAGAAGTCCACGACGCCATCGTCACAGACCCCGCATCCCGTCTCGAACGTCCAGCTGTTGGGGATGTAGTTGGCCAGGTAGTTCAGCTGCATCTGTGCAACAACGACGACAACGACATCAGCAGCCAGCCGGGCCGGCATTCGAAAACTGAAGCGGCGGTGAAGCCACCACAGCGCTCGTACCAGGCTGGGTGCACTTTGAGTCCGCGTGAAGTTGTCGTAGACTCACTGCTGGCAGGAGGTCAAGGTGACACGCCCAGGGAGTTACGCGTTGACGGAATGAGACGAATTGGCAGATGCACTCCCACTAAAGGCTAAGATCCCCCGTATAGCCTAAACAAACTGCTGTTGGGGCAAGTGCTGTTAGCGAAGGCCTGTGAAGGCTGGTATGGCACACGAGGGGGTGGGTGGCCAGCACCACGCCCGACCAGCCTTTGTCTTTCAGTGGCAATGCTGAAAACACACCAGGTACTCATTTGAGGTTGAGTCGACCTAGGGGAGGCCCAGGACCGGTTCAGATATTCGTCACTGGTGTTGGGCCGTGAATGGAAATCGAACTCGGGTCTCTTGTAGGGGCAGCGCGCTAACCGCTGGTGCCACCGCTCCCGACAACACTCGCACGCACACCCACGCACGCACAGCCGGTTAACCACCGCATTACCGCTCCCCACTACAGGTACACACGAGGCTTTATCGTGTAGAGCAATGAGTAATGCGATTCATGACCAATCAGCCCAATGTGAGACTCCCTTATTCTCTTCTCTGCGTAGCGCTCGGGTCACGATGCGCTACGCAGAGTACCGCGCGTGCCGCGCAAACACCGCAGCGGTAGCGGCAACATCGCAACAATTTCACACAAAGAAACACATTCAAGATTTGCCCCCCCCACCCCCCTGCCAACTTTAATTAATTGACTTAATTCCAACTCAATGCTCACGATTCACTACGAGCACGTGCTAAGTGGCGGGCGTGACCTGCTCTGTGCCGGTGCTCGTACTTAGCGAGCGGCTATTAATCTCGCGTTCGTACGGACCGGCGACAGCCGACACAGACCGCGCCCCCCCCCTCCCCACCAGCTCAGAGCGCGGAGTCCTTCACGTTCCCAGCACCGCACCCACCGCGTTAAGCAACTCTTTGTGAGTTCCACAACCTGTGCTCTTCATGGCGTGTTCCACCTCCTCCCTTCCTCCCAGCCCTTGACCTTCTTTTACTGCACCTCCCCCCCCACCCCATTTCCCTTCGTTTACGGTGAAAGAAATTCCAGGTCCACGAACACGGAGTGGTGAAAATCAAAACGGGAATGCTCGCCCGCCCGCCCGCCCGCCCGCCAACAGTTCGTAGCACGTTCGGAGCCGGCCTCTTCGTCCACAAAGTTTCACACCGACTTGGAACTACTGCACTGGCGGCCCCAATCTGATTCCTGGCTAAGGCCAACATCATTATTCCTCCACCTCCAATTAGTACGGTTGGCTACGTGCGGTGCAGAAGAAGTTCAACATTCATACATCGATGGCGACACTCATCAGCGGCGATTATCTGAACCGGTGGTCCTTGGCCTCCCCCCCCATAGGACGACCGAGCCTGGTTGTGGCGTGTAATCATCACCGCTGGGGAGACAAAGGCGGCCGGGCGTGGTGCTGGCGGCACAACCTCCTCGTGCGCCGTGGCAAACTTCGCAAGTGCTCGCACTATCGCCACTAGCCGCGACAATCTGTCTGGCTATGGGCGGTGGGGATCTTTGTCTTTTGTATGTACGTGTAAACACTCATTAATTGGCTGAAAGCATCTTAACACACAGAGGACTGCAGAGCGCGAGCAACGGTTGATGCCGGCTCACCGCCTGTTGTTGCAGAATTCCAGCTTAACTGTGGTTTCTCGGCGATTTGCGTGAACAACGACACTTTATAATGAAAGTCAACAGAACATTGGGATTCCTGTTTGTGCGTGCGTGCGTGCGTGCTGACCTTGGTCGGGCCGTTGCCGTGAATCACGACGGGCAGGGTGTCGTAGGCCGTGTTCCGCGCCCGCACACGCCCGGTCTCAAACTTGAGCACCACCTCGTCTGCCGTCGGTGAGGTTCGACGTGTGCGGAGTTGTGCCAGTGCACGCAGAGTCGCGTCATTGTGTGCGCATGTTTAGGTGTCGGTATTTGCGCGCGTACGAGTGATTGTTGCAGTGCGTGGGTGGTCAGGTGTCGGTGCGTGTGGAAGTAGCGGTGACAATGCCAAAGCAATCGAGAGTCAAAACAAGACTCGGACAACATTACACTTCCATCTCTTTCACCGAGTCGCATCGCCGTTAGCAGAGGGCAATCGCCAACCGAGACAAAGGCGACGTTTGTTCCACACAAACGCCTACTTGTTCCGAACACATGCGGATTGTTCAGAACAAACTGCGCCGACGGCGTAAGTGCGGCTGATGGGGGCGAGGGGGGGGGGCCCAGAGTGGAACCGGGAATGGCGACGTCACCAGTGGCGTGCAAGCCGGCAACACCGAACGCTGTCTGCCACCGAGCGGTGCGCCGGCGCGAGCGATGGGAGAGAGCGCCGGCCCCCGCCAAGTCCGGCCCGGCGGCAAGCGAAACGCGCCACTGCCGGGGTTTTATTCCGATAATTTTGTTCTCCTTTTTTTACTTTTACTTTACATACGCATTTCGAAATATAAACGCAGCCGAAATTCCCGGAGGCGCGGGTCGAAGAGACGCTGGCATGCAACAGCCGGGGCACGGGAGGCAGGATTCGGGAAGGCGTTGCGAGTATGGAAAAGTGACACCGCTCCGAATGGCGGCTTAAATCAAAGAGGCTGTACCTTCACCAGACACGCGTCTCTCATCTACGCACGCACGCACGCACGCAGGCACGCACACAAATAGTTACACACCGAGAGGCGGTTGACCGGACACTGACGCGCATTTGATTTTGGGAAATTGAGCACCAAATTAAAATGTTTTCGTTTTTTTTCACTCCCCCTCCTGAATTGTTTCCCCCTCTTGCTTCCCGCGTCAGGAGACAAAACTCTCGCACAGCGGCCCGCGGAAGTAGATACCGCAGAACTGCTTCGGAGAGTCCTTTGAGAGACCGCTTTTGAGTTGCACTTTCCCATTTGCTCCGCTAGAGAGAAATGTTTGTTTCAGAACGGTTAAACTGGTTATTTTCCCCTCAGAGCTGGAATTTTGCGAAAATTAAGGGAAAAACCAAACCTGGCAAAGATGGGTTTTGCTTTGTGCCATCATTTTTCCACCGAGCTAAAACCACGAACTCGCTACACTTGACAACCGGGTTATATTCCTGGCAATTTCTGAAGTTGTTGACTTCCTGCCCCCGCCCCATTCTTGTACCAATTTTATTGACCCCCAAGGGATGATGGGCCGAGTCAACCCCCCACCCCCTAAACCAGGATTTGTACTTTAAAACCTTCTGATTGAGAGCCGCTCGCGTTCTGCCACAGAGCCACCTGGCCGGATTGTTTATTTGAGCACAAAAAAAATCAAAGTCTCCCTCTCACTGTCGGAATGAGCAGCAATTTGAGTGGTGTGGTTAAATCGAACCACAGCTCTCAGCCAGTAAACATAAAACAGTGGCCCAGGGTTGGTTCGATGGTTCCCAACCACATGCCAACGTCGAGCCAACGTTGGCATTTTTTTTATGGGGGCGGAGGGGAGGGGCACCGATGGAAATTTAACATCGCCATACCGATGGCCAGCATAGCATGGGCATCCACCAGACCGATGTTGACTTTGCTTATTTACCTACGAAAACCTCACCGAGCTTCGAGACTATTTTTCTGAAGAATTCCACTTCGGATGTTTGCCCAGGTGTAGTCGAGCTCGCCTGCGATTTGTCGCGTTTGAGGAGGCAGGGATGGTGGGATTTGCAAGGTGGCCGAGAACGCGACAGTCCAGCAAGCGGGTTAGGCGAGCCTGCCTGTATGAGACTCGGAGTGTTTACACTATGAGACCTCCTTTACCAGTGGCAAAATAGTCCAATAGGTTTTTACCCTTTCAACTGGTACAAAAACTGACACTTCTTTATACAAGGGATCACGTTTGCAATAACCACAACAAAAGGCATCATCTGGTCCAACACCAATGGAGACTAGACTCTAAGAAAAGCTGTCTCGGTTGTGGACCAATCAACTTCAAGGACAGTGCATATCATTATCAGAGTTGTTTCTTTTTGTTTGCATTTTGACTGCTTGTGTTGTGGTTATTGCAAACATGATCCCTTGTATAAAGGTGTCAGTTTTTGTACCAGTTGAAAGGGTAAAAACCTATTACTATACTCAAGAGTGTTGTATCCACGTTCGCAGTGGGATTTTCTCCATCTACTGTGCTTTCTCCTTCAACGTGCCACTCATTCGTGGCTTGGTCTGACATTCCAATCGATGCGTGACCATTCCCGAAAACGAGTCTTGAGAATCAGTGGGGCCTTTAACTGGGTAAAATGAACTCCATTATTACCGTTCGATTATGATTTTTCCGCAAATGTTCTTTTATTCTTTACACGATATAAACGACGGAACCATTGCTCTTACCTACAGCTCCGTTGAGGTTCTGAAAGATGCGACACTTGTGGTCCAGGGTGATGTTTATTTTGCTCTGAAAGAGAAACAAAGCAGACGCAGCATACGTTTGAGAAGACCTCCTAACAAAGTGACGCTCTACAAGTAAGAAACAATAAATTCATTTAAGTTTACCAGGCAAGGCCCACTGAGCTATGTAGCTCTTTTTCAGAAGCGACCTGGCCACAAACGATAGCTCAACGAGAAGTGGCTTATCACGTGGAAATTTGTATCAGCCAAACACGTGACGTGGAGGGAAAACCCGAAGGGCCCAGAGAAAAAATTAACGCGACCACGGGGCGAGAGAGAGATAAAAACTCCAAATATACAGCAGGTGTCACAGGGTCGGGATCGAAGCCACAACCTCCTGCATACCAGGCGAGGTTGTCAACATCCCCTAGCCACCGCGGGAGACAGTTTTACCGTTCACAGTCCTGAGGCAAAGGGGGAAATTGCACATTCACATGGCAGGGGTCTACTCATAGAAAAAAAACACTGTTTACTTGCCCACAAAGTGATGCTCATTTTATCCACCCTGGAATGAGGGATGATAGGCTGCATCAACCCCACAAGCAGGATTTGAAATTGTCCGCTCGCTCGACTGCTGAGCCAAGGAAGAAAAATCGTGCACATGCGTGGATTCTATCCAGCACCGCCGCCGCCGCCCCCATCCCCCCCCACCCCCCCCCCTCAACTAGCACCAGCCCTGATCTGCAGTAGTAGCAGCATCAACAACAGGAAAGGGCCGGAGGCAGTGAGTGGGGTTGGCGGGTCCACGGGGCCTCCCCATACCCGCTTGGCCGGGTCGATGTAGACCTTGGTGTAGAAGAGCTGATCGTCGTCGTCATCTCGCAGCTCCCACTGAGACACCACCTGGTGCAGGGCCGGGGCGAGGCCCACGACGCCTGGCGAGGGGACGCCACACACCACACGGCGCGCTTCAATATCATCGTCAGCAGCAGCAGCAGCAGGATGATCATCATCATCATCAGCAGCAGGATGATCATCATCATCAGCAGCAGCAGCAGCAGGATGATCATCATTATCACCATCGTCATCTTCAGCAGCAGCCACAGTATGATCATCATAATAATAATAAGGGGTTTTCCCCTTTTTTATGGCAACAAAATTGAAACCTTTTTACAAGGATTCGTGTCTGCATTCTCCTTGAAACTGATTGGTCCACACCAAGGGACGGTATACTCTTATTTTTTTTTTTTGGTAAAGTCACGTAGGTAAAAAAAGAAAATTAATATTAATAAAAGTAATAATAGAAATAAAATAAAATAATTTTATTTCTATTATTACTTTATAAATAAAAAAATTTTACCTACGTGACTTTACCGAAAAAACCTAAGAGTATGAATCCTTGCAGTCACGCAAGCTTCAAATCTAGAACCAAGGGACGGCTTTCTTTTGAGCCTCGACCCAATTGGTGCTCGACCAGAGGACGCCAAAATGCGTAGGGAGCCCACTTTGACCCGCATGCGGTTGTTGGGCGGCAGTCCTTTCAATTCCTCCATTCATGAGCCTCCTCCACAGAGGCCGATTTTGACACCGCTGTTGCCAGTCATTGGCTCCCCATGCATGTACACACACACACTCGCACGCACGCACGCACCCCCAGAGTTGAGGAAGCGCTTCCCGCTGCGCACGTGCGGGTACTTGTCAGCGAGGCGCCGGTCGGGCCACACGAGCGCCTCGGCGGAGAAGACGAGCCGGTGGCCAGTCTGCTGGAACTTGCGCAGCAGCTCCGAGGGGCCGCTCGCGAAGATCAGGTCGTAGCTGCGCACGGAGCGGAGAGAGAGCACGGCCGCCAGGCGACCCCACGAGACCCGGGTGACCCCCCCAGCAATAGCCCAGGGCACACGCGTGCACACGCGCACACGTACATACACAAAGATCACCCGTATAGCTTCAACAGACTGTAGGGGCAAGTGCTATGAACGAGTAGCACCTGCGAAGCCCGGCACAGCACGCGCAGGAGGTGGGAGGCCAACACCACGCCCGGCCACATTTGTCTCCCGAGCGGTGATGTTTACACACCGCAGCAACGTGTTCATTTGAGGCCGAATCAGGGATACCCAAGACCGGTTTAAATATTCGCCGTTGGCCCTGAGCGGGAATCAAACTTGTGTAGTGTAATAGCGCCGGCTGGTGACCAGCAGCGGCAACTGCGGTGTACAAACAGTACACACGCCGGTGAGCATATACACACGGCTGTGTGTCGGCAGGGCGGAGGAACTGGGACAAGGGTCATGGAGGGCTCCATCTGGAAGCCCCTGGAACCTGCTAGTAGGTTCCAGAAGGGAGGCGCGGCCAGGGCGGAGCCAGGCCGCGCCGGTAGTATAAAATGGGCCGAGAGTGGGAGCTGGATGGGGCCAGTTTAGGGATTGGATCGTCTCGTCGCCATTGTCGCTGTCGTCTTCGCTCGACATTGCGCTGCTAGACAGCCTGTTAGCTGTCTCAGTCAGCGCCGCCGGTGCTAGACGGCTCGTGTTGTGTCATAGGCTAGCGAGTACGGAGTGTGTGCGGGCGAGATCGTGTGTTTTAATAAAATAAGGCGCCTCTACAAAGTGTAGTGTCAGTGAATCGGAGACTCACTGACACTACACTTGGATCGCAGGGTTCGTAGCGCAGTGCGCTAACCACTGCACTACCGCTCCCCACAATCTTCACACGTACACACTCTCTTTGGAGTGCGGAGGCTGCGGAGGCAAGCGCTGTGAGCGAGCGTCTATCAAAGCCAACGCGGCACACATGTGAGACAAGGATGGTGTGGGCCAGCATCAATAATCTATAACTCGCCTAGTTTATTTGCCAGGTAAAGCCCACCAAGTTATTTGATCTTTTTCAGAGGCGACCTGGCCACACATGGCAGCTCATCGAAGTGCCTTATATCAATATCATCACCATCATCACACGCGGGAAATGTATAGCAGCAGCCAAATCAACTAAACCCGCGTTGTTTCTCCATGTGGAGTGGAGTAAAAATGGAGGAGACCCGGAAAACAATCCACGGGACCACCACAGGGAGAGAGAACACGCAAACTCCAAAATATAGAGGCAACATAAGGGTCTGGGGATCAAACCCACGATCTCCTGCGCACCAGGCGAGGGAAAGAACATCTCCTTACCACCGCGACGCCCATCACAGCCATGCCGGGCAGCCTTGGCACCTCCCTAACACCGATGTTTATTGACCCGCTTCAAACACGAGATTGTCTATTCATTGTAGGCCGAGTGGACCTACGGCAGGGCCCAAATCAGGCGCCGATACCAACTCGTTGCACAAATGGCTGTCACATGCACCGTGGGGGGGTGGGGGGGGGGGTCAGGAATAGCCCCCCGGGATCGTTCGCTGGTAGTGCAAGCGCCGCTCTCTCCGCGGCTCGCGTACGAACCGCCGCCGGGACTGTGCGCGCAGCGCGTGTGCGGCACGGGGATAGCCGAGTGAGCAACAAGGGGGCGGCGGTGGCTGTGGAACACAGGACGAGGGTCGGGGAGCGGTCTCGGTGGCCAAGCGGTAGCACGCGCGTCGCTTGTTACAGCGGTCTGCGGTTTGAGCCCGGGTTCATACCGTGGGTGCATTAACTAAGAACAGACGCCGATGAAGATCGGCTTGATGGCTTCATCCGAAAAAGAGTTGGGAGGGGTAAGGGGGGAGCCACGCGTGCCGACGTCACGGTACAAACTTTGCCAAATTATAAAAACTACTCGTAAGTGACACCGAAAAATACTAATCGAGTCAAGTCACGTAGCCGCAACGTCGTCCACCTCCCCTCTATCGGCTGACTATTATCATGAGCGCCCACGCTGGCGAGACGTTAACTCCCTCGCCCGGTATACAGGAGGTAGTGGCTTCTATCCTGACCTTGAAGCGTGTATATTTGGAGTTTGCATGTCCCTTTCCCAGTGATTGCGAGGATTTGTCTCTGGTTCCTCCGGTTTTTCCCTCCACATTTAGAAATCAATGTCACGCGTTCAGAGTATTTGTGCTGCTATAAATTTCCACGTGATAAGCAACTTCGTTGAACGATAAATTGTGGCCAGATCGCTTCTAAAAATGAGCTACACAGCTACGTGGGCCTTACCTGGTAAAATAAATAAATAACACTGTTTAGTTTTAGACTAAAGCAAAGCCCTTTGGTGGGGTCGGCTCTGCGTTCCCCCAGTGCCTCACAGAGACAGCTGCCACTGGGGCGTCCCCTGCCACAGGACACCTCGAGATTGACTGCACGGGAACCGCGGAACGAACGCTGAGCGCACGATGCCGTACCGTGGCGGCGGCGGTGGCGGCGCGCCGAGGGGTAACGGGGCTCAGCTCCGTGGTGCACCGCTCGGGGCGTTGCGATGAAGGAGAGAGGCAAAACGAGAAGAAGAGAGAGAGCGCACAGAGAGAGAGAGCGGTGCGGACAAAGAGAGAGCGCGCAGAGAGAGAAAGAGAGATGGGGGCAAAGAGAGAGAGCGCAGAGAGCGAGAGAGATGGGGACAGAGAGAGAGTGTCCAGAGAGAGAGGTGCAGACAGAGAACACACAGAGAGAGAGGTGCAGACAGAGAGAGAGAGAGAGATGGGGACAAAGAGCGAGCGCAGAGAGAGATGCGGACAGAGAGAGAGCACACAGAGACAGAGAGAGATGGGGACAGAGCGAGAGCGCAGAGAGAGAGAGATGCAGACAGCCAGCGTGGGGCTGCCAGAACGATCGGGCGTCTGCAAGCTGCACGGACCCCACGGCCATTGACGATCTCACCCACATGGCACAACAGCTGCGTTTGATTTTACGTTTGTCGGAAATTATTGGCCGCAACAGGTGTTTTGGTATTTATATATATAAACTTTTTTTTACTCTTTAGATTTTTTTCATTATTAGTTTCTTCAGCTACAAAACAAACGTAAATTATTGGCCTGTTTTTTTTTTCTCCGAAGAGAAACTCTGCTTTGTCGAGGTCTTTTATTTGTTTTCGACTTTTCAGATTCCAAAGGAAATGACTACGACGTGAATTAGAGAAATAAAAAAGAACCCAACACAGACCAAAACACTTTTACAAAACCTGGGTGCACTTTTCTGCCAGAGTCACTTTTTCCAATAGGAACCCCATAATTAAATACGTAGAAATATTTTTTTAAATGTCAGTAATTAATAGCAACACTGCGCAGCATTACACTGGGAACAGGTTCCCAGTGTAATGCTTTCTACGTGAGATGTCTGGAATTTGCATTGCTCCTTCCTCTCCGGCTCCCCATGGACAAACCCTCGTGTATGTTGTCGAGTGTGTGTGTCGCTATTTGTGAATGTACTGCACATGTGTGCAGGTGTGTGTGTGTGCGTGGTTCGTGCTACGCTGCGCTACGAACCTGGCAACCCGAGTTCAATTCCTGCTCACGGCCAACACCAGTGCCAATTATCTGAACCGGTCCTGGGCCTCCCCTAGGTTGACTCAGCCTTAAATGAGTACCTGATGCGTTGTGTAGTAAACATCGCCACTAGGGAGACAAAGGCGGCCGGGCGTGGTGTTGTTCGATTCCCGACCGCTGGTAACGCAAGTGACGAGTGCCATTCGAAACTGCCCTGTACCTCCTCTAAGTCGGCTCAGCCTTAAGCGAGTAGCTGCTGGTGCTGCGTGTGAACACTGGCACTGGGAAGAGGCCAAGGCGAGACCAAGGCATTTTCCCCGACAGCCTATTCAGAGGCTACACGGGGTATCTTTATCTTTGCTTATGTGCTAGCGGTGCTCGCACTCGCTCGTGAGCTCGTAGCCGTGGACATCAGTGGGCGGGCGGGCGATATCCTAACTGGTGCTGGGCCTCCTCTAGGTTGACTTGGCCTTAAATCAATTGCTGGTGATGCCGCGTGTAAACATCGCCAGAGGTGGACACAATCCCGCCCTCTCAGTCGGGGCTGGGTTTATTCATCCATCTTCTCCGCCCCTCCGCCCCCCAGGACACCAGAGCAGCGAAGACCCGATTATATGTTTTAACGCTGCGGTGAATGTATCACCTCTAGCGGATGCTGGGGTCACGTGAAGCCACGGCATATAAAAACGCGTAATTATGGAAAACGATTAATTGCCGCGCGCACGATCCCGACGGTCGCACCGTCCGGCGTAACGACAGGTTCAACATGTTTAAGTGCCGTTGCATAACCTGTAGCGGCGAGTAAGACTACCTCTGTGCGGCTGCGTCGGTATTTTGCATGTTCTTTGCATGTGTGCGTGCTGTGCGCGGGGCTTGTGTGTGTTTGTGCGGATTGCACCTCTGTGAATAATAAATCTCATTGGGAAATGGCGCGCAGGAATGCGCTCGTTGTTTCACTTCGGTGCGCGTGCGTCTGTGTGTGTGAGCGGTGGTGCAGCGGTTAGCGAGCTGCGCTACGAACCCGGCGACCCGAGTTCGATTCCCGCTCACGGCCAACAGCAGTGACGAATATCTGAACCGGTCCTGGGCCTCCCCTAGGTCGACTCGGCCTCAAATGAGTACCTGGTGGAGTGCGTAAAAACATCGCCACTGGGAAGACAAAGGGGGCCGAGCGTGGTGCTCGCCACAAACCCCCTCGCGTGCCGTTCCGGTCTTCATCGGTGCTACTTGCTAACAGCACTTGGCCCAACAGTCTGTTAAGGCTATACGGGGGGTCTTTGTCTTTTTTTGTTGCACATGTCTACGCTCGCGTCTGTTTAATAATCGCTTTCCAACCAAGGTTTGAAACGCATGAGCTCTGCCCTTCTCTTCTCTGTCCGTCTGTCTGTCTGTAATACTGGGTCGCACGATAACTCACGAGAAGAGGATTGAACACCAACTAAATTATTGTGTCAAGTTGCGTTGCTATGAGCAACTAAGCCGATGTAAAACCGGACGTATATTATATTCAATTATCAAAAGTTGGCGATAAAAGTTCACAGCTGAAATGGATAACGAGGCGATTCGGCCAGGGGCGATGATGATGATGTCACGCGCGGCGTGCGCGACTTGGCCCTCCCGATAAGGTCACTAGGCGCGACGTCACCGCTGCCGTGGCCCACTGAAGACTTCCCAGGGCAAGGCGCACGCACGGAGAGACTTACAGAATCCACGCTGCGTGCACGATTTTAATTTTTTCATTGGAGTCGCCGGCGAGTGTGCGTGCACGCGCGCACTTCCACGTCCGTCAACGTGGCTCCTCCGCTGAGTGCTTGCGTGGGTGGGTGGGGTGCGTGGGTGGGTGGGGTGCGTGGGTGGGGTGCGTGGGTGGGGTGCGTGGGTGGGTGGGGTGCGTGGGTGGGGTGCATGGGTGGGGTGCGTGGGTGGGGTGCGTGGGTGGGGTGGGTGGGTGGGTGGGGTGGGTGGGTGGGTGGGGGTGCGTGGGTGGGGTGCGTGGGTGGGTGGGGTGCGTGGGTGGGGTGCGTGGGTGGGTGGGGTGGGTGGGGTGGGTGGGTGGGTGGGTGGGTGGGGTGGGTGGGGTGGGTGGGGTGGGTGGGTGGGTGGGTGGGTGGGGTGGGTGGGGTGGGTGGGTGGGTGGGGTGGGTGGGGTGCGTGGGTGGGTGGGGTGCGTGGGTGGGAGGGTGGGGTGCATGGGTGGGTGGGTGGGGTGCGTGCGTGGGTGGGTGGGTTACGTGGGTGGGTGGGTGGGGTGCGTGGGTGGGTGGGTGGGGTGCGTGGGTGGGTGGGTGGGGTGGGTGGGTGGGTGGGTGGGGTGGGTGGGTGGGTGGGGTGGGTGGGTGGGTGGGGTGCGTGGGTGGGTGGGTGGGGTGCGTGGGTGGGTGGGTGGGGTGCGTGGGTGGGTGGGTGGGGTGCGTGGGTGGGTGGGGTGCGGTGCGTGGGGTACACGGTGTGTACATCCTGAGGCCCTCCCCTCACCTGTCCACGACCAACACGACCAGGTCATCCCTCTCCTTGTGTTTCTCCATCTCCTCCTTGAGCAACCGCACCTTCTGGCCACCCCCGATGGAGCGGTCGACATCGCCGCCCTTCCACGCAGCGCCCATTCCCAGCACCTGGCACACGCACGGCACACGCACGGCACACGCACGGCACACGCACGGCACACGCACGGCACACGCCATTGCCGGCCGATTGGCCAATGGCCCTCGATCCGAGCGGAGACTGAAGAAGGCACGACTACGGGCCGATTGCGGAGTCAACGAAACGCTCAATCAACACTGCGCTAAAGGAGGAACGTGTGAAGCAGATGAAACGTGGGGGCATTGGGGCCTGGCTCCCTCTCCCGCCACCTCCCCCGCCACCTCCCCCGCCACCTCCCCCGCCACCTCCCCCGCCACCTCCCCCGCCACCTCCCCCGCCACCTCCCCCTGCTCTCTACAACCCGGGGCCAACTCACGCCGTCAGTGCTGACGCGCGACACACGACGCGACGCCACGGGCCCCGGCGTATTGCCTCAACAATAAATCGGACACATTTGTGGGGGGCAAAGAGCTCCCACCCGCCCCCCAATCTTCTTTAAATCGCTTCGGTATGAAGAACAGCCGTTGCCAAAAACAACGTCACCCATCTCTCTCCGATTTCTGTTTCACGTTGTTTGCGCTTTTCGCCGATTGTAACTTTTTTGTTGTTGAGATGGCACCTTGGCAGCTGCGGGTCCCCCTCCCTTGAACTGCTGCGGAAAGTTGAAACAGCAAGAGCCGAGATAATTTTCACCGTCAACAATTTTAGGCCCAAGGTTTCCTTTCGTCATTTTGTTTGGAACCGACGACGACTTCGACGCTTCTCCCGAAGATGGGCCCTCCCTTCGACGGAACACAAGCCTGCCCCGAGAAGTCGGTACCAACGCCGTCGGGATATATCGTCAAAAGCAGCGGGACCAATTGTTGGAACGAAACAATCCCCAACAACTCGTTCACCAAATGTTCATCCAGCGACAAGAACTTGAGTTGAACTCTCCCGCCGCTCTCCCCCTCACCTGCACGGAGTAGTTGAAGTACTTTGCCGTCCGCATGAAGCGCTCGAACCCATCTGTCCGATTGGTGGCGACGGTGATCACCAGCAGGTTGTCTGCAGAGACAGCGGAGGAGGAGGAATCGTCACCAGCGGCGTTATTAGAACAATAAAAATCCGAATCTTTATTTAGACTGGAGCAATACGATGAGCCATAAAGCTCTTTTTCACAGATGTCCAGTATGCAGGGAATTTAAATGATGCAAAGCGACTCTGCTGGACACACTGCAATATATAATTCTAGATTTGAAGCTTTCGTGACTGCAAGGATTCATATTCTTGGGTTTTTTCGGTAAAGTCACGTAGGTAACAAATTTAAATTAATAAAAGTAAAATAAAAATAAAATAAAAATCACGACGTTTCAGAGGCAACACAAGCCCCCGTCTTTGTTTTGCCTCCTAAACGTCGTGATTTTTATTTTATTATTATTTTACTTTCATTAATTTAAATTTAAATTTTTTACCTACGTGACTTTACCGAAAAAACCCAAGAATATGCAATACGTAACTTTAAATAATCACGAGCGTCGTTGCGGAGAATTTAAGTAACAGGACAAATAAGGAGACGCTATTTATTTCCGTAAAAGATTATCCACAATTTCCGAGGGTGGCGTCAGGCCTGGGTCGCGGGCGGCCAGGCCGGAGAGGGCCCGGAGTGAATTGCCGCCCGGCTCCGGCACGACGAGGTCAGTGGTGAGGTCAGTGGTGAGGTCAGTGGTGAGGTCAGTGGTGAGGTCAGCGGTGAGGTCGTGGGCGAGGCCAACGACTCGACCACTGCTCCTGTGCGGTTAGACGACATGATCCCCATCTTCTTCTTCCTTTAACGGTGACGGCTGCCCCGTGAACCCTCCCCCTATCCCTGCTACCCTCCCTCCAACCTTCTGCCTCCCCCATCGTTCTCCGAAGTTCCAATCCTCGTGCGTTACAATTGTTTCTATGGCGATGTATCTTCGCTTCATTGCTGCACTCGGCGTTATTCGTTCTGCTTCTTGCCATTTTGTGCGAGCCATGTTCACTCCGGCCGACGAGACTCGGCGTGCTCCTCTCGAGTGCTCACTTGGATCAACAAAATACAACTTTAAAACTTCCCTGACATTCAGCCTCTCGAAGGTGGGAAACCCCCTACAAGCCACGCCCAGCGTGATGCGGCTGGCGATGCGAATGACATCACCAAGCTCCACCCATCGCTTCCCGTCAAGAGCTACACGTAGGAAAAGGAGTGACTCTTTTTGCGACTATTTTCTCCGACGGGGTGGAGTGATCAAGCTGAGCAATATATTGGGTAGCTCAGCTCTAGGTATTAATTATATCAAGCAAACTCCGGACCGTTCTGACCATAAGGGCCTCAATAAATCAGTAGTATGATGATGACGACGCAACAGAGATGAAGATTCACCATATAGCCTACATTGTGTTGGGAAAGTGCTGTTAGCGAGCATCTATTAAACCCAGAACGGCACACGAGGAGATAGGTGGCTAGCACCACGCCCGGCCGCCTTTGTCTCCCTAAATGGCGATGTTTACGCACCGCACCAGGTTCTCATTTGAGGCCGAGTCGACCCGGGGAGGGCCATAATCGGTTCGAACGTTCGCCGCTGTTATTAGTCGCGAGCGGGAATCGCTCTCTGCAACGCTCACACACGCGCACGCACGCACACACCCGCACGCACACACCCACGCACGCACACGCGCACATCTGCACGCACACGCGCACACCCACACGCACGCACACGCGCACACCCACACGCACGCACGCTCACAAGTCACTCGAAGCTGCGTGGCAACACAAGCATCGGCTTTCCACCAAGTACGCCGTCGAGTCACAGACGGCGGCTGGAAAGAAAGACTCAACATTCCAAAACGGATAGCTCACTCCACCAGAGTCGAGTAAAGTTACCATTACGTTGCCACTGTGTTCAGCGCCCCCCGCCTCCACCCTGTGTAAAGCAATTTCTCCTTCTGCTTGCTCTTGCCGCTGTTGTTGTTATCTTTCTCAATTGCCCAGCGATCTGCCGGGGTCAGCAACAATGAGGTCACCGCCAGTCACTTTGGGCGGGTGGGCAGCGGCGGCGATTCGCAGGGCCCCCCGGCTCGACCTAATGACGGGTGTGTGCTGGATTACTCCCAGCCCTGGGCTGCAGCTCGAGTAGCAGATTGTGGGTGGAAATTCATCACCATCATCATTCCACATCGGCATCATCATTATTTCCCACAGTCATCTCTCATCGTCATCGTAATCTCACATCGTCATCATCATCTCCCATCGTCATCATCATTATCTCCCATTGTCATCATCATCTCCCATCGTCATCATCATCTCCCATCGTCATCATCATCTCCCATCGTCATCATCATTATCTCCCATTGTCGTCATCATCTCCCATCATCATCTCCAATCGTCATCTCCCATCATCATCATCTCCCATCGTCGTCATCATCTGATCATGCTCGTGGGACCAGCACCAAATATTTTTCCCCCTGTGAACCGGGCGTGGTACAAGGGGCAGTGAAGAGCTGAAACCCTCCACCAAGCTCCCCGTCCACAACTAACCCCCCCCCCCATACGACACCCCCCCCCCCCCAACCTAGCCGACGACACCGCATAGATTGTAGATTCAACGCAGTCTGCTTCACAGTGGACGTTAAAGAACCCGTGACGTCACTTGCTGGTGTCACGGTTCCATATTTGCGCAATTTGAAAATCAACCCGAAATTTACTCAACTGGGATATGCACAGCGATCAATGCCCGCACCCCCACCCCCCACTGCAAAAAAGCTTGGCAGGACCTTCCTGAAATAGTGTCATGAGACTTCGTGAGCCTTCCTAGGTAAACAAGCATCGTAATAATAAAAACACAAAGTACCGTTCACACCAATTTCGCTCTTTCATTCTTCCACCCATGTTGGGGACTCGGTCAACCAGACACTGATTGCTCCATCTCACCCTGCACACTGTGTTCAACCACCACACATCAGGTCAAAACAACACACTCATCCGCTCACTCACTCACTGCACAACGCCTTTCTTTCTGCTTATTTTCCGGGCCGACTCCCCTAATTCCCTCCCGTCGATTCTCTCTTTTGCCAACGTCTTACAACACCGACAGCATCGCAACTCGAACCGTGTTGCTTTTGTCGGTGGCCCTTGGTATTTGGGGATTTTTGGGCCCAGTATTCAGAAATCGTGAGAAAGAAAAAAAGGTGTGGGCCAGGCAAGATGATTCGGATAAAACGACCTCTAGAGCAGCGGTTCTTCTCAACCTGGGGGATGCGAGATGCCCACCCCCTCTCTCTCGGGGTGCGAGACATGGCCAGATTTTTTTTAGACGGTAAATCATCGAAAAACAAATTAAGCACGGCCACATAAGTACACCTACTTTGTTTCATCAAACCCTGTGTGTTTATTAACACTATATATACTTTACGATTGAGAACCAAAGGGGTGCAATAAAGGTAAAAAATCGCTGCTCTAGAGCGTCTCTCTGCAGCTCTCTCGAGTGGAGGCCCTTCCGCCAGCAGCGGCGTGAGCGAGCAATTTTCAGGACTGCGCCTTTAACCCCTCTAGACTTGCCCAGGGAGGTGCCAGTCCACGTGGTTCATTATCGAATCAAACAACCGTTTGGAATTCGCGCCGTTCTTACGGGGCAAGGCTACGGGGAGGCAGAGGTCACAACCGGGTACCCGATACCCATACCCGGCTACCCGTACTCGGTTGGGTACGGCTACGGGTACCCGTTTGCGACCCTGGTGCGGCCGGGTACGGGTAGACCGTCAAGTCACTGGTGAGTCACTGTTTGTTACTCATTTCCCAACGTCTTGTCTCTTCTCACAATTCAAGTTCCTAGAATCAACCCACCCACACCTGCAACATGGCTTCATCCCAGAGGTCGCAATCAGGTACCCAATACCCGTACCCTACCCGTACCCGGCCGGGTACAGATACCCGTTTGCGACTCTGGTGCAGCCGGGTACGGGTAAGGAATCAAAACCCGTTTGCGACCTCTGCGGGGAGGGCACCGTTGTTTGACCGACAAAGCCTGCGCAGCTTTCAAAGAAGGGGGGGGGGGAGACGATGTTGCTGTGTGATTTTCACCCAATACAATAATTTGGCTCGAACATCTGCAGCTCCTCTCTCTCCCCCGGTCGCTCGTGTCTCTGTAAGGAGCTCTTGTTTAATAAAAATAAAATTTGTGATTTCCTAGAGGCCGAGCCAGCAGTTGACAGCCGCTCTGACTCATAGTCCCTGCCTGGCTGGAGGAGGGGGAGGTGGCCAAGGAGAAGAAGGCCGAGCAGACTGAAGAGGAGAAGGCCGATGAGGACAAGGCCGAAGAGGGTGTTGTGGAGGAGGCCGAGGAGAAGGGCGATGTCCCCATGGCTGATCGTCAGCTCCTGTGGTTGGGCCTGGGAAGGCAGCCGGCCTTTCCACTCTCAGTAAACTAATCTAAACTGTTGTTTATTTGACCAGGTAAGGTGCACGGGCTATATAGCTCTTTTTTCAGAAGAAACCTGGACACAAATGATAGCTCAACAGAATATGTTTATCATCACGTGGACATTTATAGCGGCAGCCAATAAACTCGAACCTCACACCGATTCTGAATGTGGAGGGAAAAATACTCTTACGTTTTTTCGGTAAAGTTACGTAGAGGGGAAAATAAATTAATAATAAAAGATGAATACTTAAAAAAATAGAAGGAATAATAGAAATAAAATAATAAATCACGACGTTTCGGAGGCAACACAAGCTTCAGTCTTCAGGTGGAACCGTCACAGCACGATTGCTGTATCAAGTAAAGAGAAATCCCAAGAGACCCGACCTTTATATACTGGTTGAGGGGGGAGGAGCCAGGCCCCAATCCTTGCAGTCACGAAAGCTTCAAATCTAGAATGGAGGGAAAAACCCATAAAAAATCCACGCGACCACAGGGAGAGACATGAAAACTCCAAAGATACAGCAGGCGTCGGGGAGTTTTGATCGAACCCACGACCGCCTGTATACCAGGCGAGGTAGTTAACATCTCGCCACAATGGCGCCCGAAGTGATCCGCAGGGGCAGG